GCAGGGTCGTCCGTAACTACACACTGTGATAATCCAAAGTTACGGAGAGAGAAACGGCCCCATAAGTTGTTGAGACATAATTTGGCTTGCGTCCTTTTACCTTTATTAACCTTCATCTTCTCTCTATCGATGATGATTCCAAATTTTTCATTGCACTCCTTGATAAAGTTCTCTTCCTTCTGTCTGTCTCCTTTAATGTCGTTGTCAAAGCCGCTAGCGTGAATTTTTTGTGCCATAAATTCACGGATGTAGGGACGAAAGAGGTTGTCATCGTAGTTTTTATATTCCAAAACTCTAAAGACTGGTGACCACATATCCTTCCTTCAATGCTTCGTTCAACTCAATTGATGTACAAGTTGAAACCCATCCACGTTGTTGGTCTGAATGTTTGCAGCTGTAGTTCTCATTCACATCACCATTTGGATTTTCCTTTGCACAAGTGGAGCAAAGGGGGAATAGTAGTCGTTCATCGTCGTCACCAATTTTCATAGGCAGCACTGGTATGTCAATGCTGCGTGGAGGTATCACAAAAACTTTCAGAAGAGCCAATTCATACGTGTTGTCAGAGGGTTTGGTCCATTTGACGTCGTTGTTTAAAATGTGAACTTCAGGGTGACCAATTGGGTAACGTGTTGACATGTTGATGAAGGGGTACAGGGAGGTCACATCATAGTAGGAAATTTTTTGCCCCTCCCCCGTTTTGTGGAATAGTTTGAGTGGCCCGGTTCTCCCCCCAAAGAATGCCGATCGAATATCGATCGGTCCATTGTCCAAATAATTTTTAAACTTTGACCTCATAACTCTATCCCTTGACAGCATCCCCCTTATTTCACACTCCCAATAAACTTCCACATTTACACCAAAGCTTTCAATAAATTCCAAACGCCTTTCATCCCTTTCCCTTTGAATCCCCGCTGTAACCCCATTGGGAAGCCTTATTTCATCATCAGGAAAACATTTCCTACACCCATGCCAGCAACACCCATTGACCTCTATAACCAATTTCTTTTCTTCTACCCACCCATCTACCCTATAATTCCCAAACCTCTTTTCCCCTTCTTTAGAATAAGCATTACGTATGTTGACTTTGTGTTCCTCAGCGTACCAGGCGAGGAATCGAAGAGCAAGCAAACTCTGATTGTCTGCGTTGTCGTAGCCCTTCTCTGGAACAATTCCGAGGTGTTGAGATGTCAGGTGATTTGTTCTAAAGTGTTTCATGCAGGCACTGGCGATTGTCATTGCCTCCCTCAGTACATCCAATCCATTTGAAACCTCCAAGAATTCGCGCCGAAAAGCAACCAGAGCAGCCATTAGAATTTCCACGTCGTTGGTACAATATGACGCCAGGGACTCATCCAAGTTGAAGGGTTCATTCTTGTGTAGTTCATACCATTTATCAAATTGTGCTCGCTTCTCGGGCATCATTCCATCAGCCAAGTAGTCCTCCTTCACCGGGAAAATTTCCTTACCATAATTTTCCGGTCTATTTACCATGTGTGGGAAGAAAGGTTTGTCCTCTACACTAAGTGCAAAGGCAGGGACCAAGGAAGCAAGGGACATGGGCATTAAATTAAAAGTGTCCCTAAAAATTACCCAATTCTTTTTACCAACTTTTACCTTCATTTCATATAGCTTATTACCTTTTTTAATCATATCTGGGGTCAACCCTCTAAGAAATAATTCCTTAAAAACTAATACCATATCAAATCTACCCCCAAAGTGTGAGAAAGCAACCGTGTCTGACACGGTAGAATCGATAATCCAGGACACAAACTCTTCTAGGGGATTCTCTGTGACATTTTGAAGGTCAACGGGTGTGTTTTGGAAAGGTCTCGTAGAAAAAGTTATCGTTCTATCTTCCCCACAAACACTACAATCAGGGTCAGGTCCATTATTGATACACTCGGGACAATTTACCTTTACCCTTATAAAGTTAACATCGTGCATTTTACCTTTTTCCCCTTCCCGATATTGCATGGTTTCAAAGTCAAAGGCGATAATTCGGTACGCCTTTGGGGGTTTGATGACAAGAGGTTTGATATAACACCCGCGTTTGGGATCGTGGTAGCTACCGCACGTTGTGCAATAGCGTTCGGAACAAATATGACCCTCCCTTCCATTCCTATTATTATCCTTAACATCCCAGATAACCCCGCATTTTTCACATTTTTTGGAGGAATTACAAAAATTCGAGGTGATATGGTGGGTGTGACAATTCTCATTCTTAAACTCTTTCCCACACCCATTACAATGTTTAAAGAAATCATTTAAATTTTTACAAGGAAACCCTGGTCCTACCCTTGAACAGTTTTTACACCTAGCCTTACACGAGATTGCATGGTTAGTTTTCTTATCATAAACAGTTTCACAGGATAAACAATAGGGTTGTCCAAAAAGGTCGCTAGCCCTACGAACCCCATCAAAGTGTTCTTTATTATAAAACAAAATTATAGGTGTATCAAAATTATCGGGGCCATATTTATAAATAGGTTTTTCCCCTAAATCCCCAAATATAAAAACCTTAAACCATCCTTTATTCAGTAAATTCCAATATTCAACCACAGAGGGGATCCATTCTTCTGCATCGTAGCTGTCCATGTTGAGTGGTGCACCAACACTTTCCATCAAATCCATTGAATCCTTCTTGAAAAGATTAGTCATTCCTCTTCGGCTGTGTATGTAGTCGTAGAATTTCCATTTGGGCCAGAGACATGTTGCATAAATAAAGGTGGCAACAAGAGAATAGAAGAGACAATAGTTGTCGTCGTTACGAATTTTAATTAGTGATTTGTCGTTTACTTTAAGTTGTTTTGATGATGAATTTCTTCCACGACCGTGCACTCTTCGTCGTATGTCACTTCTTTGGATAGTGGAAACCGAAACAAGAAAGGGAGCCCCCCATAACATACCATTATCTTGTTTCTTACTTTGGGCAACCTTGAGGAATTGATTCAAGATTGAATCAATCGTGTTGGAGGTGATTTCCCGGACTGGTATCCAGACGTCCGAGTCGAGGCTCTGACTCGAAATAATACACCCTAGATGGTCAGGTTCAACCCCCCATTGACGACTCTCTTCAAGAGCCTCGTCAATGGTATTTTGGAAAATCCCTGCTAGAAGGGATTCAGGGTCATTGGGGAGGTCTGAAATAAGGAAATTAGAAGAAACCTTAGACGAGTTAAATTTACGATTAAACTTGGTCTCATGACCAAGCTTCTTTACAAAAGGGTTATTGGTTTGGGAACCTAGAATATTGGAAATGGAAAAATTCTTAAATTTTTTGGATGGAGGAGGAAACATTTAAAAAAAAGATGAAAGTTTGTTTTGTCTCGAAGAAGCTGGTGTTGAACAGTAGAATGATTTTTCAGATAAAGTCAATCTCTTTTTATACTTCCGTTTTAGCTCCACCTATTAAAAGGATTCTGAAATTAAACACAGTTGGATTTTTTAAGAAATTTCCTAACAACGGATTAAAATTTTTAATCTAGGTTAAAATTTTTAATAATAACCTTGAAAAATTGACCTAATTTTTGAGAATTTTATAATATTTTATTTAAGAGGGGGTAATCTAGTGTCGGAGTTGATAAACGAGAGATAAAATATGTAGAAACAATGTAGACAAGGCTGGATTAAGATGGATAGAAGCACAATATTTAACTATTACTCACTAATTTAATCTCTATTTATTTCAATTTTTACTTAAATCTATTTTATTTCCAGTCCTTTATTTATTTTTAAATTTTTTCTTTTATTTTTCCATTCAAAAGTTTTTTAATTTTATTTCCTTTATTTCTATTCAATTTTTGGTTTCACTATTTAATCCTTTTTTTTCCTTTTCCATTCAAAAATTTTTAATAAAATTTTTGTTTTTTATTCACAAAAGAAATATTTGGGTCAGGTTGACCTAATTGAAAAGAAAAAGTTGAAATTTCTTAACAAAAGGGAATCTTTTTTAAAAAACGATAAAGGATTTTCTAGGTTAGAGATGACCTAAAATAAATTCAAAAGTTTTAGCTAAAGGGAAAAATTTTTAAACAAAGGTAAAATTTTTAAAAAAGAGAATTTTTAAAAATTCCAAAGAAAAGTGAAAAGATTTTAGGATGACCTAAAAATTTTTACAAAAGAAAGTTAAAAAATAAAGAAATATTCGCACGCTGCGAGAAAATTACAATAGAAGAAAATCAAAAGAAAATTTTTGAAAAGGAAAAGGGAAAAAATAAATTTTAAAATTTTTGGGGGAAAGGGACCTTTCGGTTTGATAGGTTCGGTACCGGATATTCCTAATTAGTGGACTATTAACCATAATTTAATTAAAGGGTAATTACAAGAAATAAGGGTAATTACAAGGAACTCCATTATTTTATCAGTTATCATTGATAAGGCTTTTGGGATGATACCGGATGTCTTTAAACCTTTAGGATGACTTTAATTACGGACTAATTACAAGGAATTAATTAGGGATTAATTACATATTCTTATATCAGTTATCCTTGATAAGACCCCTTGGGATGGTACCGGATGTCCCTAAACCTTTAGGATGGTTCTAATTAGTGAAATAATTACATGGAATTAATTAGGGATTAATGTTGCGGACCCCTCTGCCCCTGACGACTCGGACGGGGGGTTAACTACTTCAGTCCGCAAAGTCAGTCCGTAAATTTTGTCCGAAAAAATCATGTCATTTCACAAAATCCGCAGAATTTGTCCCCAAACGTCAGTTCCGAAACTCATCCAAAAAATATATCCGTACATGTCAATACCCCCCCCCATAAAAATTTCCTGGGACACGCCCACTTAGTCGCGCGGCCACTTAGTCGCAGAGCCATAACTTGCTAAAAAATTTTTGGCCTTTATCAATTTTGGTACCAATCTCTTTAGCTCGATGAGAGGAACCGTTTAATACTAAATTTGGTAAGATTCGGAAAACTTGAAGGAAGTTATGGCTCTGCGACTAAGTGGCCGCGCGACTAAGTGGGCCGTACCCAAATTTCCTTATTTACCATCAGGCTCAACTTCTCCAGGCGCTGCTTGATTTGCACTTAGCGGCGATAAAGTATCTCTCGTATAGTGTAAATAATCATCAAGTAAAAAGGAAGTTGAGGGAGTATAAAAAGTTGTTGGGGGAGGAGAGGAAGAATCATTATTTGGTGGGGAAGCACTCGGACTTGAAGAGAAGTTTGATAAATTGCAACTGGAGGAGGGTGACATGGCTGGTGACCAAGCTGGATTTTTGACCAAGTAGGAGGAGGCTAAATATAAAATTAAAATTTATATGTGGAAATGCCAACAAATTGCGGATAAATTTTTTCGTCCGCAAAAATTTTTGCGGACAAATTTTTTTATCCGCAAAAATTTTTGCGGACAGAAAAATTTAGTGGGCAAAGACGGATACGAATTTGTTCGTCAGTGTAAATTTGCGGACAACCAATTTTGTCCGCAAATACGAGACCAAAAATTTTGCGGACAAAATTTGCGGATTTTTATTTAATCAAATTTCTTTAAAAGTTGTCCGCAAATGTAAAATTTATATGTGGAAGTAACAAAAAATTGCGGACAAATTTTTTCGTCCGCAAATTTCTTGCGGACAAACATTTTTTTATCCGCAAATATGAGGAAATAATCTTTGCGGACAATATTTGCGGATTTTTATTTAATCAAATTTTTTCAAAGTTCAATATAAGCTGTTGTCCGCAAATGTCAGTTCACAAATTTTACAAAAAATTGCGAAAAAAACATTTGCGGATAAATTTTGCGGACAAGCTTAATAATATTATTTAATATCATTGAAGAGTCAATTTTTTCAATTTCCAATTTTTGTCACGTAAATTTAAAAAGGTTAGAGTTTGTCCGCAAAAAATATTTTTTGTCCGCAAAAATCAATTCATCCGCAAAAAATTTTTTGTCCGCAAAAAATTTAATTGTCCGCAAAAATCAGTTTGTCCGCAAAAAAATTTTTTGTCCGCAAAACTGAATTTGTCCGCAAATTTTTTGTCCGCAAAAAATTTAATTGTCCGCAAAAATCAGTTTGTCCGCAAAAAAATTTTTTGTCCGCAAAAAATTTTTTTGTCCGCAAAACTGAATTTGTCCGCAAATTTTTTGTCCGCAAAAATCTGTCCGCAAAATATATTTTGTCCGCAAAAAATTTTTTGTCCGCAAATTTTTGCCCTCCTACTCGTTAGAAAAAATTTTAAGAAACAACTTAAAAAATTACCAGCAGAAAAGTCTTTGCAAAGTGGCCAGAATTGTCTATCCTTCTAAATAAAAATAATTTAAATTTAAAAATTTAATAAAAAAACCTTTTGTCTATCATTATATGGCGGATCAATTATAGCAGGAAATAAAGGTTTTTCTTCTGGAGAAATATATTCAATTTGGCATTTGTAGGATGTTGAGTCCAAATAGCACCGAATATGATTGAGAACGCAAGGGATAAAATTGGGGTGCTAAAAATTAAAAAAATTTAAGAATTTGAAAAAGCTCATTATAAGAGACTCCTTAGGGCTAAAATAAAATATCTTATAACGAGGTGTATCTTAAATAGAAGGTCCCTTAAGCTCTACAACCGCTAGCTAACGTAATTTTAATAAACGTCTCTTAAATAGAGGTGCATCTAGTATTGAGTGTGTCTTATACAGAGCGTCTATTAAATAGGGTGTCTTATAATGAGGGTGTCTCTTATAATGAAGGTTCTTTTAAAATGAGGGTGTCTCTTAAATAGAGTGTCTCTTATAATGAGGGTATCTTTTATAATGAGGGTGTCTCTTATAATGAGGGTGTCTCTTAAATAGAGTGTCTCTTATAATGAGGGTGTCTTTTATAATGAGGGTGTCTATTAAATAGGGTGTCTCTTATAATGAGAGGGTCTCTTAAATAAAGTGTCTCTTATAATGAGAGTGTCTATTAAATAGGGTGTCCCTTATAATGAGAGGGTCTCTTATAATGAGAGGGTCTCTTATAATGAGGGTGTCTATTAAATAGTGTGTCTCTTATAATGAGGTGTCTATAGATAGGGTGTCTTTTATAATGAGGGTGTCTTTTATAATGAGGGTGTCTCTTATAATGAGCGTGTCTCTTATAATGAGGATGTATACTAAATAAAAGGATCTTTTGAGCAGATCAGTGAAAAACTGTGACCCAACTGCAAAGGTGCAGCCAGGGTCGATTTCAGGGGAGGGGCCCCTGGCTACGCCCTTGGTGTGCGCCAAACTGGGCTCCACAGCTCCAACTGTAAAAAACCAACCCTAATAACAAATTCTAAAGACTCGTCATGTTGAAGAGAGCACAGACTCTCAAAAATTGTAATTTGAATTTTAATATTTGGAATTAATTTAAATTGCGTCTGTCCAGGAATCTCTTGATAAGGCTCGACTCGTTCCAATATTTTGTTCAAAGCACTATTTCCTAGGTCCCATTCTTCAATACGCATATGTCGACGAAAATAACTGTCCTTAAAAATAAAGATAAAAATTTATGATTTGCGGACGAATTTTGCGGACTAAAATTTGCGGACAGATTTTGCGGACAAAACTTGCGAATTGAAATTTGCGGACAAAAATTTGCGGACGAATTTTGCGGACTGAAATTTGCGGAAAAACTTGCGGACTGAAATTTGCGGAAAAACTTGCGGACTGAAATTTGCGGACAAAACTTGCGAATTGAAATTTGCGGACAAAAGTCGCCGACTGGAATTTGCGGACAAAACTTAAGCCTATTGAGCTTGGAGCCTTATTTCTTCTTGAGCCTTATCTTTTTTTTGAGCTTTATTTCTTTTGATTACCGCGACATTTGCGGCTAAAATTAGGCAAGCGATATTTGCGGACGAAATTTGCGGATTTTGAGAAATGACATGATTTTTGCGGACTGACGTTTGCGGACAAACTTTGTGTCGCTAAATGTCACTTACTTACATTAGTCGTGCTCACAAGTGACGCATATTTTCGAATCGGGCCGACGTTTGAGTCATTTTTCGGGCCTCGATTCAATCTTTCGAACTGAACCGAAGCAGGCCGCAACTCTAGTCACGATTAGGGTTGGAGACCCGGTTCGGTTCGATTGATCGAATCGGGCTTCGATTTTTGGCCAAAAAGTGACTCGAACGGTGGCCTCAGGCCCGTAGCCAGGATTTTTTTTCAGGGGGAATTCCCCCCTACCCCCCCCCCTGGCTACAGGCCTGGTCGGCCCGATTCGAAAACTCCAACCCTAGTCACGATGACTAAATTTTTAAAAATTTTCAAAAATGAGTGGGCCACTTAATTTTAAAAAATTTTTTTCAAATTTCTTCACGAACCTCAAGAAAAGAACAGAGGAAACGGCAGTGAATATCAGTCAATTTTTCTTTGTTTTCCTTCAATTCAAGTATTTTATTTATTGAAGTTTCACCCAAAACCGAGCGTAATTCTTGTGAACAACGAACACAGCGAAGTATTAATTCAATCCATTGACTTTCCAATTTATTATTTGACCCGTTTGGGTATTTTAGTAAAAGTTGTAGACAAAGTTGAACAAAATCGCTTAAAAATAAAGAAAGTATTTTAGCTCCACCAGAGAACAGGGGCTCTATTGGACGAGTTTCCCCATCCCCTAGGTAAGGGGAAGTCCTCGGAAAAGTTTCCAAGGAAACAGAGTTCCCTGGAGAATGGATATTATAAAAAACGAGAAAATGGGCGAGCGGTCGCTTAAAAATAAAAAAAATATTTTAGCTCCACCAGAGAACAAGGGCCCTAATTGGACGAGTTTCCCCAACCCCTAGGTAAGGAAAAAGTCTAGGAAAAGTTTCCAAGGAAAAGAGAATTCCTTGGGGAATGAACAAGGGCGTTGCCAGGGGCTGGTGGCTGACCCACCCCTGACTTTTTTTGCTTCTGGGAGCTGAAGACCTCCACCCCCAAATGAGGGAAAGGAGGAAAAAATTAGGAGAAGGATGATCATAAAAATGAACTTTTTCGCTTACAACCTCCAAAATTCAAAAAAAAATTTTTTGCCTGCGGCGCTGAAAAATCAAAATATGGTTCAAGAAATTTGCGTCCGAAACGCCAAGGTAAACGTCAAAATTCTGGCGCACACCCAATGGTAGCCCCCACTTCCGAAATCGACTCCCTGGCTACGCCCTTGGTACAAGGGAACATCTTGAACTGTAACCAAAAATTTTGTACATTTTCTTGCACCATTGTGTAGAACAGGGTCGATAACTTATTGCCGATTTTGGGCTTTTTCGGCCCTAACCCCCATTTCGAAGTTATAGAGCTTCAAGGTTTTCGATTTTTTGGAGCCCCATTTTCCTATTAAGAGATAACAGGGGCTCTATCGGAACTAGAGAACAAGGGAAGAAAATTCCCTGGGAAATAAGGTTGGCGGATCCGGATATCCAGATCCGAAAAAAGGTCGGGTATCCGAAGATTTCCGATTATCCGCCAAGTTTACTGGGGAATGGAAGGAGGCCTCCCTTCAGAGCCGCTATTCTCCGCCCAGAAAGGTCCCAAAAAATTAAAAAATAAAAACCTGTATTCCGAAAATTGTTTAGCAACCAATTGAGGATGAAATTTAAATAAATTACAAAAAGTTTGCAGAATTTCTGGTAGCGTTTGAAAAACGTCAATTATATTATTTTTGTTCTTAACCAAATTTTTTGCAATATAAAGGCATCCATTGGTACGGAGAACACTCTAAAAATAAAATTTTTAAAAAATTTTCAAAAAAAAATTTTTTTCTAAACTTTAAATGATTTTTTTAAAAACGCTTCATTGCGCCTAGCCGGCGATTTGAATTTAAATTGCCACATAAATCTGATTTTTTGCCTCAAAGCAGTCAAGGAAATCTGAAAATGGGAAATTATGGACTACAGGTTAGCATCCCATTTTCTGCGGGCATTTTTTGCCTGACTTTTCTTGCCAGACTTTCTTGCGGACTTTTCATGCGGACTTAACTTGCGGACAATTTTTTGCGGACTTTTTATTATTTGCAGACTTCTCTTGGGTTTTTTCCGGACTTAACTTAAGGATATATTTTGCGGACATTTCTTGCGGATGTTTTCTGTTTGCGACCTTTCTTAGGATATTTTGCGGCTTTTTTATTGTGGACATTTTTTGCGGATTTTACGTGCGTACATTTCCTGCGGACTTTTTTATTTGCAGATTATTTTTGCGGACTCTTCTTTTTTAAATTGCGAATTACATCTCCGTAAAAAATATTTTTAAAAGGCAGACAAACAGCCTTGCTTTGCGGATATTTTGTTGACTTTTCTTGGGATTTTTTGCGGATATTTTCTTGCGGATACATTTTGCGGATTTTTGAGTATTTTCTTTTTTTGCGGACATTTTTTGCGGATTTTTCGTGCGGATATTTTTGCGAACTTTTTATTTTTCCGATTATTTTTGCGGACTCATTTCTTTAACTTGCGGATTACATCTCCGTAAAAAAAATTTGTTTCGAAGGCACACAGCCCAGCTTCGGATCCCTCAAAAAATCCTAACCCTCAAAAAGCTTAGGGTCCTCAAAAAAATTTTTTTCGAAGGCACACATCCCAGCCTTGGATCCCTCAAAAAATCAGAGTCCCCGGGTCCAAATTTAACACACCCTCCAAAAAATTAAATAAAAACCTTGGAAAGTTGGCTACGTTTAGAAAGCAATCTCAATATTCTCAATGCTTGTTCACCAGCTTTTTGGTCCTCCAATTTTAGACAATTGACCACTTTTTCAAGTAAAACATGATTTAACGCGATTATTTGAGCCGTTTCCTTCAATTCACACAAATTTCCGATAAGCCGTAAAATTGCTGTTTTGACTGGTAATTGTTCCTTTTTGGAGAGAAAATAAAGATACAGACGAATTAGAGTGGTGTTTTTATCACGAATCTGAAAAAAGCCAAATTAATTGGGGAAAAAGGATAGGAGGTAGAATGAAAACATCGAATGCCAACCCCCCAGCTAGTGAAATGCCAGACATTGAAAATAGGATACCACTTTAGCCTTCGGGGGCGGGATAGCCGGGGATCGGGTTTTGCGAGCTTGGGGTTTGGATCGGGGGTTTTGCCAGCTTCGAGGTTTGGATCGGGGGTTTTTACCTAGAAATTCGTCGGGGGTCGGGTCGAGATTTCGGGGGTCGAGGTGGTATCCTAATTATGCCTCAAACGTTCCCGCGATGATTTTGACCCAAATGAGCTCGTGAGGAGTGAAAAAATTGTAAATTTGATATTGACTGATCATAAGGCTCAGTGGGTATTTGAAGAGGTTAAACTGACATTCATGTAAAAGACAACCAATAAAAATTGCTATCTGAGGATAAATGTAAAAAGCAAACCTCTACACAAGCCAAAACAGAAAGATGACACATATTAGCTAAAATACTAATAATTTCTTTGGTAATCGAATAAATTTCATTTTCACTCAACGAAAGATTACTAAAGAAAAATTATAAGAATAAAATCAGACACCAATATGAAACACCCCAATGCGGTCGGGAAAATTGTATCTTATAGGGTTGTATCCAGGGTGACCCCTTTCCAAACCACTAAAATAGGCCAGGAGTCCAGAAATTTATTTTAGGGCGAAAGGTCAAAAATAGGGGCAAATGTCCTGTAAATAAGTTACATTAAATGAACACGCTAGTTGTACCCCGTGCTCTATTTAAGATACTTAATTATAAGTAGGGTTGCCGGCTCGCTCGACCCGAAAATCGAAAGATCGAGCGAGCCGAGGCATTTCAGCTCGAAAACGAACCGAATCGAAAAAACCCAGCTCGAAAAAAATGCACCGAACGTCGGCTCGAACTGAAAACGGCAACACTAATTATAAGGTATGATTGTTTCAGATATAAAGGGGTATAGCGAGATCCGACTAAACCATTAAAAAATAAAAAAAACCTTTTGATTCCTTTATCCCGTTGTAATTTTTCATTAAAAATATTCATCAAATATTGCATTAAGGCATTAAAGCATTTTTTGTTTTGATTTAAAAAGGTTACCACACGATCTTTGGTCGTTAAATGCTGAAAAAATTTTTGACTTTAAAGCAATCCCTTTTTTGAGAGTATTCGTCCCTCGTCCCTAAAGTTCACCTGCTAGCAAGGGCGAATCCAAGAGAGGCCAAATTCAAAAAAATTTCATCTATGGCGCTGAGGCTAGCCCTTCTGGTTATGCTCATATTTTTTGGCCTGAAATCCTATCAAATTTTGGCATTTCGCCCAATCGTTAAAAGCATCCCTCACCCACAGCGATATTTTAACCGTTGTCCAAACAACCCAACTTCTAATTTGACTAGACTAGTGGGCCTATTCCTAAGTTTGATTTATTGACCTGGGCCGGATCCTTGGCCTGTAGTCCAGGAAAGCCCCAAACTCCGAAAAAACTAGGAGTGCTGGAATGCCTGGAAAAATGCCTGGACCTGGGACAGGAAAAACCCAGGCCTTGGTTCAGGCCCAGCCCGATCACTTTAAACTTGACTAGAACCAAAAATTTTCAATACTAGCAAAATTATGCTGAAATCAGGGTCCAGGAAAAACTCGGGAAGGTCAGAAAAGGCACCCAATTCTAATAGTAAAGACAGTTAGCTTATTGGTGAACCCATTTTCGAACGACCCGCAATAACACACCTAAGTCGATCCAGAAAAATTTAAAAAATTCGCAAACCTTTTTAAGTAAATAAAACTCCTTGGTAATTAATTTAACATCATTCGATGCAATTGCACTAATAAAAGAATCAGGCTCAAATTCTTCTCCAGAAGGTTCTTGTATTTTTTTACGCTTTTCTGATGAAGTACCAACATCGGATAAAGACGAAGATTTTCGCTTCAAATCCATTCTAATTAAAAATTTTTTTTAATAAAACCGAAAACCGTCGAAATGCCAAAATGTGAAAATTACGATGAAACCAGAGCCGGAATATTTGTACCGTACCGTATTGCCGATAATACCGATAATTTCTCATACAAGAATGGGAAAATTTCAGAACCGTATACAAACCCAAATCCGGTGTTCAAAAGTTGCCGGACCCGGATTCCGGAACTAGAGCCGGACCGGATCCGGCCGGATTTTTCCGGATTAATCCGGTCCGGTTTTAATCCGGAAACTTAAACTAACCCGGATTTGGGACCCGTACTCCGGAAAAATCCGGCCGGCCCCGGTCACTAATTATAAGGCTTTAAAAGAAATTTAAAAGTCGAACCTGATATATACGCCCTTGGATGGAAGCACATAGGACTGTAACTGTTTGGCATTTCGACGGTTTTTAGTTGTTCGGCGTTATAGCGAAAAAATAAAGCAAGAAAAAAATTTAAAAAAATATTAAAACAATTTTAAAAATTGTAAAAAAAAAAAAGACTGAGAGAATTTTAAAAATTTTATTTAAAAATTTATAAAAAAAAAATTCTTAAAAATATCAAAAAAAAAATATCACATTTTTAATAAAAGTCATTTGGAATTATGAAAGAAAATTTTTTTAACACCCCCTCTAACTTTGTCCTTTAGTGTAAAGAGAGATATGAATCATATGGGAAGATTTAAAAAAAATTCTTAGGCAGGGGTTAAATTATAAAATGGAAGGGAAAGGAAAAATGTCAAACAAGAAGAAAAATGATATGTAAAAGCAAGAGATATCAAGTAAGGCTGGTCTTGGGCCGGGATTAAGAAAAAATTGTTGGGTTGGAGTCGGCCTCGGGGTTTCAAATTTTCTAGAAAAATCCGGATTAGGTAATGGATCAGTAATGGAGATTTGGTCAAATTAAGAGGGTTTGCAGAGATAATAGTCTTATAGTCTTATAGAGGTAGACAAGCCCCTCAATCCCTTAAGATTCCTCTTCCCACATCCTCGAATATCCCTATTACTCCTCCAAATCCTTTTTCATGTGGAGATTTAGGGGGAAAAGTCCGTCATTCAAGTTCCTAGGTAACCCGATCCGGCCTATCCCTAATAACAACGGCGTAGCAAGGCGGGCGATTTCAGGAAGCTATGGGGTGTGCGTCAAAATTTTAACGTTTCGAACGCAAATTACCCCTGGCTACGCCCTTGCCTAAAAAAGAATAAAAATTGAAAAAAAACCTTAAAAACAGCCAAAAAATTTTTCAAAAAATTATGCACATCATTTTGTACTAGAAATATGAGTTTCCAACAAACAAATCCATTCCTCCAAAAATTTACGTTCATTTGTCAAATCTGGATGATGAAAACCGTCGTGGAGGCAATGTCTAAGCGAATCCAATTTCTTTTTTGGGTCTTTGTGTTGACAGGCAATTTTGAATTCTTCCATGGTTGCTTCGACAATACGTCCAAGACCACTGAGGGGAAAGAAAAAAATTTTTTTTAATGAAACGGCTGGAGTTGTTTTGGCGTCTGGCTTGCTCGACACTTATTTGTTTCCAACGTAATACCATTAAACCTCCTTGGGGCTGCCACCCCCTCCCCCCCCCCCCCGAAATGTAAGAACGTGGAAATTTTGAAATGATCAAAAAGCTTTGTAATGAGGTGGATGTTAAAAATAAAGGGTATAGCTTAAACAACTCCCCCTCTGTAGCCAACCAAATTTTAAACATATAAACCGTAAAAGTGATCAACTGATTTCGAGTGACAAACCTATCTGTGATCGATCTGACCCAATAGAACGGCTAGAGTTGTTTTGGCCCGTTTGTAAGGGCGCGACCCATGTGTATTAGACCAGAATTAGCAGTTTGGTATTGCGTCAAAACGCCTAGTCCAACCCAAGTTTTATATCCCCAGAACCAAGACATGACTTTTAAAACTTCATTTTAAGCTTATAAAATGAGATTTGTTCCCCGACAAGGGAGAGCCTCAGGGAAAATTTTAAAGGATGTAATGAGGTGCCTGGATAGGACGGGGAATAACACTACCCAAAGTGAGGTCCGACTTAATAAAAACCCCAAAAAATAAGTAGAAACAAACTATAGCGTGTATAACAATTCTTGTCGGTCGCCAGACTCCTTTAAATAGGTAACATAATATTGAGCAGCTTCAGGCCTTTCCATCAAAATTGAACGGAAAATTGGGTTGTCCAAAGTTCGTTTAATAAACTGGATGATCTAAATTAAAAGGTATAATGATGCCATAACGCCCCCTCCCCAAACCGCCGAAATGCCAAACTGTGGAGAAGTTGATGAAAAGACAAAAACCACTCCAAAAAACCGCCGAAATACCACTTTACCAAAAAGCCGTCAAAATTTTAGCACCACTACAAAATCAGTCAACATGTAAAACTGTGGAAAGATAACAAGAATTTATAGGTATGCTCCAATTATGATGGGTTTTCCAATGCCGGAGGGAATGTTTAAATATCAAAGGATTAGGTATCTCGCCGGCTTTTTGGAGGTTTGGTATTTCGGCGTTTTGGCATTACGGCACGCTACAAAATTATTAAAAAATAAAAAACCGTAACAACAACGTCCCAATTTCCAGATTCTAGCCCTTCATCTAACAAATCAAGTTTATCCTTCTTTGAAATGTACAAGTCTAAAGATGTTGGCTCACAATTGCAAAGCCTTCTCACAGTTTCGTTTATAGGTAGAGGTTTAAATCGGTTTTTATAATCTGCCTTAAAATTTAAAAATAATTAAGATTCGACCTCGTTTTAATGGTTTGGACCTAATTTTAAGGTTGAGACTTTGTTTTAAGAAATACTGATCCATTTATAAGACAAGGGGGCAACCCCCCAAAAGACCTGAATCCAAAAGACCTACCCCTTGGCTACGCCCTTGCTCAAGCGAATATCGAGGGATTTAGAGAGAAATATATATACGGCCCCGATATAAAATACCCTCTTGCGCAAAATCAATGGTATCTTATAATGAGTGTATATTATATGGGGGGTAACGTTAGGAATTTTTCCCACCCATTGGTTAACTGAATTTAAAATTTAGGGTCGACCGCCCCTATTTTTCAATTCCCAAATAATTCAAAAAAACCTCAAAATATTTTTTTAATTTTCTATGTTCAGCCTTCAAACGAGAATAATCCAGTTGAATTGTAGAGTTGCTTGAAGTTTTGGTAGTAGAACAAATTGAATTATTTTCTGATTTGGTCGAACTCTTAGCCGTTGGGCATGAAGAAGATTGATGGAAGGGAGGGGAAACCTGGAAAAATAAAAAAAATTTACTTCTAAAAAATTTAAAAAAAATTTTTTAGAAGTAAAGATACGCTTAAAAGGGCAAAAAAACAAAATACGACATTTTTGTAATTTATTTAAATTAATTTCAACCAAGCGGGGTCGAACCCGACACCTATTTACTTTCAAAATTACAGCTGAACCACTAAACTAAAGGTCACAAAACCTCGTATTGGCAAAAAACATATGAAAAATTAGGGGAATTTGAGTTTCCATTTCCTATGTTGCTAGTTCCTCATGAGTGGAGGCTAACTCGAAGAATTCCAACTCACGGAAAAGAAAGATCCGTGAGTTGTCCGTTCCGTGAGTTAGCCCGACACGGTTCCTCGTCCCACCTCCAAGGCGCTCTCCCAGGAAAATTACCTGAAAGACCGCCCCTTCGGGCAAAAATAATAAATAAAAACTAACCTCCTTAAACTCATTCGAAACCGACGCAACTTGTTGTTGTTCACTACCAGCATCAGAAACCGACTGAGGCGATTGCTTTTTAGCTTCCCTTCCCGTAGACTTGATAAAATTCCCATCAAGCTCCTCCACAACTAATTGCTCCCTGAACACATCCGAGAGGGAATATGAAGTTTGAGGTTGTTGTCCATTTGAAGGGGAGAAAAGGCCATCCCAAATGTCGTTATTTACAAAATCCTTAAAAATAAAAAAATTTCCCCTTAAAAATAGTTAAAATAACCTGGCGTGATGACGAATTTGCAGACAGCTCCAAATAATCTTCTTCTCGAATGCCTACAAAATTAGACATTTCTCCACTAAAATGCCTGAATTTTTTGATTTTTTAGACCAATACACATTCGAAATACACTTTTGCCAATACACATTTTGCCAATAAGGGTAAAATTCCACATTTTGTCACTATGTTTGTAGGCAAAACAAGACTTTTTACCCTTATTGGCAAAATATGGTATTGGCGAAATGTGCTGTGGGCGCGATATTTTTCCTTGTTTTCTCTAATTTTCTCCCGTTTTAAGCCTTACTCTAAACTTTTTTTTCTATATTTCCTACTACATTTATAGCTCCAATTTTTGCCAATACACATTTTGCCAATAAGGGTAAAATCCTACATTTTGTCTACAAACAATAGTGACAAAATGTGTTGTTTTAGCCTTATTGGCAAAATGTCGAACTGGCGAAATGTGTTGAGGACTCGTATTTTTTCATTTTTTCCATATTTCCCCTAAATTCACCACAACATTTGGTTTGTTTTTTAATATTTTTTTTCAATTTTAAAGGAATAAAAATAATTTATGTAAGCGCTCCAATCGATTCTTTATGAAATTTTAATGTCAACATTTTCCTATTCAACACCTTCAAATATTCCAACTCAAAAGCTTTCAACAACTCCAATGAATTCTTCAACTGCTTCCACTGTTTCTAATAATCCACAACAACCTAGAGATGTAAATTGGGGTTTTTTTTTTATTTTTTGGGGGATTTGTAAGATAGGGGGAGGGTAATTCTAGGGGATTTTTAGGGGATTTTTTCTTGAAGTTTTTGGTGTAATTTTTTAATATTTTTGCGGACATGTCTTGCGGACAGTTTTTGCGGACAAATTTTTTGCGGACAGTTGTTACGACCGGAGGTGTCCGAGATTTGACTGAATGTTGACGTGCACACAATAACAATTTATCCGGCGTAGAAATAAACAAAGTGTAGGCGAAGGTAAAAGGGTTGGAACAGACGCAGGAGATCAGGGACTAGCCGCGCTAGTATGATCCCACTAGACTGACGCTTTCACTGGCTTTTATACTATAGCGATACCACTACACAACAACAGTTTTTGCGGACAAATTTTTTGCGGACAGTTTTTGCGGACAAATTTTTTGCGGACTTTTGCGGGCACTTTTTTGCGGACAGTTTTTGCGGACTATTGTTTTTGTGAACATTTTTTTGTGGCCCGGTGTTTTTGGGAAATTTTGTTGACATTCTCTTGCGGACTTTTCTTACGGACTTTTTTTGCGGACACTTTTTGCTGACTCTTATTCCTTTCCAACACTTTTTGGGTGTTTTTCCTTGGTAATTCCCGGGGATTTTTAGTGGACTTTTTTCTTGGGCGTTTTTTTGTAAAATTTTTGAGGACATCTCTTGTGGATTTTTTTTGCGGATTTTTTCCTGCGGACATTTTTGTGGGCTCGTGTTTTTGGGTTTGGGGACATTTTCTGACACTTTTATGCAGAATTTTATTTTTTGACATTTTTTACGAACCCTTTGCGGACTTTTATTTTTGAGGATTTATTTTTTCCGACACTTTTCGGGTGTTTTTGAGACTTTCTTTGTCTTTTTTTGTAAAATTTAGTTTTTTCGGATTTTTCTTGCGGGCATTTTTTGGGGTTTTTGCGTTCTTTTATTTTTTGCGGACTTTTCTTGCGGACAAATTTTTGCGAACTTTTATTTTTTGCGGACAAATTTTTGCGGATTCCTTAGGTATTTGCACACCCTTTCAACTACCTTTTGATCCTCCAAACATTTAATTTTTCCATTTTTAGTCCCCAAATTATTCCCAACAATTTTTGCTTCAAGGACACACAAAAGGTGTCGCTTCCGTCAAATTTTCCGCAGACGGACAACTTTTGGCTTCCGCTAGTGCTGACAAAACTGTTCGGATTTGGTCTGTTGAAGATGGAAAATTAGAGAAGAATATTCAAGGTTATTTTTTCGACACTTTTTGGGGTTTTTGCGGAAAAATTTTTGCGGTTCCGCAGGCATTCGGATCTGTTGTTAAGTAGGTTGCTTTCTTCCACATAATTTTAATTTCTTGGGGGTTTTGTTAAAATCTGCAATTGCGGATTTTCTTTCTAAAGTCAGTACTTTTTTGCGGACTTTTTTGTAAAAATCCGCAAATTTTTTACGGATTTTTTTGAGTTTTCTGCAGACTTTTTCTGTGAAAGTCCGCAAAAATTTTTGCGGGCTTTCTCTGGACTTTCTTTATGAAAGTCTGAATAAACTGCTTTCTTTTCCTTTTTACCACACTCTAAATTATGGCCAGAAAAGCACGAAGGTTGAGTTGTCCGCTCTTGCGGACTATTTTTGCGGACTTTTGCTTTAGACAGTTGGGAAATGTCCGCAAAAAAATTCCGTAAAACAGACATCTCAGTAAACCTCCAAAGGCTGGTTTATCCTTAAACTAGGGTAGCACTTCGTCCCCCGGCCCGGCGATTTTTTTGGCAAAAACCCCGCCCGAACTCCGAAGGTTCTACCCTGGCAACCACCCCGAACCCCGACATGACTTCCCCGCAAACCCCGATCCTGATACTTCCGATCCCGAAGGCTCGGGGGCTACCCTACTTTAAACTCATTCCCAGTTTACTTTTCAGGTCATAAATTAGGCATAAGTGACGTCTGTTGGTCATATGATAGTCGAATGGTTGTTAGCTGTTCTGACGATAAAACACTTAAACTTTTTGATATTACACAGGTTTATTTTTAAATTTCTAAATTTTTTCAAATTTATTTTCTAAGGGAAAATTGATCAAAACGTTCCGAGGCCATCAAAATTATGTTTTTTGTTGTAATTTTAATCCGCAATCAACTCTTCTGGTTTCTGGCTCGTTTGATGAGACGGTTAGAAATTTTTTTTAAATAAATTATGGGGTTATCCTACCCACTAATTTTCGAGTTTTCCACCTTGGGACACGCCCAAAACGGCGCACGGCCAAGTAGGCGCAAAGCCATAACTACCTGAAAAATTTATGGACCTTAACAATTTTGGTACCATTCTCTTTAGCTCGATGAGAGGAATCGTTTAATACCAAATTTGGTAATATTCGGAAATTTTGAAGCAAGTTATGACTTTGCGCCTACTTGGCCGTGCGCCTACTTGGGCCATACTCTTCTACCTTCGAGCTATCCCCCTCTCTTTGACCTTCGATTGGTTTTATTGACAAAATATCCCAGTAATTATTCGGAACTCCAAAAAACTTGTTTTTTATCTCCTGGGAAATCTTCGCATACCCGAAGCTTATATCCGAACAGAAAATTGCTGGACAGGCTGACACTTGAAGAACGACTTTTGCGGATAAATCGGATCCCAAATTCTTTGGAGATCCAAAGACACATGTTTTTTGTCCTTGGAAATCCTAGGATACCCGTAGCCGATACCCGAATAGAAAACTGCGGGACAGGCCTACTTTTGCGGATAGACATGTACGAATAGACACCAGATGTGTCGAAATTCCAACTTCCGATTTCCGGTTTTTTTTCTTCCGATTTTCGAAATAATCTCCAACCTTTTAATCTAGTACCGATTTCCGGCTCTTCCGATTTCCGACACCTCTGATTGTTCCGACCGACTTCTGATCGACACTTAAGTATGTGTCCGCATGTGTTGGTCCGCAACTGTCGGGTTCACAAGTTTCGCTTTTAGATACCCGAAACCACTATCTACCAATCTTTTTTAGCCACACTACCATTTTTTGTCCTCAAAAACTTTCTTCAGTTTATGTTTTATAAATTTACAGGTCCGAATTTGGGATGTTCGCTCAAGCACCTGTGTTCGTTCATTGCCTGCACATTCTGACCCTAGTAAATTTTCTTTTTTTTGTTCAAAAAATTTTTTTTTAATTTTTCTTTTAAGTCAGCGCTGTAGGTTTCAATAGAGACGGTTCTCTAATTGCTACAAGCAGTTATGATGGCCTTGTTCGAATTTGGGAAGCGGGTAGTGGTCAATGTATGTCTACACTTGTTGGTTTGTTATTTTTTATTTTTAGAGATTGAAGGGATGGAGTTTGCGGATTTTTTTATTTGCCTACATTTTTGGTCTTTTTTCATTCTTTGAGGAAGAGTCCGCAAAGAGTTCTCGAAAAATCCGCAAAATCATGCATTTAGGGGGGTTGTGGGTTCGAACCCGCTCGGGGAAATTATTTTTTAATTTTTAGAAAAAGGGCAAGGAACAATATTGTGAACAGTTAAAGCAATTTTTGAACTTTACACATTTTTTAAATTAGAAAAAATAAGATTTTAGAACCAAAAAATTGAATTTTGAGGGGTCGTGGGTTCGAACCCGCGCGGGGAAATTATTTTTTTAATCTTCAAAGAAAGATTATGAGCGCCATTTTGAGTATTTTTTAAAAATCTTTTGGTTATTGGGCATTTTATTGCACAATAAAAATATCCCCAAAATTTGTCCGCAAAAAATTTGTCCGCAAAAATTTGTCCGCAAAAATGTTTATTAAAATTAAATTTTAAGATAATGAAAATCCGCCAGTTTCTTTTGTTAAATTTTCACCAAATGGAAAATATGTTTTGGCTGCTACAATGGATAGGTTTTTTATTTTTTAAAGACTTAAAAAAAGTCCGCAAAATTTAAAAAAAATTTTGCGGACAAAAAAATCCGCAAAAAATTTTGCGGACGAAAAATAAATCCGCAAAAATTTTGCGGACAAAATGAAGTCCGCAAAAAATTTTGCGGACTAAAAATAGATCCGCAAAAATTTTTGCGGACGAAAAAAATCCGCAAAAATTTTGCGGACTAATGAAATCCGCAAAAATTTACAATTTTTCAAAATTCTTTTCTCTTTTTCCAGTCAACTCAAATTATGGGACTTTAACAAAGGCAAACCTCTAAAATCATATCAAGGACATAAAAACGAAAAATATTGCATTTTTGCCAATTTCTCAGTTACTGGAGGTAAATGGATTGTTAGTGGATCGGAAGACAATCAAATTTATATTTGGAATTTACAAACACGTGAAATTGTTCAACGATTGGAAGGCCATACAGGTTTATATTTTAGAGGATTTACAGGACACGCCCTTGAAAAAAAGTCCGCCAAAATTTGCGGACAAAAAAAAGTCCGCAAAAATTTCTGCGGACAAATGGTTATGGGTTCCTTAAGGTTTTTGCTTCCTCGACCCACGGCCACTGGTATACATCAACGATTCGAAGTTACACGAAACCCGATCTTTTTTCGACCCATCCCTCTCATAAACTAGCGCGAACCCTTTGACTTTGTCTCAAAGGAAAAAAATTCTCTGGAGAGGAGGGAGAGTCTCAATTTGACCGCGCTACTTCCCCCGCTGGGAATTTCCCGGACCTAGAATCCTCCGCACTCCCCGCTCCCCATATAATTAGTCCACCGTCCCCGGTAGGTCCCACTCTGTCAGGCCCGTAATCAGGGTTTTTTTAGAGGGAAGGGGGGAAATTTTTTGTTTTTAGCGTCGCAGGTGAAACTTTTGAGAATTTTAGAATGCCTTAGGCCAAAAGAATATTCACTTTTTGCCCAACCCCCTCCCAAAAAAAATTTTTTTTTTCCCCATTTCGGGGGGGGGGGGGGGGGGGGGGTGGGCGTGGAATTCCCCCTACCTACAGGTTAATGGTTTCCACCCTATTATAGACCGGAGAGCCTATAATAACGTCTAACATTTATTTTTTTAAAGATATGGTCTTGTGCACAGATTGTCACCCAACAAAAAATATTATTGCCTCGGGCGGGCTAGAAAATGATCGAACTATACGTTTATGGACGAGTGATTATTGAAATGGAGAGAATTTTTGAGGAAGTATTTTACTTTTTTAATATAAAATCTCAATTGTGTAAGAATTTTTCGATTATTTAATGGTTTTTCTGTAATTTTTTAATAAAAATGAGGCCAATTTTGTTTAAGAAAATTAGGAATATGAGGCTTGTAAGGCCCACAGAAAATCGTCAAAATGTCATTTTTCGGGGAAAAATTTTTTTTTGAGATCCAGACTAGTTTTGCGGACAAAATAACAGGATTGGAACTAGGACGATAACTTCCTGATTTCCTTCCAGTCATTGACTAACACAAGTCCTTCGACGGGAGTAGGCCGATCGATAAAGTATACCAACGAACTATAACGTTCAAATTTGTCGAATCTGGGACGACCTAGTATGGTTCGATGCGGTTCGAAGAGCTGAATCGAACAATATCAGGGCGTCCTGGATTCGGGATTCGAGAATTTTGAACGAAGTTATAGCTAGGCGGCTTATAGTGGTGTGCCCTCCTTCGACAGGCATAGAACCTGCATCCCTCTTTAAAGTCAAAAATCTCTGAGTGAAATTAATTTAAATATTTATACATTCAATTCCACTACCAGAAACAATACAAATAAAACCTTTTTTATTCATTTCAATCAACTCTTTTCTTGTTCGATTAGGTAAAACAATTAAAGCTGCTGGGTCAGAAATTGAAAGGCAAATTTGGATTTGAGGAATTAACTGAAAAATATAAAAAGTTTAGGACCTCAATATATAAGTTACACTCTCGAAAACTTTTAAAAATCCGCAAAAATTTTGCGGACTTTAAAAATCCGCAAAAAATCTTGCGGACTTTAAAAATCCGCAAAAAATCTTGCGGACTTTAAAAATCCGCAAAAAATCTTGCGGACTTTAAAAATCCGCAAAAAATCTTGCGGACTTTAAAAATCCGCAAAAAATCTTGCGGACTTTAAAAATCCGCAAAAAATCTTGCGGACTTTAAAAATCCGCAAAAAATCTTGCGGACTTTAAAAATCCGCAAAAAATTTACTGACAAAAAAATCCGCCAAATTTTTGCGGATTTTAAAAATCCGCAAAAATTTTGCGGATTTGGACAATTTTGCGGACTCTGAAAATTTTTGCGGACATTTTCGTCCGCAATTTTTTTGCTGATTTTCTTTAAAAAAGGGTATTTTATGGTGGGATATCTTATAGTAAGATTGGACTAACTAAAATTAAATAAAACCTCATTTTTGTCAGGAATATAATTACCAATACAAAGTCGGCAGTCTAAAGCAACACTTGCAATTACTAAGGTTGAGTCTTGAATTGAAGATTTCCAAATTTTAAGCGCTAAAAATAATTTTTTTATAAATTTAAAAAAAATTTCAAGTCGGAATTTTTAGAAAATTCAATAAAATTTAATTTTTGAGGACAATCTGCAAAATTTCCAAAAAAAAATTTTGCGGACAATCTGCAAAATTTCCAAAAAAAATTTTTTTGAAAAAAATCACAATTTGAAAAATTTTTCCTTTCAGAAAAATCCACAAATATTGTTGCGGACTTTTCTCATAATTTTTTTCAAAAAAAATATTAATAAAAAAATCCGCAAAAATTCTAAAAAATCCGCAAAAATTTTGCGGACAAAATTTTTGCGGACAAATTTTTGCGGACTTTTCTCAGATTTTTTTCAAAATATTTAAAAATTATTAATAAAACAATCCGCAAAAATTCTAAAAAAATCCGCAAAAAATTTTGCGGACAAATTTTTGCGGACTTTTCTCATAATTTTTCAAATAAATTTTTTTATTAAAAAACCTGTTATGGTAGAGGCATGCAAATTAACAAAAATATTATTTTCAACATTTCCAAGTAGAGAATCAAATGTTAAAATTGAGACTGAACCCGATTCTGAACCAATAAGAATAAAATGTTGATGATTATTGAAAGGAGAGATTTCAGTAGAAATAGTGGAAAGTCCGCATTTTTCAACCAAATAAGGCTCATGAATTAAATCCTTAAAAATTAATTTTGCGGACTTTTCTTCCAAATTCTTCAGCAAAGAATAAAAAGGGAAGAGAAAGAGGTGTTGCGACAATTGAGGATACGCACTTGAGGATATGACAAATGAGGACGACAATTGAGGATCTGACATATGAGGACGACAATTGAGGATTAAAATAATAATAAAAAACGGTGATCATTGACCTTTTGAAATTCAAAAAAGGTTCGCCTGCGGCGCTGGAAAGAGAAGAATTCTACATTATTGGTCTTCCAAGTGGGGGTCTTCCGAGTTTTATGGATCTTTCAAGTCTTTTTTATTTTTCATTTTTATCCTCATTTGTCAAATCCTCATATGTCGTCCTCATATGTCAGATCCTCAATTGTCGTCCTCAAATGTCGTCCTCATTTGTCATATCCTCAAGTGCGTAACCTCAATTGTCGTACCGCCGAGAAAGAGACCAAAAATCGCAAAAAATACTAACTAGGGAAGGTTGCGAGGTGTCCGAGCTAAAAACGGTCGAGACCGGGCTCATTCGATAGAGAATGTGCCCTTTCTAGCAAAGATTTTTTGCCGTTTTTGCCCGTTTTTTGATCTGGCCAAGATATGGCCCTTCAAAGTCCCAAAATTTGCCATAATTTTCCCCCCTCAAATATAAACATTAAATAATGGTTTAATTTTGTTGGCGTTGTGTTATCTCGGACACCTCGCAACCTTCCCTAGTAAAGTGTCCGCAAAAATTTTGCGGACACTTTTTTGTTTGCGGACAGGTTTTACGGACAATCTTTTGAGGACAATTTTCTGTGAAAGAATTCAGCAAAAAAGCCCAAAGAAAATTCTTTTAACACTATTTAGTACAAAATCCGCAAATCTTTTGCGGACAAATCCGCAAAAATATTTGCGGACAATCCGCAAAAAATTTGCGGACAAAATCCGCAAATTTTGAAACAATCCGCAAAAACTTACAGTTTTTGTTGTTCCATTTGATAGTATCAACAATTTAAAAATATATAAATATCCCGAAGTTGTAGTTGAAAAAAGAAGTTGAGAAGGAGAGGTTGTCGTCCCTTCAGTTAATCCAGCCAAATTTATAGAACTAAACATTGCCATAGAATAAAGTTGGAAACGACTGGATTCGACAATTGATTTTGTCAAGTAATTTAATTGTAATATTCTTAAAAAGAAAAGTTGGCTTCCTCCAAACATTTAAAAAATTAGAAAAAAATTTGCGGATAAAATATTTTATCCGCAAAAAATTTGCGGACAATTTTTTGCGGATTTCTACTTGTTCGCAAAAATTCTACAAAATTTTGCGGATTTTTTGACTATAGAAAAGATCCGCAAATCTTTCCATCAGATTTTCCGCGAACTTTTTTAACTATGAAAAAGTTCGCAAAATTTTGTCCGCAAGTTTTTTGCGGACAAAATTTTTATCCGCAAAAAATTTGCGGACAACTTTTTTTCGGATTTTTTGACTATAGAAAAGATCCGCAAATTTTGTCCGCAAAAAAATTTGCGGACTTTTTTTAATTATGATAAGATTGTCCGCAAAAAAATTTTGCGGACAAATTTTTTTGTCAACAAAATTGTCCGGAAATATTTTACTCAACCTCTCCTAAACTTTAAAAGAAACCTTATTGTAGCATCTGAACAAAGTGCCACTGCAAATTCTCTTCTACCAAAAATCCAACGAACACAAAGGACACGAATATCATCAATATTATTTTCATTTTTCAATTCGGTAGAAAAAAGTAAATTAAATTGAGGCGCATTTTGTTCTAAAAAATGATTAAAGGTAAAATTAAAGATTTAACCTACTTTTAAGATACACATTTTAGCCGTAAAGGTGTAACCACAAGTGTGAGGTTCTAGTTGACCCTGGTCGGACCTCACCGTAAGATATCTAGAATACTAGATTCGGGGTATACTCCGCAATTTTTGTCCGCAAAAAGAAAATTTTTGCGGATTATAATTTGTCCGCAAAAATTTTTGCGGATTCTTTTTTGTCTGCAAAAAATTATAGACAAAAAATTGAATTAATCTTACAGTGAGGTCAGACTTCATATAAAAATACTAAAGTAGGACCTCACTTGTGAGTAAAACTTTGAGGATAATCTTAAAATGACGTTAGTTAAAATCGAGGTTAAAATTAATTTAAAAAACCTCCAAAAATCAATTCCCAACAAAACAATTCTGAACGTCCCCCACCGCTTAACACCAAAAAATTTGAATTTTCTTGTAAAACACAAATTGTCTCCACACTTGAACGATGCATTTGAACAGAAGAATTAATTTTAAATTCTTTAAAAAAATTAAAATTTAATTTTAATAATTTTGTCCGCAAGTCTTGTCCGCAAAAATTTTGCGGACTTTCTTATTAAAATTTTTTGTCCGCAAGTATTGTCCGCAAAAAATTTTCGCGGACTTTCTTATTTTAAATTTTTGTCCGCAAGTATTGTCCGCAAAAATTTTGCGGACTTTTCTATTAAAATTTTTTTGTCCGCAAAATTTTGTCCGCAAAAATTTCCAGACTTTTCTATTAAAATTTTTTTGTCCGCAAAATTTTGTCCGCAAAAATTTCCAGACTTTTCTATTAAAATTTTTTTGTCCGCAAAATTTTGTCCGCAAAAATTTCCAGACTTTTCTATTAAAATTTTTTGTCCGCAAGTATTGTCCGCAAAAATTTTGCGGACTTTTTCCTTAAAAAATAAAAAAACCTTGATCTTCATTAAAATTGGAGCAAACAATTCTTCTATCAAGAGAACCACTCAAAATAAAAAAATTCTTTTCGTCTTTAATGAAAAAGTCAAGCGCAGTAATGTTTTCCGAGTGAGGGATTGCCTAAAAATTTATTTTTGTAGAAAATTTTTTGTCCGCAAATTTTTGCGGACGTCCGCAAAAATTTTGCGGACTTTTTTGCAAAAATTTTTCTAAAATTATTTTGCGGACTTTTTGAGTTTTACTGGAAATTTTTTTGTCTGCAAAAAATGTCCGCAAAAAATTTGCGGATTTTTTATTTTAAAACTAAAAAATAAAAAATAAACCTTTACAAAATTTAAAAACAGCGGTTTGAGAATATCACAAAAGAATGAACCTTTTTGAGCATAAAACAAACTGAAAAAAATTGCATAAATCTGCAAAAAAATTTTGCGGACTTTTAAAAGAAAAACGTTTTGTTATAGAAATTATGTCAAAAAATTTTATCCGCAAAAATTGTTTGTCCGCAAATCTCGTCCGCAAAAAATTTCGTCCGCAAAAAAACTTGTCCGCAAAAATTTTTTGTCCGCAAATCTCGTCCGCAAAAAAATTTTTGCGGACTTTTCCACCAAAATATATTTTTAATTGAATAGTCCGCAAAAATTGTCCGCAAAAAAATTTTCGTCCGCAAAAATTTTGCGGACTTTCTTTCTTAAATTATTTTAAACGACTTTTTGGAGAGTCCGCAAAAATTATCCGCAAATATTTTAATTAAAAATTTACTAAAAAAATACCAAAGTTCATCATCATTCTCCAAAAAAGTCCCAGTCCAAAGTTGCCATAAACGTTTTCCCCCTCCCATCAAATATTTTCGACAGGCGATAGAATTTGTAGTTTCATCAAACATAACAAAATAATTCTTAAAAAAATTTTTTTAATTAAATTTTAAAATAAAAAAATAAACGTTTTGAAATCCAGCAATTAGTGAACGTCCTCTATAATTTTTTATAAATTCACAAGGCCATTCAAAATTTAATTTGGAGAAGGAAATTAATTCAAGTGAAGATTTACCTTAAAAATTGAAGGAAAGAAAAGAGTGAAAATCCGCAAAAATTTTTTGTCCGCAAATTTAAAAATCCGCAAACTTTGTCAGCAAAAATTGACCCAAATGTAAGAATCCGCAAAAAGTTGTCCGCAAAAAATTTTTTGTCCGCAAATGTAAAAATCCGCAAAAGTTGTCCGCAAAAATTTTTTTGTCCGCAAAAATTTTTTGTCTGTAAATGAAAACATCCGCAAACTTTGTCAGCAAAATATTAAAAAATGTCGCAAAAGTTGTCCGCAAAATTGACCCAAAAATATAAAAATCCGAAAAATGTGTTCGCAAAACCTTAAAAAATGTCCGCAAAAATTTTTTGTCCGCAAAAGTAAAAATCCGCTAAAAATTCAAAATGTGCGCAAATATAAAATCCGCAAACCTCGTCCGCAAAAATATTTTTGTCCGCAAATGTAAGAATCCGCAAAAGTTGTGCGCAAAAAATTAATAAAAAATTCCCTAACCTTTATTAATCTCCTCGTTAAAATTCAATTTCCACTTTTTCACATTTCCATCCCTTCCAATAGTCCGAAACTCAGAATTATTATTTTCACAGATTTCAATTGCTGTCACTGTATCTGTTCCGTGTGCATTTCCAAGTGAACATAAAAGTTTGCCGTTTGGTTTTTCAATGGAAAATACCAACAAAGCACCCGATCGAGTCCCCAATATGAGAACCGAAACAAAAAAATTTTAAATTAAAAAGATTTTTTTAATAGTATAGCCTCACTATAAGATACCCCTTTGGAAATAATTAAGAAAAATTGATAAAATATTTTTGCGGATGTCCGCAAAAATTTTTTGCGGACGTTTTTTCTGATGTTGAAAAAATTTGCGGACATCTGCAAAATTGTAAGGAAAAATGTTTTTGCGGACGTCCGAAAAAAATATCCGCAAAATTTTTGCGGACGTCCGCAAGTTTTTGCGGACATTTTTTGCGGACGTCCGCAATTTTTTGCGGACGTCCGCAATTTTTGCGGACAAAGAAAAGCGTATCCTGTATCGAGGGTATCTTATAATGAGATGTGAATGTATTTACTTTTCCGAGAAGAGATGATTAAAGCACTTTGAGGTAATGATTTACGGTTGTTAGTTGGAGGAAGCATAGAAAATGTGCAGAAAATAACACAACAAGTATTCTTGTCAACATTTGAATTACATTTATAAAGGGTCTGAAAAAGGAAAAATTTTGTCAGAAATAAATTTATTTGTCCGCAAAAAATTTTTTTTTGTTGTCCGCAAAAATCTTGCGGACAAAATTATTTTCAAGAAATTTTTTTATTGTCCGCAAATAAATTTGCGGACGTCCGCAAAAATCTTGCGGACAAAAAAATTTTTTTCGGATAAATAATTTCTGTCCGCAAAAATTTTTTGCGGTCAAAATTTTCTTTCTTAAAAACTTTAATAAAAAATAAATTTAAAAAAACCGCTTTCCCCGTATATTCCAAAGAAAATAAATAACCACAATTTTCTTCAAGTAAATCATCTGAATTAATCCAAAGAATTTGAGCAAAATTTCCATTAAACCGAATAAAGAAAAAATCAAAAAGTTGTTGAGAAATTGGAAAAACTGGAAAAATTTTTTTAAAATATTATTTAGAAGAAAATCCGCAAAAAATTTTTTGTCCGCAAAACTTTTTTAAATCCGCAAATTTTTTGTCCGCAAGTTTTTTACGGACAAACAAATTTTTATTAGATCTTTGATTGCCATACTTCATGTACTTTATGTACAATAGCCAAAAAATTATTTTTCAAAATCCGCAAATTTTTTGCGGAAAAAACTTGCGGACTCAAATTTTTTTAAACTTTGATTGGCAGATTTCATGCAGTTAATGTACAATAGCAAGAAAAAAAAAGTTCAAAAATGCGCAAAAATTTTTGTGGACAAAAATTTTTTCAATCTTTAATTAAATCCGCAAAAATTGTCCGCAAATTTTTTGCAGACAAAAATTTTTCAAAATTTTTAAATTTAAAAATTTTCTAAAAAATTCTTAAATGTTTAATAAACCTTTTAAAATATTCAAACAATTTTGTGAACAAACAGCAACAAGTTCAACCTTTTGAGAATAAATAAAAAGATCTGGCCGAAATTCTTTATCATCAATTAGCAATTCGGAATTAATTTTATTAGAAATTAAATTTAAGGGATTTAAAGTCCATTGAATTTTTTGTGAATCAAAACATAATTGATGGACAGAAAAGTGCCTAAAAAATTAAATCTGAAAATAGGACAAGATTAGATCGATAGTTTTGCGGACAAAAATTTGCGGACAAAATTTTGTCCGCAAATTTTTGCGGATAAAAGTTGCGGATAAAATTTTGTCCGCAAATCAACAGAAATATTTGATGAAAAATTTTGAAATTTCTGGAGGAGGTAGTTAAGGATGTTAAAAAAATTTACGAAAATTTTATGAAGTTAAGTCTCGCCTAAGTGCCAGTTTTTTGTTCTCGCGCCTAAACGACCCGGTGCCAAAGCGATCCCAACCCGACAAGATTAGATCGAGTTTTGCAGACTGCTAAAGCAGACAAAAATTTGCGGACATTTCTTGGACAATTTTATACTCATTTTTGCGCAAAATCAGCATATTTCAAAAAAAATCCGCAAAAAATGTCCGCAAAAATAATGTCCGCAAAAACTTTGTCCGCAAATTATTTTTAAAAATCCGCAAAAATCCCTGTCCTTAAAAATAGTAATATTCTTCCTTTAGGTGCCCAAAAAAATTTTAAAATATAAACCTTAACTCATCCAGAGCAAATAACATTGAAAAATCTCCAAGTTTTGCTACAACAAATGCATTTAGGTTCAAGCCAAATTCAAAAAGATGTTTTGGTTCAAAATCGGAAAAATGATCATCAACTTCAAAAAGAGGAAGACGAAGATTAACTAAAGCACCCATTCGCGATGAAATTAACTGTAAAAAGGAAATAAAAAAAGTCCGCAAAAATTTTGCAGACAAATTATTGCGGACGTCCGCAAATTCTTTTGCGGACAAATTTTTGCGGACGTCCGCAAATTTTTGCGGACAAATTTTTGCGGACGTCCGCAAAAATTTGCGGACGTCCGCAAATTTTTTAATTTTTTTTAGAAAATACCAAATTAAGAATCTTCGAATCATTTTTAAAAATTGGAAGAATGCTTTGAATTGTGCCAAGCGAATCCGAACCAAATTCAATACGTCTTTCCAACCTCAAGTCAATCCTTTTATGATCATCATCCTCTTAAAAATAATTATACAGACAGACCTCACTATAAGAAGCTGAAAAATCCTATCTTATAATGAGGTTATCAAGTAATGAGAATGATTTTTGAATGAATTTTAAGAGTATCCTATAGTGACCTTTTGCGGACATCCGCAAATTTTTGCGGATGTCCGCAAATTTTTTGCGGACAAACTTTGTGGACTTTTTCCTTACATAAGGGGTACGACGTAGGTGGTTCCCTCACATAGTGGCCATCTGACAGTGACACCCCATAAAAATATTTGCGGACAAATTTTGCGGATGTCCGCAAAAATTTGCGGACAAAATCAAAAATTTGTGGGTCTTATATAGAGGTCCGAGACTATTTCTAAAAAAATTTATAAAACCTGTCCATCTCCACACATTTAAATACTCATCAACCCCACCCGTAAAAGCCATTTTTTCTCGTTCAAAAAGTTCCAGAACAAAAGGGCGAGCACCGTGTCCATATATTTCGCCAATCTTAAAAAGTTAAAAATATTCTAAAAAAAATTTTTAAAAATTAAAAATAAACCTGAAGTCCGTCCATTGTCCAAACACGAAGTGCTCGATCATCCCCAACGCTAAACAACCAATCTCGATGACGACGAATGGCAAAAGGCATTCCCTAAAATTTTAATTTTTTATTTAAAGATTTTGTCCGCAAAAAATTTTTTTGTCCGCAAAAGAAGTTTTTGTCCGCAAAAAAATTTTTTTGTCCGAAAAAAATTTTTTGTCCACAAAAATTATTTTTCGTCCGCAAAAATATTTTTGTCCGCAAAATAAATTTGAATAGACAAAAATATTTGCGGATAAAAATTTTAAGAAAGAATAAAACATTTGACCCATTGAGGAATCGAACCTCAACGAAAAAATGGCAGACTCAACAGCTCTAACCAATACACCACAGAAGAGATTCATTAAACTATCAAAATAAATTATTATAAGCACAAAAGAAATAATGTAATATTAAAGGCAGTAAGTTCAACTGAGTCCCGACCCTATAACTCAAGTTCGGGTTGATAATTTTTAATGATTTTGGTACCGTTTGATATAGCATTAGATGAACTACAATATACCAAAAAATCAAAATTTTCGATTGATTGGTAAAAAAGTTATGATTTAAAAACTAACTTTTTCAAGAAAATCTGAATTTTCGGCACTTTATCGATCATAACTTTTTTGCCAGTAGGTCAGGAATTTTGATTTTTTGGTATTTTGTAGCCCATTTAATGCCCTATCCAATGGTACCATGAGCAGAAAAAATTGACCATCCCTTCATAAGTTATAGGGTCCGGGACTCAATTGAGTCGGGACTCGATTGAGGTGTATCGTTACCTTTTAGAATTTCCCCCACATATAAAATTTCTAAAAAACAAAAGGAAACTTGAAAACCTTATTTTAAAAATTAATTAAAATATATACATTATTTCCTTCAAATGTCCGCAAAATTTCTACTCCATTTTTAGACGGCCAAAATTGGTTTATATGGCCAAGAGAAGTACCAGCAAATATTTGTAATGATTCCCAGCTGTTACCGTCCAGTAAAGAACAAGTTCTTAAAAAAATATAATTTTGATTAGAAAAAAAGAAAAAATTATTGAAAAAAAGTCCGCAAAAATATTTTTTGTCCGCAAAAGTTTTTTTGTCCGCAAAAATATTTTTTTGTCCGCAAAAGTTTTTTTGTCCGCAAAAGTTTTTTTGTCCGCAAAAGTTTTTTTGTCCGCAAAAGTTTTTTTGTCCGCAAAAGTTTTTTTGTCCGCAAAAATAAGCTTTTGCGGATAAAATTTATGCAGATTGTCCGCAAGCTTTATGCGCAAAAATAAATTTTTGTCCGCAAAAATTTTTGCGGACAAAAATTTTAGCGGACAAAAAATTATGAATTGATCAGAAAAAACATTAAAAAAACCAACATAACTGATCGTCCTTTTAAATAAAGCTGACATTTTGTTTGAATATTTGAAAAATTGGATAAATCGAGTAATTTAATTGAATTAGTTGCAAAATGAAGGACAACCTAAATTTTAAAAAATAAAGTCCACCGGATTTTTGCGGATAATATCTGCGGACGAATTCCCTAATAGGTTAAAAAACTGTCGCAAGAAATTTGCGCCCGCAAAAAATTTTGTCCGCAAAAAAATTTTGTCCGCAAAAATTTGCGGACAACAGAAAAAAATTTTTTGCGGACAAAGAGACAAAGATTTTCCGCAAAAAATTGCAGACATCAGAAAAAATTTGCGGACATCCGCAAAAATTTGCGGATGTCAAAAAAAAAAACAAAAAAAAAACGGAAAAAAACAAGACGGACATTTTTATAAAATTAGCATCAAAATTTGTCCGTTAATATTGTCCGCAAAAATTCAGAAATGTAAACAAAATTAAAAAATACCCTTGTTCCATCAACACATTTTGCACCAATTATCCAATCGTCAAAATATAAATTTTGGTAGGTTTTGATAGGAAATTTCAAATCAATTCTATCGAGACATAAAATTTGGCACTCTTGTTCACCAACACAGAATAATGCTTAAATTGAAAATTTAAAAACACTTGTCCGCTAAAAATTTTGCGGACATCCGCAAAAAAATTTTTTGTCCGCAAAAAAGTTGCGGACATCCACAAAAAAAATTTTTTGTCCGCAAAATTTTTTAAAATTTTTAATTAATCAAACCTCCATTTTCCAACCAAATAATTTTTTGAACAGAAGATTTTGTACTAGAGAATATATCCAAAGTTGAAAGAAGTTCAAATCTGTCAAAATCCCCATCAGCCGATTGAGCATAAACTCGATAAATTTCAACAGTATTTCCATGGCCTATAAAAAAATTTTTTTAAATGGACCTTATTAGAAGAACCTGACTTTATTATAAAATACCCCCAATACTAAATACACCTCTATTTAAAATACCTTTTTGGTTGACCTATAGGATTTGTCCGCAAAAATTTTTGCGGACATCCGCAAAAATAATTATTGGTTCTCCTTTGATCAGTCAATGGACAATCTTTTATCTTATTGTTAGAAGGGGGCTGCTCACAGGTCCAGTGACTGACCAAAGGAGAACCATAATCATTTTGCGGATGTCTGCAAACTTTTTGCGGACAAAACCCAAAGGTCAACCAAAAAGTATTTTACAGCCCCCCCCCCCCCATTTAAGATAAAAGATTGTCCGCAAAAAATTTTTGCGAACAATTTTTAAAAGTTAGCCTCACTTTGGTTAGTCAATGGATCGGTTAGCCGCCCCGAAATTAAGATAAAAGATTGTCCGCAAAATTTTTCAGCATCGTGTCGCATATACATATAATACGAATCATCTCAACCCAAAGGTATTTTAAATTAAAAACCTGAAAGAATCAAACATTCATTTGAATTAACTGAATTTTGTGTTTTCAACTCTTCCAGACAAAGTCTTTGACCAAAAAATAGTGAGCTTGTGTGTTGCATTCTGCTATACTACTTATAAAATTCTGAACAAAATTTCTTAAAATATCTTAAAAATAAATCGGAGCGCGTCGTAATGCTAAAACAACGAAAGGCTAAAACCCACCAAAAAACCGCCGAAATGCCAAAAAATGGGAATTACACCAAAATATCAAATTTTGGACTTTGATTGGAAATTCGACGGCTTTTGGGTTAGCATTTAGGTGTTCAAGTAAAGTAGCACCCCGAGCCTTCGGGGGCGGGATCGTCGGGGATCGGTGTTTGCCGGGTAGATTCGGGGTTCGGGTCGGGGTTTTGGGGGACGGGATGCTACCCTACGTCTAAGCGTTACGGCGCGGTTTTAGCATTAAAGGGGCAATCCAAATAAATTATTGTCATTTAACAAAATATTTAAAAAATTAAGAAACCTTATTAAAACCTTTATCTACAAAATTTTTAAAAATTTGTCCGCAAAAAATTTTGTCCGCAAAAAATTGTCCGCAAAAAATTTTATCCGCAAAAATCCAAAATTTTTTCCTTCCTTCATTTATTGTAAACATAACATCGAGGAAATGCCTGTTCAACTTTTTCCAATTGTTCATGTAAAAATGCCAAAGCGTGCACATCCAGACTAAACACGCGACGTTGCCCATCTTTTGTAGTCAATTCCATTAAGAGTTCGTGGTCACCAGACTGGACTTGTCTTTGGGTTGAGGAGAGCTGGAAAAATAAAAATTTTCAGTCCGCAAATGTTCTTAGAAAATATAGTCTCCAAGTCGTTCTATTTAGTTTTTGCGGATGTCCGCAAAAATTTTTGCGGACATCCGCAAAAACCAAATATTACGACATACCGACAATCCTCAGTTATAGATACCCCCAATACTATAATAAATACACCTTTATTTAAGAAAAATTGTCCTCAAAATTTTTTGCGGATGTCCGCAATATTTTTGCGGACATCCGCAAAAACCAAATATTACGACATACCGACAATCCTCAGTTATAGATACACCCAATACTAAATACACCTTTATTTAAGAAAAATTGTCCTCAAAATTTTTTGCGGATGTCCGCAAAAAAATTTGCGGACATTTTTTGCGGACGTCCGCAAATAAATTTGCGGACGTCCGCAAAAATATCGCGGACAAATTTTTCTTAAATAGGTGTATAATTAGTATTGGAGATATCTATAACTGAGGTTTAGCGGTAAAACTTCAATTATCTACACCTCTCTACTAAGGTACGTTTTCTAAATTTGGTGGCCAATGGAGGCGGAAATTTCCTAAAAATAACCCTTGAGATAAACCCTCATTATAATGTAAGGCCCTTTTCAAACCCACGGGGGTGTCTTATAATGTTAGATAGCAGTAGGTACCATTTTTATGGAGATAGAACCTCATATAGTTTTTCCGCAAAAATTTTGCGGATTGTCCGCAAAAATCTTGCGGATGTCCGCAATTATTTTGCGGACAAATTTATGAGGATGTCCGCAAAAATTTTGCGGACAAATTTTTCTTAAATAGGATATTTGAGGTTCTATCAACTGGGTACCAGAACCGTCAGAAATCCCTAGAAAAAATAAACTAGGCAAACCTCCTCACATTTATATCAAAACGAAACTTGCAATCCTTGTATTCACAAAAGAGCGTCTCAGGTTGCAAAGGGTTTGTCGTTTTTGAATCAGCGATTGTGTTGGTGTTAGACTTGATTTCGTCGTTGCTAGTCATTATTTATTTATAAAAATCTAAACCAAATATTTTTAGAAAATTAAAAAAAAATTTTTGCGGACAAATTTTGCGGACAAGTTCTATTTTAAATATTTCCGGAAAAATTGTCACAAAATTTGTCCGCGAAAAAATTGTCAGCAAAACATTGTCCGTAAAAAATCTCCGCAAAAAATCTGTCCGCAAAAATTGCCGCAGGAAAGCTGTCCGCAAAAAATCTGTCTGCAAAAAATTGCCGCAGGAAAGTTGTCCGCAAGTAAACATCTACAAAGAAACAACATAAAAATATTAAAAATCGTTTAAATGACGACACAAAAAAAATTTAAAAATATTCCAACTAACATTTATAAATTATTAAATATTTTAAAAGAAAATATCAAAAAACGGGTGAGGGTTGACTCGAGGAATTCCAACTCACGGAACAGACAGGTCGCAGAACAACAAGTCGTGGAACAACAAGTCACGGAATGAAGGCATATCAAAATTTTTCAGAATTTTTTAAAGTTGTTTCTAAAACATTCTAGTTTGTTAAAAATGTCGTTTAAAGTTTTTATTTTTTAAAAATATTCAGATTTTTCAAAAAATTTCAATTTTTAAATTATACAGTGAGTTGTCCGTTCCGCGAGTTGTCCGTTCCATAAGTTAGCCCGACATAAAAAAACCTCTCAAAAATCCCCTCAAATCACTCAATAATCCCTCTTTTCCTCAAGTCTTCTTTTGCTTCAGCCACTTGTTTAATTAATTCCTCTCTAGCATTTTTGCAATCATTAAAAGTTGCGACGCCATAAATTATAGTTAACACAGCATAAATTCCGAGTGATCCGATCAAAATTAGGGGGGAATAAATAAGCAGTTGAATTCGTTGGGTAATTAACCAAGGCATAAAATTGAAGAAAGAAGGCTTTAAAAATAAAGATTGAGGTTTTTAGTCCGCAAAAATATTGCGGACATCCGCAAAAAATTTTGTGGATATCATAAAAAATTTTTGCGGACGTCCGCAAAAATATTACGTACATACGCAAAAATATTGCGGACATTTTTCCTAGAGTATCCTTTAAAAAGGATCATAAAAAATTTTTGCGGACATCTGCAAAAATATTTGCGGACAAATTTTTTACGGATGTCCGCAAAACTTTTGCGGACATTTTTCTTAGAGTATCCTCTAAAAAGCATCTCGATACTGAAATGACGTCTCTTAAGTCAAAAAAAACCTGTAAAAATAGAATTGTCCAAACTGTCAAAAAAGGCAAAAATCTTATGAAGAATAAAGTCAATTGAGTTGCCATTTTGAATTAAATTTTTCTAAAAAAATTAAAAAAAAATTTTTGAATTAAATATTAAAAAATAAATAAATATGCGTAAAAACACATATTTTCAAAGATGTTTTTTTTCTAAAAGTCAGCGAAATTTATTCACAAGAGTTTATATAGAAAAATAAGAATAAAAAAATCCGCAAAAAATTTGCGGACAATTTTTGCGGACTTTAGTTACAAAGACCCTGTCAGCAAAAATTTTTGCTGAATTTTAACAGAAAGGTCTTCGATTTAGTAAAATCCGCAAAAAATTTGCGGACAATTCTTGCAGACTTTTGTTACATAGGTCCTGAACAGCAAATTGTACACAAAAATTCTTGGAGATTTTTCTCAAAAGTCCGCAAAAAATTTTTGCGTACAATCTTTTGAGGACAAACAAGTTTGTTTTTTTTTTTGCGGAAAATTCTGTGATATTCAATTTTAATAAAGTCGCAAAAATTTTTGCTGACTTTTTAACAGAAAGGTCTTCGATTTAGTAAAATCTGCAAAAATTGTCCGCAAAAAGAAAATACAAAATTTATTGAATTGTATTAGACGACGATTGTTGCCTTATCCACAAAATTTTTGCGGACAATTTTTGCGGACATTTGGCAGAAAGAGTGCCGGAAAATTGGGCTCTGGAAAATTGGGCTCCAAGATTTTTCGGAAAATTGGGCTCTAACTTTTCGGAAAATTGGGCTCCAGCGGAAATTTGGGCTCTATGAGAAAAAAACGGAAATTTGGGCTCCAATTTTTTAGGCGCGGGGAATTGTGGGCGTCGGAGTTAATTTTTGGATTTTTCCGAAAACTGACACAAAATTTAACAACCTAGACCTATGGGTGTCGGCGAGGCGCTTGTGCAAAATCCCGCGCTTCGCGCGGGATTTTGCGGCACGCGCCTCGCGGGAGTCAACGGTCGCTGGGTTCTACAACAGTACATAAACCTATTCCTTTTACTGATTTTCAGCTTTGAAATAACGACCTACCCACTAATTATCAGCACAAAAATAGTTATTACAGAGAATTTTGTGATATTTTTCGGAAAAATCCAAAAATTAACTCCGACGCCCACAATTCCCCGCGCCTAAAAAATTGGAGCCCAAATTTCCGCTGGAGCCCAATTTTCCGAAAAGTTGGAGCCCAATTTTCCGAAAAATCTTGGAGCCCAATTTTCCAGAGCCCAATTTTCCGGACACCGGCAGAAAAGGCTAATTATTCACAAAAGTCCGCAAAAATTGTCCGCAAAAAGAAAATAAAAAAACTAAATTTATTGTGTAGTATTAGACAACGATTGTTGTTGTTGCTGCTCTTTCTTAACAATTTTTTGTTGATTTTCATTAAATCTATCTTTAGCGCTAATTAATCCTGCCCCATAATAAGTATATTGAGAATTCATCAAATCACTTGAGAGAAAAAAATTTTTTCAAAAAAAATAAATTTATTCAAAAAATAATGGTTCTACTTGACTTTATGAGTCCAATCAAAAAGAAATTTGATTTTTCTTGATATTTCAAAGTTGGGGTATTGTCCAAAACATTTCTTCATGTTCGGGACCTACGCCCACTGGGTCTGGGACCATTCCCCGTTCCTTACCTTACCCCCTCGAAATTTTTTAAAGTTAAAATCGTTTTTCTGAAATTTTTAAAAATTGGCTATAACTTTCAGAAATTTCCAGGGATAAGGTAAGGAACGGATCCAGACCCAGAAGGCGTAGGTCCCAAAGATGACTAAATGTTTTGGAGCCATACTTTGCAATACCAAGAAAAATCGAATTTCTTTTCTGATTGGACTCAAAGTCAAGTAGAACCAAAAAAAACCTGTGATATTCCTTCTGAAATTTGCGCCGTTTGTGGTGAATCTGAAGGAAAAAATTTTTAACAAAAATTTTTTAAATGAAGAAAACCTTCAAAATTTCTCTCAAATCTTGATCTGTTATTTGTTCTTCACCACCTTAATAAATAAAAAAATATGGGCTTTTATTTGCGGACGATTTTTGCGGACTTTTTAACGTAAAATGCCTTTTTTTAAGTCCGCAAAAATCGTCCGCAAATATTTTGCGGACTTTTGATAGAAAAAGCCATGTGTCCGCAACTTTCTTGCGGAATATTTTTGTGAACCTTCAATTAGTTAACTATTCTTTTATTAAAAATCCGCAAATATTTTGCGGATTTAGTTAACATAAAAGGTCTTTTTATCAAAAGTCCGCAAGAATTATCCGCAAATGTCTGCAAAAATTTTAGTGAACTTTTAATAAAAAAGCATAAAATCCGCAAATTTTTTACGGACAACTTTTGCGGACTTTTGGTAAAAAAAGCCTTGAATCAACAAATTTTTTTCGGACGATTTTTGCGGACGTTAGATAAAAAAGCTTTGAATCCGCAAAATTTTTGCAGAATTTAAATGAAAAAACATTGAGTCTGCAAATTTCTTGCGGACGCTTGTGGCCCTTGATCTCTAGCAAATTCACGAAAACAAATACAGGGTTCGGCAACTTTCCCGCCCCTTTTATTTTTGCCATAACTTTCTTTAAAATTGATGAAAATTGATAATTCTTTTTTTATTCTATTCCCAACACTCTAGGAAAATTTTTAATGCTAAAATTTATTTAAATTTTAAGGTTTAGCCTGCTTAATTTTCCTTCAAAGTTTGAGTAAAATTTTTTTCATAAAAGTTGGCCTGGGCTCAATGTTAAGATTTCGATATTTGAAAACTTTATGTCATTCGAATAAGCTCTTCAAACTGATTCGAATAATGGTTAAACAAAACTCTTATCTAGTCCATGAGCTGAGATATGAATTTTTAAAGATAAATTAGAATATAAGTGTTAAATTTCAATTTTTTAGTCGAAATTTTCAAAAATGTTTTTCTGGGATATTTCGATGCTCCTCAATGAGATAAGTCGATTGGTACCAAAATTAGTAAGATTGGACGACTTTGAGCAAAGTTATGACTGTGTAAACTTTGTCATAAAAAATGTTTTTTACGCATTTAAATGTTCGGACGGGTATATCTTTACTAAAACTTAACCAAATTTCAATTGCTTGGTACCAAAAATTTTCCTAGAGTGTTGGAAATAAAATAAAAAAAGAATTATCCATTTTGGTTGTCTTTGAAAAAAGTTATGGCAAAAACAAAAGGGGCGGCCAATTTGCCGCACCCTGTAATTATTCTAAAAAAATACCAGAATCCGCATCAGATTCCTCCAACAATAAATCCAATAACCATTTCCTTTCTTCATCTACATCTTCTACGTTGTAAAGACATTTTTTGTCTTCCTTTTGTTTTTCAGTGTCATCTGCCCAAATATCCTTGAAAAAAATTTTTTTAATAAAGAATTTAAGGGATGAAATTTTTTCAGCCCAAAGGAAGATCTAACAGTGAGGTCCGACTTTTATAATAAATTATTTGCGTAAAATCCGCAAAATTTTTGCGGATTTTTTATAGTCCGCAAAAAATTGTCCGCAAAATTTTTGCGGATTTTTTAATAGTCCGCAAAAAATCCGAAAAAATTATTTCAGCCCCAAGGAAGTATCTAACAGTGAGGTCCGACTTTCATAAAAAAATACTTGCGGATAAGTCCGCAAATTTTGCGGACTTTTTTAATAGTCCGCAAAAATCTTGTCCGCAAAATTTTTTGCGGATTTATTTAAAGTCCGCAAAAAATCCGAAAAAATTAAAACCAAAGACCCAAAGAAGTATCTCATAAAGAGGTCCGATTTTTATAATAAATTACTTGCGGAAAATCCGCAAATTTTTTTGCGGATTTTTTTTTATAGTCCGCAAAAAATTGTCCGCAAATATTTTGCGGATTTTTTTATAGTCCGTAAACTGCCTAATAAAAGTCCGCAAAAATTGTTCGCGAATTTATTAAAAGTCCGCAAAATAAAAATAAAAGACCGAAAAGTTTTTGCGGATTCATTTAAAGTCCGCTAACTTAATAAGGACTTTTTTATAATCCGCCAAAAATTGTCCGCAAATTTTTTGCAGATTTATCTAAAGTCCGCAAACTTTTTAACAAAAGTCCGCAAAAATTTTTGCGGACTTTTGTTAAAATCTGTTCCTAAAAGCAATTTGCGGATAAAACTTGCGGACTTTTCGGAGGAATAAAGAATAAAAAAACCTCCACATACATCAACTGACAAAAGATCCCTCTTTGCTTTTCCAGGAACATGTCTACTTCTAGCTACTTGACCAGCTGGACACATTGAAAGTGTACTTGGAATTCTACAAAAATTAAAGAGATTAACGTAATGTTCTAATTAAAATCCTGAGCTTGGCTCTTGGGTGGGCCTCTATTGGAGAGTGGGGTTCCAATTTCTAATAGGTCATTTTGAATGGGCGTATATTAGAGAGTAGGCGTTTAACTATGATAAGCCTCCTTAAGTAAAGTTCCAATGGAGCCGGGCGTATATTAGAGAGAGGGCGTCTATTAGAGAGAGGATACCATAAGTGGTCTTCTAATAGAGCTGGGCGTCTATTAGAGAGAGTGGGCATCCAATAAAGGGTGGCATTCTAGAGTAAGCTTCTAATAGAATCGGGCGTCTATTAGAGAGAGGGCATCTATTAGCCCATTTAGGAGACTTCAAAAATAAAAATAAACTTGATTGGTTGATCAATTAAACGTCTCAATTGTTCACAAAATTTAGTCAAGTCCAAAGCTTTTTCCAACTCCCTTAAACCCAATGGTGGTGCTGCTCTTCTTTTTCTATTGTTGTTGCTGTTGTAAAAATGTTGTTGAGACGAAGATGATTGTTGGGGTTGTTGTCCATGCAATGGAAAATTGGCTGACATTTTTTAAAAATTTTGTCTGCAAAAATATTTTTTTAATCCGCAAAAAATATTTTTGTCCGAAAATAATGTCCGCAAATAATGTCCGCAAAAAATATTTTCGTCCGCAAATAATGTCCGCAAAAAATATTTTCGTCCGCAAATAATGTCCGCAAAAAATATTTTCGTCCGCAAATAATGTCCGCAAAAAATTTTTTTAATCCGCAAAATTATTTTTAATCCGCAAAAAAAATTTTTGTCCGCAAATAATGTCCGCAAAAAAATATTTTTGTCCGCAAAAATAATTTATGTCCGCAAAAATATTTTTGCCCGCAAAAATATAATTTTGTCCACAAAAATTTTTTTGTCCGCAAATAATGTCCGCAAAAATATTTTCGTCCGCAAATAATGTCCGCAAAAAATCTTTTTAATCCGCAAAATTATTTTTAATCCGCAAAAAAAATTTTTGTCCGCAAATAATGTCCGCAAAAAATATTTATGTCCGCAAAAATATAATTTTGTCCGCAAAAAAATTTTTGTCCGCAAATACCGCAAAAAATTTTTTAATTCGCAAATAATATTCTTGTCCGCAAAAATATTTTTTGTCCGCAAATAGTGTCCGCAAAAATTATTTTACTAAAAATAAAAAGTTATATAATCTCCAAGTAATAGAATGATCAAAACATCATTTAAAAATAAATCAGTCACAAAATAATAAACATAATTTATTAACAAATATAGGTATATTATTTGAATATCAACTAGAAAATTGTTCTATAATTCACATTAAATTTAATTAATGTAAGCTTAAAGAAGATCTAGTCATTTTCAAGCTGACAAAATTTTTTTAATATAAGGGGTACAGCATTTTATATTAAAAAAGTCCCAAGTTTTAGCCGAAAAAGTCCGCAAAAATAAAAAATATAAACTAAAAAAGTCCGCAAATTTGTGTAGGCAAAAATGCGCAAAATCTGTCCGCAAAAGAGGTTAATGAAAAAAAAGTCCGCAAACTTTCTCTTAAGAAAGTCCACATAAATTAAATAACGCAAAAAGGGTCCACAAAATTTGACTTCAAAATGTCCGCAAAAAAGAGGTTAAAAGAAAAAAAACCTCAAGTTATGGCCAAAAAAGTCCACAAAAAATACTAAAAATTAGCAAGTTTTGCCGAAAAATCCGCAAAATTTGCGGACAAAAGTCCGCAAATTTTGTCCGCAAAAAGTCAAGGAAAAAACTGCAAAGAATGCCAGAATGAAAATCCGCAAAAATATCACTAACAAGGGTACCTCACGAACTGTCAGTCAAAACTTTGTATTTTTTTGTACCAATCAATAGAGCATCATCGATTTACTCTAGAAAATTTTAAGCTTTTTTGGCTAGAATATGAAACTAAAAAAGTTATGGCGCTTCAAAGTTTGCCAAAAATGGGGGAGAAAAGAAACACAAGAGGTTTGACTGACAGTTCGTGAGGTTCCCTTGTAAGATTCCCCAACAAAATTGTCAGCAAAAAAAGGCTAGATCTTCCATTATAAATCCGTGTTTCTCACCAAATATTAAAAAATACCATTAATTAATTCCCAAAAAACCTCAATTATAATCACGTGATGGAGAATTTTCACTATTTCCACTACTTTCACGTCTATGCCCTTTCAATTCATATTCTGCTGTGAACTTTCTTCCTTCTCTAATGTCCAAATTTCTGTTTTCACGTTCAAAAGTTTCAACCTTTAAGAAAAAATTTATAGGAAATTTTGTAAAGAAGCTTATGTTTAGAAGATTAGTTGGGGTTCTCACTCCCTTCCCTTTACTTCTACACCCCGTTTCATACTCAAAAGTCTGCAAATTTTGTCCGCAAAAAAAGACTCTCCCTTCCCGTTTCAAGATACAAAACAGCCTAAAGGCAGCGACTGTCGATGCCTTTAGGTCGATATAGCACTTAAACAGTGTGTGAGAAGCCTATCAACAATTGCTAGGAGGCTCAGAAAACCCTTCCTTGGTGGGTGAACTTATACGGGTACAGCCCAAGTAGGCGCTCGGCCATAACGGCGCTCGGCCATTACCTTGCTTCAAGATTTCCCAATCTTACCAAATTTAGTATCAAATAATTCCACTAATCGAGCTAAGGAGCATGATACCAAAATTGTCAAGGGACAGTCATTTTCCAGCAAGTTATGGCTTTGCGCCGTTATGGCTTTGCGCCGTTTTGGACTATACCCGTTAGATTAGTTGCGGTTCTCCCTCTCCCCCCCCCCTACAGAGTGAGAAGCCTATCAAAAATTGAAGAGAGAGGTAAGCTCACCCACCTGTAGCTGAACTGTTACCAAGGGCGTAGCCAGAGGGTCGATTTCGAGGGATGGGGGGGGGGGGGGATTTTAGCCCCAGAAGCCCCCCTGGCTACGCCCTCGTCTGTTGCTAAAAACTCTTATTTAAAAATCAAAAAAGAAAACCTGAACAAATAAATCTTCATTAGAATCGAATTCTATATCAGTAATTTCATTAAAAAGTAGATGAGGAGAAGGTAAATCTTCACATCCAATTCTCCCGAAAAATGAGAGAATATTCACTAAAATTTGAGAAATTAATTAAAATAAAAAATAGGTTAACATGACCATAAAATACCCTCGTGGATCAAAAATAGCACCTAATAATGAAGTGTATCTTAAATAGAAAAGATATCGTTTAGGCAGATACTTCAACCAATATCCAACCGAAGATTAAAGAAACGATCTTCAATTGAAGCGTACCTATTATTGGGGTAAGTAATAATGAGCTTAGACAATACGACCCTCAATTGTGTATACACACCTCCATTTATAAGATACGTTATTTAAAATTAAGTTGCCCACTAAAAGAGCCCTAAGATATCCCCCCTATTTTAGATACAACTCATTATAAGGTACACCTCTTTATAAGGTGCGTTATACCCTCTATTCAATATACACCTACGTATAAGGGACGGAATTACCCTCTATTTAAAATAAAGGTCCAGTCGTACCTCTATTTAAGATACATCTCATTATAAGGTGCAACCTTCCCTCTATTCAATATATGCCTCCATATAAGGGACGGCCTGCCCTCTATTCAATATACACTTCCGTATAAGGGACGGCCTTACCCTCTATTTTAAATAACCCCATTATAAGGTCGTACCTCTATTTAAGATACATCTCATTATAAGGTGCAACCTTCCCTCTATTCAATATACGCCTCCATATAAGGGACGGCCTTACCTATTCAATATACACATCCGTATAAGGCCCGGTCGCACCCTCTATTTAAGATACACCCCATTATAAGGTATGTTTGTTTGAGCTCCAAAGGGGTATCTTATGATGAGGTCCAACAAAAAAATTAAAAATATACTAATATCCCTGTGAAGAAAACGAAGAGAAGACGGATGAGACAAATCCATTGCTTGAGCCAAATCAATTACATAAACAGTTGAAGAGTGATACAACAAATTAAATTCACTCAAATCGCCATGTACCAAATTACATTGTTTGTACATTTGAACCAAAATCTTTTTTTGAAAAAAAATTTTTTAAGATGAAAATTAAAAGCTTAAAAAGCTTATGCGTCCAATCCGGTTAGGGACGATTCCGCGCCGACGATTCCGCGCCGACGTTTCCGCGCCAGGTCAGTTTCCGCGCCAGCTATAGAGGTTCCGCGCCAGTTATAAGATAAGTAAATAATAACCTGAACACGAGCCGGTCCACTTTCTATACATGTATGATTACCTACTTAAAAAGATAATGGCTTTTTTGAATCAAAAAAATTTAAAAATCAAAGTATCACATATTTTGTATAGCTGGCGCGGAAACGTGCTGGCGCGGAACTGACCTGGCGCGGAAACGTGCTGGCGCGGAATCGTCGGCGCGGAAAGATACCCCACCGCGTCCAATCAACAAAAATTGGATTTTTCATGGTTTGCAAAGTTAGGGTGTGGTTCCAAAACATTTCTTCGTGTTCGGGATCTACGCCCACTGGGTCTGGGACCATTCCTTACCCCCTCGAAATTTCTGAAAGTTACAGCCAATTTTTTAACATTCAAAAAAACGATGTTAACTTTCAGAAATTTCAAGGGATGGGGTAAGGAATGGTCCCTGACCTAGTGGGCATAGGTCCCGAACATGAAGAAGTGCTTCAGAACCCAACTCCAAATATAGAGAAAATTCCAATTATTTTTTGATTGGACGCATAAAATAGCCCAGCGCCAAAAAATTTTTTTTCAAAAAAAAAACCTGTCGAACTTGAGCAAAAGCATCAATTTTCATTTCTTCTGATTCCCATTGAATTTCTCTAAGTTGAGGGGCGGGTATTGAACTTCCAATCATTGACATTAATAAAACCTGATAAATTAACAAAATTTATATGAAGTGAAAAATAATGATTGCGAAAGCTTATGGCTCCAATTAGAGACCGGATTGTGGGTGTTGTATTAGAATCGAGGTCGATTAGTATTAGAATCGAGGTCGACACCTCTCAATAACCTAGATTTTTGTTTGGGATCCCGTCTCGATCTCTGGTTCTAACCGGTTAAAATCCAGTTCTGGGACCTACGGTTCCAAAAATAATAGTTGCAGAAACACTTTACAAAATTGAGGAACCGTTAGAATTTTGAGATCTCTGAAACCGATGTTGACCCGAAAAAAAACCAAAAATAAGAACTGCCAGAAAACAAGAATCAAATGGTTTTAACCAGAATGCATCTCAAGTAAAGTCGAACGATCACTCCCCTAGAAAACTTAAAATGGACTCGATGCAAGTAAGGCAAATAACTCCCTCCCCTGTAAAAAATGCAAAAATTCCGGAAAGAATGGAAAAAATTAGAAATTATTACATAAGGGATAGAATGTCAAAAATAAATAATTCAAAAAAACTAAAAAAAAACCTCACATGTTTTTTCAATTTAATTGGAGTAGGACATTTTATATTTGATCTACGTAGTCTAAAAAAAATAAAAAAAAATATTCAAAAAATTAAAAAAAACAAAAACCTTTTCATATTCATAAATTCTTTTTCAGCCCAAACTTTCATTACACTACGAGGATTTTTAAATCTAAAGTCATTCTTTACATATTCTGCACGATTTTTGAAACCGGTTAAAGTTGTTCGATAAACCTAGAAAAGTTTTTTGGATGAGCCCTTCCCTTCCTTTTCACGCTTCTTAAAAAATTACCAAACGGTCACGGGTACAAAATGGTCAAGGGTACAAAACGTCAACTAATAAAATATTTCGAATTGTAAACTCTATAGAAGTGTAAGGGTAGCAAGGGGGACTTGGGGCACAAGGGAGCACGGGGGACCCCATTTCCATCTTTTTCGAAAACAAAATTTGGTCAAGGGTACAAAATAGTCATAACCGCTTCCAAGTCATTCTATATTGGACTTGGAAGCGGTTCACGATACCCGGTGATTTTCCCAATGACACCTAACAAAGGAAAAAATTTTTTAAACCTTGATGGCGTAGTGTACTTGACCCGAATCAATGTTTGAGGGAATATCCAACTCTTCTTTTGAACTTTGACCACATTCACATCCATCAGAAACAGCATGTAAAACAGCCGATTCCTTTCCAGTTGCAATAATACCTTCAACACGATCAATTTCAGAACTGTTAATCCATTTAAGCAAAATAAGACGTGTTTGAACATCAACAGACAATTCATTTGTTTCTTTTTCTTCTTTATCTTTAAAGCGTAAATTTCGTTTTTCGTCCAATTTTGCAAAGCTACGCAAATCGTTGAGAATACGTCTTTAAAAATCAAAAAATAAATAAAAAAATAAAGTCTGACTTCCAGTAGAAAAATAACCCAAGGAGGATTTTGGAGGAAGAGCTACAAAATTTGGGAAAACAACAGATAAGCCCGTAGCCAGGAAAAATTTTTCAGGAAGGCCAGGTGAAGAAAATAATTTTCAGCATCGATTTTTTGCGCCCTAGGCGAAAAATTTAGAATTTTAGAGGGACGTAGGCAGAAAATTCATGTTTTTTGCGCCGCAGACGCTAAAAAGTGTCCCGCGTCCATTTCTAACGCCCCCAACGCCATGAAAATCCCTCCCACCACTGTGACAAAAAAAAATTTTTCACGACCCCATCCCTCGTAACTCTGTCTTCTCGAAAATTTTTCCATCCCTCTCCCTAGTAAACATGTATTCTCAAAAAATTTTCTAAAGGCGCTATCCGACACCCAGTACTCCCAACCTAATGCCAATCTAATTTTAATCAAAGAAAAAAACCTTCCAATTCGATGATCGATTACATCTCCAGTTTCTAATCCTAAAGGCAATTGCATGGCTTTTTTGCTTCCTTTGCGCTCCTCCAATCCTTGATCGTGTTTGGTAATATAAGTGCCATCATCTTTTTGATAAAATCCACAAGGGGGAAATGTTAAAGATTCTGGCGATTTTTCTAAAAAATAATTTTAAAAATTAGTTGGCTCTTCTGTAGCTGATCATAAAAATATAAATTCAACCAAGAGAAAATCGTATATGTATTGTGACCCCAAAACCCCTGTCAAAATACACGATTTCCGGGCTACTAGGCCAGGAATAACCGACCTCAGGACCAGAGCTGCGTTGAAATTCGATTTTCGATGTTTTTTTTCTTACGATTTTCAAAGAATTTTTTGTTTTGACGTAACTCTGTTCAGGACAAATCTCACTATATTTACAATTACCCCCTTTTTCCCTACATTTCTATAGATTTTTGGGGTCAATTTTTGTGACAAAAAGTGACTTGGCCGTATCTGAAAATAATGCGGCAATCAAATTTTTTCCTTCATTTTTTCCTTTCCACATTTTTCCTTATTTTGTACAGAAAGGTCGGACTTTTTCCCTCGTTCACTTCAAATGGACGGACTCGGACAGACAAAACAAGGACCGTCCGTGTTTTGTCTGTCTGTGACCGTCCGTGTTTTGTCAGGACGGACCCTGACAGACAAAACACGCACACACATCGGTCAGCTAAAACACGGACAGAAAAAACGTAAATGCTCACAAAATGAAAGAAAAATAATCCTTTTGCGTTTATAGTCTTAAGGCAAAAACCAAAAATAGAGAGAAAAATATAAGAAAATTAACCATTTTTAAGAATAAGTAAAAAAATTTGATTGCCGCATTATTTTCAGATAGGGCCAGTGACTTTTTCACTCACATTTTTCACTTCTTACTTCACTTTTTGTCAACTTTTGAGGCGAAAGCTACTAGATGACATTAAGTTCGTCATAGAGTAAGATTCGACCCTAAGGGGCGAAGACCAATTTCACGTAGAATTAGGGTTCTGAAGAATTCCACCAAAGGATTCGGGTTCAAAATCCTCACAGGGTCTCCACATCTGTGATGGAGTAAAACCCTATTTTAAACCTTATAGGAGGAACTGGACTAGAGCCAAAAATTAAAAAAAACCATAAAGAAGCTTCGTTGCAAATTCTTTAAATTCCTCCTCATATTCCTCATCTGAACTTTCCTCATGATCTTCATTCTGTTCTTTTATATAACGCGACGAATAGGTTTCCGAAGACAAAAGGGCTGTAGCCTTTCCTGTTGCAGCTCTGCTTTCTTCAAATTTCTAGAATAAAAAAACTTATAAAAGCACAAAAATGAGTCGTTTATAGGCTCCCCATCTCCTATATCTAACCTAAACCAGGCAATGGTTTTCTGACAGTCATCGAGCGACTATTTGTCTTGAAATAAGATAATTTTGGATTTTTCACCATTCTTCCTTTATAAAAGGCTCAAAATGGTCAGACTTCGTTCCATTACGGAACGATCGGCATATACCGAGGAAAAAACTCACAATTACCAGGGAAAAGGAAGAAAGGGGAGTGACCGAACCGAAGTACTATTAAAGGCGCATTATGATAAGAATTCTCTCATGTTTGGTTTGCAAGGATAATAAGCGGAAAAAAGAGGGGCAAATCTTGGAATCAACAAAAAGGACCTATTTATTGTTAAAAATATGGAGAAAAAGAGATCTCCAGCGACAACTATTAACGGAAAAATTCCTTAAGTATCCCCAATAATTTAGTAAAAAAATCCAAATTAAAAACCTGAGAAAGTTCTAATTCCCTATCATATTCACGTTGTAATTTCGCCGCTAGAAGCTCATCAGCAGAACAATCCGGGTCACGAGACAATTCGAGTGCCAAAAAATAATCACGGGAACAATCATCCTCACACAGAGAAACATCGAAATCGAATTGGCCAACTGATTCAAACTCCTAAAAATTCAAAAAATAAACAAAACTCATTATAAGATAGACACATGGCCCGAAAAAATCGTAGCTATTAAAAAAGTATCTCATCTTAAATCGAGAGTAAGATCGTGCCTTATAAAGAGGTGTATCTTAAAAAGGGGGTACCGCTGACCGCTCCACCTCCTCAGGCCCGTAGCTAAGATTTTTTCCGAGGGCCAAGGGGGAAATTTTCTGTCCCGAATTTTCAGCGCCTGCACCTCCTAAAACCAACCAAAATTTAAAAATCATACGTAAAATAGAGGTGTAAAAAGCGCTGTATCCTCAATTGTATCCCCACATCTATTTAAAATACGCTTCTTAATTTTAGTTGACTAATAAATAAGGAAAATATCCAAAAAAAACCTTAATTTAAAATTGTTTCAGACCAATGGGGCTCACAGTCTTATAGTGATGTCTGAATTTAATTAAGCAAAAGACAAACCTCATTTTTCTCCTGTTCTTCCATTATTTCAACAAAAGATACAACTGGTTGTTGTTGTTCGACATCCTCAGAAGTCTTGCCCCAAGCCATTTTTGGTTTAATACCTTCCGCCATTTAAAAACAAGTAAAAAATCTAAAATAGAAAAATAATTTTTTTCCAAAAGCTAGAAAGATAGCGCTTTTCGAGAGCTTTCGAATGATATAAAATTTATTCTAATCGGATCAAAAATAAAAAAGTTATGGTCGATCAAAGTTTTGGTGGCTCTAAATTGACCGTTTCCGGAAAAGACAGAATGACATTGATATTTTGAAGGATATCTTAAAGTTAATGTTGAAATGGAAACTTCAATTTGGTAAAATCGAAATGCCGAAATACCAAGGAAAAAGTGACCGACAAAATGGTACATTCTTTAAAATAAGACAAAATGCTTCTACGACAAAATGGTACAAAGGGATAAATGAGACAAAATGCCTCTAAGACAAAATGGTACGACGGGTAAATTAAGACAAAATGTCATTACGACAAAATAATACCTAGGAGAAAAAAGACAAAATGCCTCTAAGACAAAATGGTACTTAGGGTAAAATGAGACATAATGGTACATCTAGTAAAATAAGACAAAAAGGTACATTGAGTAAATTAAGACAGAATGGTACTACTGGTAAAATAAGACAAAAGGGCTTACCGACAAAATGGTACTTCGAGCAATAAAAGACAAAATGGTACTCAACATAAATGGTACTTAAATAAAATACTAGAGGGAATGGCAACATAATTTTGCTTCTTTTGTTGATGGATGTTCCCAACAAAGCTTACAACAACCCTTTAAACTGTTTACGATGCAATTCGGTTATTTTTAAAATTTTTTGCTTTAAAATTTTCAAAATTTAGGCAATGCAGGATCCCGTTCGTCTTCCCTGTCAACACCATTTTTGTCGGCAATGTGTAAATTCTTCAGAGTGTACCACTTGTTTGAGGCCGTTTAACTTGGCAGAACTTGCTACTGATAAGGTTTAATTAAATTTTTGGAGGGTGTAAGGAAAAGTGAGGTGCGAGAGGAGGCCATTCAAAAATAACCAGCAAAATACCGTGGTAAAGTGGGATATGGTCAGTCTAGAGGTCTCGGGTTCGAGTCCGGTTGTCGTTAAATGATTTATTTTTGCTTTTTAAATATTCGTTTTTGTAGAATTAACATATATAAGGGAATTTTGAGCTTTTAAAAATTTTTTTGAGCTTCTAGGACCAAAAAATAGAGAAACTCACATCAGTGGGAATCGAAAAAATGCCTTTAAAATCTTATATCTCTTGGTTTTAGGTATTAAATTACATCGTTGAAAGTTCTCGTGAGGCAACAGAAACATGCGCAAATTGTGATAAGGTAACTTATATTTTTTAAAGTGAGAGAGAAATGGGAATTTAACTCGAGCACTCATCGTTCCTGCGATCTCATGGCAGTCTACGGGCCTTGCTACGAGCTTTCGCTCACCACGTAAAGGTGCTCTATCGACAAGTTACTGGGGAACTCCGTTCGGCTTTTCTTTATTAAAACTTAAAATTCCGTTGACAAATGTTGAATTTTTAAATTTGCCCGTTTTGAGGTTATTTTCCGCAAAAACCTCACCTGGCTTTCCCTACTTTCGAGGCCCGGTTCAGTTCGATAGATCGAACCGGGCATCGACTTTTGGCCCGAAAAAGGCCAAACGGCCTAGTTCGATAAAAATGAGGCTTGTAAAAGACTCGGCCGGTCCGTCCCGAGAAAATGACTCGAACGTCGGCCCGGTTCGAAAATCCAACCCTACTCCTGTTCCTTATATCAATTTTAATTTTTTCCATTTACAGATTTCTCAACCAATGTATTTTTGTGAAACATGTCAACAACCTTTATGTGCTGAATGTCGAGAAATCACCCACAGGGTTTTATTTTTAATTAAATTATTTTAAATTTTGTGTTTTTTCAAGGCAAAAATATTTTTATTGCACAATATTGTTCAAATGGAGGAACGCGGAAGGATAAGAAATCGTCCATTTTGTTCGGCACATAATGAACCTTTTATTTTATACTGCCTTGAATCTAAGGTTTTTTTTCGTTTTTTTGGACTTTAATTTCCGGGGTTTTTAACTTTATATGATCCACCCTTAGCGCGTCGTAATGCCAAAACGCCGAAATGCCAAACTTCTCCAAAAAGCGATGAAATGCCATCTAGAAGTTTGCTTCCATAACTGCGGAGGCCTTACGGCCTTCTAGAATTTTTAAAAATTGTGCCTGCGTCGCGAAAATAAAAATTATCCTCGGTATATTGTATCAATCCGGTCTCTAATTTATCGTTAGACTGTTCCAATTTATGTGTCAAATTAATTTTTTAGGAGGGCAATTCAAGCTTTATGAGTCAACTCAAGTTTTTTTGGGTTCCTAAGGGTTCGTTGGGCTCTTAGGCGTTCACTGGACTCCTAGGAGTTCATTTGTCTCTTAAGTGGACTTTTAGGGGTGCACTGGACTTCTAGGAGTTCGTTGGGCTCTTAAGCGTTCACTGAACTCCTAGGAGTTCACTCGACTCTTAAGCGGACTCCTAGAGATTCACTGGACTCCTAAGTGTTTACTAGACTCCTAGAGATTCACTGGACTCTTAAGCGAACTCCTAGGGGTTCGTTGGACTCATAATCGGAAATAGAGCCTTATTTTCTTTATTTTAGTCTTTAATGTGCATCGAATGTTTCAATTCCTCTTCTCTTGAACGACGAGGCCATTTTTTAAATATTGATGTTGCTCATAAAATTTGTTGTGATAAACTGGAAAAAAGTGCTGTGAATCTCCGTGCATTTCAATCAGAATTAAGGGAACAGTGTGACTTGAGACGTCGACTTGTTGATGAATTGGAGAAAAATTTTGATTTTATGGCGAAGGAGTACGTTGCTTTTGGGGAATATTTTGAGAATGGGTTTGGGATAGAGACCGGACTGGCACGCGGACATATCGGGACGGACATATCGGGATATGTCAATGTACGAACAGTTACCCTACTGATTTCTGGATCTACGGCCACTGGGCCTTGGATAGTATATTGTCGGAATGGAGTTTTTATGTTTTAGAACAAACAAACGTGTAACAAAATTATTTTTGTCAACCCAATCCCGATATGTCCGTCCCGATATGTCCGCACACCGACTGGGAGTGTCGATAACCGATATTTTTTGATCGAGCTCACATCTCGGTCCGGTTTCTAGTTTGGGAACAGTGTGACTTGAGAGCGGGGTTGTCTGCAAAAAATGTCCGCATTTTTTTGTCCGCAAAAAATTCTCGACTTTTCCTGTCCGTAATACATGTCCGCAAGAATTTGTTCCCATTTTTTGTGCTCAAAGGTTGCCCGTACTCTTTTATTCGCAAAGGTCCGCAAGAAATGCCCGCATTTTGTCTGAAATAATGTCCGCACTTTTTATGCTTAAATGTTGTCCGCAAAAAATATCCGCATTTTTTGCCCGCATTTGTGTCTGAAAAATGCCCCATATCTTTTATATCCGAAAAATGTCCGCAAGAATCTAATCGCACATTTTGTTCTCAAAAATTTGTCCGCAAAAGTGTCCGCAAGTTTTTTGTGCTTAAGAAATGTCTGCACTTTATTGTGCTCAGAAAATGTTTAAAATTTTCATTCACAAAAAATGTCCGCATTTTTTGTCCGCAAAAAAAACAAAAAAAATTTTTTTTCTTAATTTTAAATTTAATTTTTCTAGAGTCACCAATAAATGCGACGAAATTATTTTTCGAGTAACCCAACTAAAATCCTTTTTATTAGACAAATTGGATCTCGAAAAAACTGAAAAGAAGGACAAAATAATTGAACAATTAAATAATTTTGAATTTTTGGAGGTTTTTTTTTTGAAATTTTTTTAATTTTTAAAATTTTTTTTTAAAGAGTCCCTTAGCCATCAATCTTTTGAGTGTCTCAATTTTTTGTTCATACGCCTCCAAAATTGATTTATTACATTGTTATGGAGATCTTTCTAAACTTATACAGGTTTTATTACTATTTTTATTAGGGTTACCGTTTTGGAGTCGGGCCAATGGTCGAGTCATATTTTCAGGCATTTTTTTCGGTTTTTTTCATTTATCGAGTCGGGCCGGTATGAGTCCTTTTTGGTCTTTTCTTTTATTGAGTAGGGGCCGTACGTCGAGTCATTTTTTTCGGGCCGAATATCTCAGGCCCGACTCGATCTTTCGGTCCGAATTGGGCCGACGGTTCGGATCCCACTCTCCATGAATCAGACCCGTAGCCAGGGGGGGTGAGGGGGGGGGAATTCCCCCCCCCCCGAAATGGGAAAAAGGAAAAAATTTGGGGAAGGGCTGGCCTACGGCCTTCTAAAATTCTCCAAATTTTCGCCTGCGGCGCTGAAAATAAAAATTTTTCCCCCATTGGCCCCCCCCCCCCCCGAAAAAAATCCTGGCTACGGGCCTGCCACGAATGTAGATGTCGAAATGCCAAACCCATATTTTGGCAAAAGTCAAGAAAACGGGCCACTGAGAGGAGTCGAATGACACCAAAATTACTAAGCGGACTCAACTATGAGCTGAGGTACAAGGGTTAAAAATGCTCAAAAACCATAAGAGCGACCAAGTTGATGTTTGGGGTCAAAATGTCGAAAAAAAATACGGAGAATATGTCAGCATTCTCATTCGACTCCACTCGCCGAGCTGTTTCGAATGATTGACCAGAAAGTATTTTTGCGGACTATTATTTTTTCTCCGCAAATTTTTTTTTGCGGACAAAAATTTAAAAAAATATTCATTATAAACTTTAAAATTTTTCAGCAATTTTTATCTTCAAATTCTCAACATTTACAAAAAGTTAAATTTGATTCAAATTTAAATATTGATTTTGCCAAAGAATTTAATTTATCAATTTGTCAGCCTTTGGGATTTATTCCACCCCCTACAACTGAAAATGTTTTGATATCGAATAAATTGATTGGGAATTCTGGAAAAACGGCTAAAACTGACAGGTTTTATTTTTAATTTTTGTATTTTTTCGACACTGACATTTTATGAAATTTGAGGGGGTCTGGCTTTATCCATTCGAGGATCCAAAGCTCCTTTTTAGGGGTTGGTCTGGGCAAGGCCTTTTAATTTTTTCAACACTTCGACATTTATGAAATTTTGGGGGAGGAGGGGTCCTAAAGTTCCCTATTCGACCCTAAGCTTCTTTCTAAGGTTTGTGCACCTCTCTATGACTGTTCAGTTCTTAAAGATTGAGCTAAGTCTAGGCTAATACCTGAGGGACTAGATGAGGGAGGACTAACCTTAGGACTCCAACCACCCCAGAGCTATCCAAGACTGAAAATTTTCCAGGGCTCGAGACCAAGACTGGAAAAACTCCCGAGAAATGTCTTGAGTCAAGACCATTAGTCTTGGAGGCGCAAGCCCATGAAGGTATTGAAGTCTCAAGACGCCCCTCTCTTGGAGTCTCAAGCCTACGAGAGGTTTTTGAGTCTCAAGACTCCTCCGTCTCAAGCCAATCTCAAGCCCTCTCAATCTCACCCTCTCAAGTCTTCAGCCTATCCTACTCAAGCCCTATCCATATCCCCCGGTCTTTTTTAACCTCATTTATTTTTTTTATTTAAAGGCACGGGTCTATAACCCAACCGACATCAACTGAAATTAATGCTCCAACTTCATTTGAATTTTTGTTTGGAGCTGACTCATTTATTTTATCAAAATTGCCGTTTAATAGAGAATCTAATACCTTCAATCCTATGAATTCTGAAAGGTTTTGTATTTTTTTTTAATTTTTTAAAATTAAAAAAATTTTGTTCCAAGTGATTCTCTCATGGAGCAACGATTTATGGACCAATTTCAATATATCACTATCCCTCTGCAAAAATTTACCAAGGAAATTTCGTTCATTTCTACAAGTTTAATGGATTTACACAAAGATATTGTAAGGGTTTTTTTAGTTTATGAGTCCAATGAGAACTTATGAATAGGGTTGCCAAAATAGACCGACTTAGACCGAGAGACGAGTCGGGCCTTGGGTATTTGGTCCGAAAAAGACTCATATGGCCCGACTCGATGAAGTTAGGCTGACTCGTACAGGCCCGACTCAATAAAAAAAGCCCGAAAAAATGCCTCGACTTCCGGCCCGACTCGAAAACGGCAACCCTACTTATGATTCCAATAGAGGTTTATGTATTTATGGATACCAAACTTAGCGGGGCAATACCTTAACACCACCCAACTTTGGCTTAGATCTGACTCGAAAAATTGATTCTTTGGACTTAAGTTTTGATTGGACTCATAAGTCGTCATTGGACTCAAAACTTAAGATTAAACTCATAAACTAGACTTCAACCTGCATTTTTATTAAATTGCCTTTTTATAAAATTCCCACTTTGAGCTGAAAAAATTGTCCTAATAAATAATGAAGTTTTTTAAATTCATTAATTGATTGGGATAAATTGATTGGGATATTGATTTTGCGGAAAAAAGTCCTCATGAAATTTGCGGACATTTTTTTTGCGGATTTTTCTTTCCTATTAAAAGTCTGCAAAAAATTTGCGGACGTACCTTGCGCATATTTTTCTTCGTGAAAAAGTCCGAAAAAAAGCCTGATACCTCCTATTTAAGATACCCCCGTTATAAGGCACATTTTTAGGCCAAAGTAGGGTGTCTTATAAAGAGGTTCGGCTATAAGCTTCTTAATTACTTTAATTTAAATTGCAGGTTCTTCGTCGTTGTGTTGTTAATGGGGAAGAATTAATTAATCGACTTGCATGGTTTTTTAAAATTTTTTATAAAATTAAAAAAAATTTTTTAAAGTTGTGAAAGTGCTTGGGATCAATTGGAGGCACACAAAAAGAAAGTACAAATGATAATTCAACAATCTTTAAATCAAATTTGGAGAAGAGATATTGAAAGAGTTCAAAGGTTCTTTTACTTGTGCCAGATGGGTTTTTATAAAATATGTCCGCAAATTTTGTCCGCAAATTTTTTGCGGACTTTTATTTATTAAACCAAAAAAGTCCGCAAACTTCGTCCGCAAATTTTCTGCGGACTTTTTTATAAAGCCAAAAAGTCCGCAAACTTCGTCCGCAAATTTTCTGCGGACTTTTTTATAAAGCCAAAAAGTCCGCAAACTTTGTCCGCAAATTTTCTGCGGACTTTTATTTATTAAACCAAAAAAGTTTGCAAACTTTGTCCGCAAATTTTCTGCGGACTTTTATTTATTAAACCAAAAAAGTTAGCAAACTTCGTCCGCAAATTTTCTGCGGACTTTTTTATAAAGCCAAAAAGTCCGCAAACTTTGTCCGCAAATTTTCTGCGGACTTTTATTTATTAAACCAAAAAAGTTTGCAAACTTTGTCCGCAAATTTTCTGCGGACTTTTATTTATTAAACCAAAAAAGTTAGCAAACTTCGTCCGCAAATTTTCTGCGGACTTTTTTATAAAGCCAAAAAGTCCGCAAACTTCGTCCGCAAATTTTCTGCGGACTTTTTTATAAAGCCAAAAAGTCCGCAAACTTTGTCCGCAAATTTTCTGCGGACTTTTATTTATTAAACCAAAAAAGTTTGCAAACTTTGTCCGCAAATTTTCTGCGGACTTTCCTATTAAGCCAAAAAAAGTCCGCAAACTTTGTCCGCAAATTTTCTGCGGACTTTTTTATAAAGCCAAAAAGTCCGCAAACTTCGTCCGCAAATTTTCTGCGGACTTTTTTATAAAGCCAAAAAGTCCGCAAACTTTGTCCGCAAATTTTCTGCGGACTTTTTTTATTAAACCAAAAAAGTTTGCAAACTTTGTCCGCAAATTTTCTGCGGACATTTTTGTGTTAAAAGAAATATGGCTCTGGTTTAGTTTAGTTTTCTGCACTCTTTTACGATGACAAATAATGTCCGTGAATATTTGTCGACCTTTTTATGAAGTTTGAGAGAAATCCGCAAAATATTTACTATTTTTTATGATATTTGTAGGATACGTCCGCAACTTTTTTACGGATTTTTATGACGACGGGAGCAGGCCAACGTAACTTGAGTTAAACATACCACAGAGCTATAACTTCTTTCAGAATTATCAAATCCGGGTTACCCCGGTATTGTTCGATACAACTCGGCGAGCAGAATCTGACCACAACCAGGGCGGCCCGGATTCGACAATCTTGAACGATATCCTATTAATTTCCTATCAAGCCAAAAAAGTCCGCAAACTTTGTCCGCAAATTTTCTGCGGACTTTCCTATTAAGCCAAAAAAGTCCGCAAACTTTGTCCGCAAAAATTTGTCCGCAAACCGTCAAAAATTTAGTACCTTCATTTTTAGACAACAACATTTGGTCAAAGAAAAATTGGAGGAAATGAAACATTTACAAAAATTGGCTCAGCAGGCACTTAAGGTTTTTTTAGAAATTTTTTGAATTTTCTCAAAAAAATTTTTTTAAAGATTTCTCAACATTTAAAACCTTTTGCTGTTCAAATGGCTGGAATAATTTCTGTTATAGACGTTAGACGTACAACTTTAACTGTTCTTTCACCAATGGAACAAATTTGTTCAGAAATTGGACAAATTGGTATGGATAGTGAAATTAGAGTTGCTGCTATCGATAAGGTTTATTTAAAGAAAAAAATTTTTTGGGGTTTTAACCAGGCTTTGATTCTAATCAGAAATGGGTTAGACGATCAAACATATCACTCACTCATTCCGAGTGGTGTGTTGACCTGGATCAGGTCTTATGGCAGGAAATCTCCCTAATTAGAGCCGTGTTAGAAAACTACACACTCATCTCGCTGCGAGCGGGTACAACCTGGGCCGATCATAGGCCATGAAGAAAACCCCCAGGCCGTTGGTTTTGCTCTGTGTTTGGCCCAAACCACAGGGACTTCATAAGGTTAATCAAATGCATTAGACCAACAAGGGAGCACATCTTACGTTATAGAGACCGCGCCTGGGTATGGACCACTGATTTAGATTTTCTTATAATCAATGCCCAATAAGCAGGCATAGCTCCTTACAAAGAAGAGTGTTTTAGGTGTCCGTGGGACTTCGGGATGAAATTTGGTATGTAGGTAGATCATACCCTTTCTATTGTCAAACTTGAAACCGTTTCCGCTGAATGGTACCAGGGACCGAGTTATAAGCCCCCAAAGTTTTAGGATCCTCCACATATAAACAGTTTCTATCTATAGACTGCTGTGTTAAGCGTTGGTCCAGTGGTAGCGTTCTCGCATTTTAGTTTTTTCCCCCAGTTTCGAATCCTGATTGGCGAAATTAATTTATTCTACCTACCTACCAAATTTAATCCCGAAGTCCCACGGACACCCAAAACACTCTCCTTTGTTAGTGTTTTTTCTAGCTCAGGATTTGACCTGGCTGCTTGGCTTTCGTGTGTCTCTATAGACGTGAGCTCACCTGATTTCTTATGAATTCCTTTATGAGTTTTTAAAACCCGTGTCCAGACAATCTGTCAGTTTTTATCAAATTTTTTAAGGAAGAAAAGTTGAGACAGCAAAAAATTGCAAATTCATTGGCTACCCAAGCATTACAAAACGATGCTATTTTGGCACTTAAAAATTTGAAAGTTGTGTCTCCTTCAAGTCCAAAATCAACAACAACAAGAGGAGGAGGAGGATCTCGTCAAATTGTAGAAGTTGATAGGACCCGCTCTGATGACTCTTCTAAATTTTGTAAAAATTCTCTGGGAATATCATCATCAACTTTGACTGGCAAGAGACGTCAACAAATTTTAAGGTTTTTTAATATTTTTGGGTGACTTTGGTAGAAATTTCCGGCCTTCCCTCATCACATAAAAATTTTTATGCAATGACTCCATGCGGAGTCATTACACATCGTTCAGAATTTCGAATCCGGGCCGCCCTGGTATGATTCGATGCGCCTCGACGAGATGAATCGAATTATACCAGTTTTTCCCAGATTCGACAATTCTGAACGAAGTTATACCTCTTCGGTAAGTTGGGCTCTCGGTAAGTTGGGGTGTACCCATCCCAAAACTAATTAAGAGGTTCGAGGTTCCGTTGGTGAGCACTCTGCAAGTTTGATTTCATGTCCGGGAATTCGGGCCGCAAAAACGCCTCTCGGTTCCTTTTTTTAATTATGTATAGAATTTAAGGAAAACCCTTGTAAAAAATTTTTTGGTAATCCTGCAGAATCTGGGAGACACCTTAAAAACATCTTAAAAATTATTATTTTTTTCTGAAAATAATTTTTTATAGGTAATCGACCATGCTGGTCACGAATCTGAGTTTAGAATTTGTTTATTTCTAACCCCGAACTCGATTTCGACCAAGTCGAAATTCGGGATAAAAATTCGATATCAAAAATTTAGAGATAATCTGATACGTGTATTCGAGCTGAGTCGAATGCCACCGAAATCACCGCGATCCGACTCCATAGAGCCGAGTTACAGACCCCCGAAAAATGAAAATTTTTGGGGTCAAAAAATCGAAAATCTAAATAATAGCTCATTCGAGAGAACTCGACGAGCTGAGTCGAATGACACTAGAATAAACTCGATTGAATGATTCTGAACAAAGTTATGACCAACGGAATCTTCGGTGGAAACCTGTGGGAATATACTAAAGTGCCCTCAAATCAAGTATATGATAAAAATCATAGATAAAATGTCACATTTGACAAAATCTGATATCAGATTCGTGATCAGCATGGTCGATTGCCTATAAAAATTATTTTCAGAAAAAAATAATAATTTTTAAGATGTTTTTAAGGTGTCTCCCAGATTCTGCAGGATTACCAATTTTTTTTTATAAATTTAATTTTCTAGTCGGGCACAACGGAAATCAGAAGGTGCCTCTTCTTCAGACATACTACTAGCAACAGAAAGTATAACTAAAGGCAATAATTTACCTGAAGAAAAAGTCAAAGAAATAAAACAGACAACAGAATTTTCTTCCGTTAAAAATGAAGCAACGACTACGTCCGCAAATTTGGATGCGGACGTCTGCAAAAATATGTCCGCAAATTTGGATGCGGATGTCCGCAAAAATATGTCCGCAAATTTGGATGCGGACAAAAAAATGTCCGCAAATCTGGACCCGGATGTCCGCAAAAATACGTCCGCAAATCTGGACCCGGATGTCCGCAAAAATACGTCCGCAAATCTGGACCCGGATGTCCGCAAAAATACGTCCGCAAATATGGATGCGGATAAAAATATGTCCGCAAATGTGGATGCGGATAAAAATATGTCCGCAAATGTGGATGCGGATGTCCGCAAAAAAATGTCCGCAAATGTGGATGCGGACAAAAAAATGTCCGCAAATTTGGATGCAGACATCCGCAAAAATATGTCCGCAAGTCTGGATGCGGACAAAAATATGTCCGCAAGTTTGGATGGGGATGTCCGCAAAAATATGTCCGCAAATTTGGATGAAAAATCGGATTGTTCCCCGTCTGTTGATTCAAAAGAAGAAATTAAACCAAAATTAATTTCATTTGGAAAGCAAATACAAAAAGATAAGGATCCAACTGTTCTTATGGCTAGAGAAAAATTGTTGGAATCAATTAAAGAAAAGGTTAAAAGAATTGACTAATTTTTGATTTTTTCTTAGGATATTGAGAAGAGGTTTTTTTTTAATTTTTTTGGGGGTTCTTTTCAGTTATAGGGGCAAAGTCCGCAAGTTTTAGTCCGCAAAAGAGAATGGGGACCTTATAGAAAAAAGACTTGGGACCATAGATGTCCGCAAATTTTGTCCGAAAAAAAGGGTAGGGACCTTGTAGAAAAAACAAGAACCCGTGGATGTCCGCAAGATTTGTCCGCAAAAAAGGAAAATGGGGCCTGGCTTACAAAACAAGTGACTTACGGATTATGGTCGGCCTTCCGACCTTATAAGGCAGCCTTTTTTATAGAAACGACCTCTTGACCATTTTGGTCCCGGTGTTTTTCCTTTAGGTTCCTATCTCCTCTTTTTGCGGACTAAAACTTGCGGACAATTATGTCTATAAAAGGAAAGAACCAATTAATGATCTTGAGAATTGAATCTGTATGTATATTTATTAGAGTTTCACCGGAAGTTCCGGTTCCGGAAAGTTCCGGTGTTTTTTTGGTTCCGGTTCCGGGAACCGGAACTCAAATTGGATCCGGTTCCGGTCAAAATTTCGGTTCCGGTGAAACACTAATATTTATGTAAATGTGCAATAAAACTTTGCGGACAAAAAATTTTATGCGGATTTTTTGTCTGCAGGCAAATATTTTAGAGGGAAATGGTAAAACCAAAAAATAGAAATTGTCCGCAAAAATTTTTTGTCTGCAAAAATTGTTGCGGACAATTATTGTCCGCAAGAATTGTCCGCAAAAATTTTTTTGTCCGCAAATTTTTTTTAATTTTTAAAATTTTTAATTGATAAAATTGGATTTTTTTATTTTTTGTTCAAAATTGTTTATTTACTACAGGAATATTTTCAAATTTTTTTTTCAATTAAAAATTTTTTTTCCCATTTTAAGAAAAATGAGACATTTAGCTGCTCGATTTGTTCCAAAGCTTGCAGAAAATATTATTTCACTTTCAAATCAATGTCAATTTAACATTACTCCGCTTCATGTTGTTGACCCAAATTTGGATTTTAGAGAAGAATTTGCAAACGGTTTGGATTTTTTAAATTTATTTTTATAAGGCACCTCTTTTTTACGCACTCCCTTGGTTCTCAAAAATCGTGCCTTATAATCAGGGGTTCATTACACTGAAGTTATCTTATAATGAGGGGTGTCTTAAATAGAGTGTACCTTACAAAGAGGGGTGCCTTAAAACGAAGTATCTTATATCGAGTGTATCTTATAATGAGGTGTGTCTTAACACCTCATTATAAGTTACCCTCATTATAAGGTACCCTCAAAATAATATACACCTCATTATAATGTACCACTCATTATAGGTACCCTCTATATAAGTTACCCCTCGTTATAAGATACCTCTCCAAATTTGAGATACCTCTCATTATAATGTCCCTTCGTTATAAGATACCCCTTAATTTGAAGTACCCTCTATTTAAGGTACTCCCATTATACCTCATTATACCTCATTATAAGCTACCCCTCCTTATAAAATACCCCTCAAAATAAGATACCCCTCATTATAAGGTACCTCGTTATAAGGTACGATTTTTCACCCCAAGAGAAGTGTATCTTATAGAGAGGTTCAACCTATTTAAATTTTAGTTGAAAAATTGACTGAGAATCTTGAGAAAAGGCAAATGTTCGATTCAATTTCAAATTTGCCCAAAATTAGAGACGATTATTTTTGCTGGTGGAAGACTTACAGCAATCTTGTCAATTGTGGTGTGGATAAAAAGGTTTTAAATTTTTTGGTATTTTAAAGAAGAGAATCAAGCTTAACAAATATAAGCGACGGCGGATTTTTTGTCCGCAAATAAATTTTTTTTGTCCGCAAAAATATTTTTGTCCGCAAAAATGTAGGGAATCGTGTTTTAACCACGCATTCATTTTATGCTTGAGCAAGAATTAAAAATCAGAATCTCTTTTTAGTAAAAAAACCCAAAAAAGCATTTGTCCGCAAAAAATGTCCGCAAGTTTTTCTTCTAAAAATAATTGTCTATAAAAAGTGTCCGCAAGTTTTTTTGCTCCTAAAAAATGTCCGCAAAAATTGTCCGCAAATTTTTTCTCTGCTAAAAAAGTGTCCGCAAATTTTTTCTCTCTTAAAAATATTGTCCGCAAATATTGTCCGCAAAAAATTGTCCGCAAAAAAGTGTCCGCAAAAATTGTCCGCAAGTTTTGTTCTCCTCTAAAAATGCCAAAAATCTTGTTTAAAATATTTTCCCCTATTTTTAAAGGACCCCAATCAACGCGATAAATATATTGAGGTTAGAAGCGAGTTACTTAAACATTCTGAAGGGCTTTTGGGTGCATTGGCTTTGCCTAATTATTTGGATGTTGAACCTGAAATTAATGAAAGATATGTTTTGAACAACCATATTGGGAAAGATTTGGATGAGATTGTGGAAAATGTGAGGTTTGGTGTTAAAATTAAGTAGAGGGGTGTTGGGTGGGATGGGTAAGGTTGAGGAAAATAAAATGTGGGAGGGTAGGATTGGGGGTTTCGAAGGTTTTTCGGGTTCGGATTTAAGGTCGAAATATGTCCAGGGATTGATTTTTGGTTTCGGGTAGCCCCCTTGTTTTGAAGTAGATTGGGGGCTACTCCTTGGGTTTGGTTTAGCCAGGCCTATCCATGATCCGTGCTTGTAAAAGGAATATTAATTAGGGACTGGTCGGATTATTCGAACTCGAAATTTATATTTGGTTCGATCCGAACTCGAAACTAGGCTTTTTTTGGTCCCGAGGCGTCTCATTATAAGATAAGTTTTTTTTATTTAGGATATGGCTTGAGAAACTACCAAAGTAATATCCCCAATTTAAACGTACACCTTATTATAATTTACGATTTTTTCAAACCCCAAGGGTGTAGATATCGGTCTTTTTGAAAAGCCTGGGTCTGTTCCTGGACTTTGGGTTTGATTTATTGTCCTGGGCCGGATCCGGTGCCTATAGTCCAGGAAAAAACTCATGCCCATGAAAAACCCAGGAAGGTCAAAAAATGCCTGGGCCTGGACTCTGGGTACAGAAAAAATCCCAGGCCTTGATCCATACCCAGCGCAATCACTACAAGGATTTTTTATAAATTATTTTTTCAATTTTAGATGTCAACAAACTCCAAATAATTCAACAATTCAATTAAACAAACTTCGCTCCTCGCTTTTAAATTTTCTAATTAGAAAATTGAAACCAGCCCCAATTCATTTTAGTGGTCCTTATCTTGTTCGTCCAGCATTGGTTGAATGTTGCAATATTTGTTTGAATGAAGTTCCTTTAATTACTGATTGTGTTGATCCTCCTTTATGTTTAGTTGGTAAGAAGGATAAAAATTTTTTTATTAGGGGAAAATTTGTCCGCAAAAGATTTGTCCGCAAAAGATTTGTCCGCAAAAGATTGTCCGCAAAAGATTTGTCCGCAAAAAATTGTCCGCAAAAGATTTGTCCGCAAAAGTTTTGTCCGCAAAAGATTTGTCCGCAAATATTGTCCGCAAAACATTTCCGTAAATATTGTAGCCAAGGCTCTGTCCGTCAAAAATGACCCCAAGAATAGTCCGCAAAAATTTTGTCCGCAATAATTTTCCGCAAAATATTGACCGAAAAAATTATTAGAAAATATTTTCCGCAAGAATTTGTTTGCAGAAAAATTGTCTGCAAAAATTTGTCCGCAAATATTGTTTGTCAAAAATGTCCGCAAGAATGGCCGCAAGAATACTCCGCAAAAAATTTGTCCGGAAAATATTATCAGTGAAAAATTACCAGCAAATATTGTCCCCATGAATTTGTACACGAAATTTGTCCGCAAAATTATTGACCGCAAAAAAATGTCCGCAAAAACGTTTGAAAAAATCCGCAAAATAATGTCTGCAAAAATATTGTCCGCAAAATTCTTCTACAAAAATTATTGTCCGCAAATATTGTCCGTATAATATCCTCAAAAACTGTCCACAAAATTTGTCCGCAAAAAATGTCCGCAAATTTCTTTTAACTATTTTTCTCCCCAATTTTCAGGAACAAATATCCCCTCATTTCTATCAATTCTAGTAAATGGTTGTTTAACTTCATCAAATAACTGGCCTCTTAGTTTAATAGCTGCTGGTCCAGTTTATTACAAAACAACAAAAAATTTGGCAAAATTTTCTCAAACTGAACAAATTTCGATTTTAACAATGGGAAGTGATAAAGAGGAATGTGTTTCAAGACAAGCTGAAATTTTTACCATTTTGAAAAATTTTTTGGAAAAAATTTTGAAGGAGGGAGAACTTGAAGGTTTATTTTTGTATTTTTTGAAGATAAAAAAAATAATTTCCTCGAGCGGGTTCGAACCCACGACCCCCCCCCTTTTCATGTTTTTGGTTCTAAATTCTTGTTTTTTCTAATTTAAAAAATGTGTAGAGTTTAAAAATCACTTTAAGTGTTCAAAATGTTACTCTTTGACATTTTTCTAAAGATTAAAAAAATAATTTCCACAAGCGGGTTCGAACCCGCGACCCCCTCTCTTTCATATTTTTGGTTCTAAAATCTTGTTTTTTCTAATTTTAAAAAATGTGTAGAGTTTAATAATCACTTTAAGTGTTCACATTAGTGTCCTTTGACCTTTTTCTAAGGATTAAAAAAATAATTTCCCCAAGTGGGTTCGAACCCACGACCCCCTATTTTTCATATTTTTGGTTCTAAAATCTTGTTTTTTCTAATTTAAAAAATGTGTAGAGTTTAAAAATCACTTTAACTGTTCAAAATGTTACTCTTTGACATTTTTCGAAGGTTAAAAAAAATAATTTCCTCGAGCGGGTTCGAACCCACGACCCCCTCTCTTTCATATTTTTGGTTCTAAAATCTTGTTTTTTCTAATTAAAAAATGTGTAGAGTTTAAAAATCACTTTAACTGTTCAAAATAGTGTCCCTTGACCTTTTTCTAAAAATTAAAAAAATAATTTCCCCAAGTGGGTTCGAACCCACGACCCTCTATTCTTCATGTTTCTGGTTCTAAATTCATGTTTTTTCTAATTTAAAAAATGTGTAATGTTCAAAAATCGCTTTAACTGTTCAAAATAGTGTTCCTTGCCCTTTTTCTAAACATTAAAAAAATAATTTCCCCAAGTGGGTTCGAACCCACGACCCCCTACCCTCTCCCCCATTTTCATATTTTTGGCCTGAATTCTTGTTTTTTCTAATTTAAAAAATGTGTAATGTTCAAAAATTGCTTTAACTGTTCAAAATAGTGTTCATTGCCCTTTTTCTAAACATTAAAAAAATAATTTCCCCAAGTGGGTTCGAACCCACGACCCCCTACCCTCTCCCCCATTTTCATATTTTTGGCCTGAATTCTTGTTTTTTCTAATTTAAAAAATGTGTAATGTTCAAAAATCGCTTTAACTGTTCAAAATATGTTCATTGCCCTTTTTTTAGAAATTAAAAAAAGAATTTACCCCCCGCAGGTTCGAACCCACGACCCTCTATTCTTCATGTTTCTGGTTCTAAATTCATGTTTTTTCTAATTTAAAAAATTTGTAAAGTGTAAAAATTGCTTTAACTGTTCAAAATGTTACTTTTTGACATTTTTCTAAAAATTAAAAAAATAATTTCCCCAAGCGGGTTCGAACCCGCGACCCCCTATTTTTGTATTTTTGGTTCTAAAATCACATTTTTTCTAATTTAAAAAATGTGTAAAGTTCAAGAATCGCTTTAACTGTTAAAAATATACTCTTTGTCCTTTTTCTAAAAATTAAAAAAATAATTCCCCCGAGCGGGTTCGAACCCACGACCCCCTATTTTTCATATTTTGGGCCTAAAATTATGTTTTTTTCTAATTTAAAAAATGTGTAAAGTTCCAAAAATCGCTTTAAATGTTCACAATAGTGTTCCTTGCCCTTTTTCTAGAAATTGAAAAAAAATTTCCTCGAGCGGGTTCGAACCCGCGACCCCCTATTTTTATTTTTTCTTTAATTTTAAGTATCTGTAAAACAACCAGAAGATCTTCAACTTTGGGAACGTTCATCGTTAAATATTAGTAATAAAAAAGATGATGTGATAAGTCAGATTGCTTCATTTTCAAATATTGGTATAATTTTTTTAAATTTTATTTTAAAGAAATTTGTGGGGGATATTAACGATTTGGGGTATAATAGAACCAACCTGATTTTAGATACCCTCCCTCAACGTTAGATACACCTTAATGGATAACTGATAAGTCGTCGGCAAAGTACAATTTTCTACGGACTATTTTTTGCGGACTTTTCCTGTTTTAAATCGATTCTAAGCGATACCCTCTATTTAGGGACTGGGCCGTTTTGGCGCGAGCTTATAAAACAGTGATTGCTTATCAAAAATGATAAAATTTTGCAATAATGACTCTCGTGCCTTTATCTAAGTGTTCCAAAAATTTCAGAATTTTTGAGTAAGAATTCGCAAAATTGTGGCCAAAAATGTTGATTTTCTGGAAAATGCCTAATTTTTCGAGGTCTATCGACTATAACTTAAGTAATATTTGATGAAAAATTCTGAAATTTCTGAAGAAGGTAGACAAGGATGTTAAAGAAATTTGATAAAATTTTCATGAATTTAGGTCTCGCATAATTATCAGTTTTGAGTTCTCGCGCCAAAACGGCCCGGCGCCAAAACGACCCCAACCCTCTATTTAAGATACACCTCATTATAAGCTACGATAGTTTCAGCCCCAAGGGGTTATTTAAAAATGAGGTCCAACTATGCCTATCTTTCCCCATACAATTTTTTAATTTTCCAGGCGATTATATTTCTCGTCGTGCCCATGTTGTATTTGATACTGGCAACAAAAACAAAAATTTAGAAACTGATAAAAATCCAAATTATGCCCAAATGGCTTTTACAACAATTAATTTGGATAATTTAATTAAATGTTTTTAGGCATAAAAATTGTTAATGGAATAATTTTAATATTTGTTTTAATTTTGTAATATTTACAAAAGCCTTTAGGCTTTATATTTTTTAATTTGGCATTATTTAAGAAAAGACTGACTGACCTTTTTGTGGACTTTTTTTTGCGGACTTTTTCCTTGAAAGATAAAAGTCCGCAAGAAAATGTCCGCAAGTTTTTTGCGGACAAATTCTTTTCGTACTCTTCTTTATTACAAAAAAGTTCGCAAAAAATTTACGGACTTTTTTACGGACTTTTATTTTTCAAGGAAAAAGTCCGTAAAAATTTGTCCGCAAATTTCTTGCGGACAAATTTTTTTTCTTGCGGACACTTTTTGCAGACATTTTTTCATATATTTTTTCTCATTTTAAAATATGAAAAAATGAGGAAATAAAAATTGTAGAAAAAAGTCCGCAAAAAATTTGCGGACAAAAAATTTATCCGCAAAAAGTCGTCTCTTCTTGGGTGATGCCAAAATTTTTATACTAATTTTCTAATTAATTTTTTTAGCAAAATATTTTTAAAATGAAAAATAATAGCAAACCTCAATCTGATACTTCGGGCCAATCGGGCTTGAAAAAGAAAAAGTTTAATATGGGAATCGATGAAAGAAATTCTGATAATGATGATGATAGAGTTTTGGTACCTTTTATAAGGGATGTGCTTGCCGTTGCAAATGTGAGTGATCAACCGCCGGTTGTTCAAATTGCTGTTGGGGCGAGTGGAGGAGTGTAAGTTGTTTGTTGGAGAAAAGTCCGCAAGTTTTGTCCGCAATTTGTGAAAAAATATTTTTGCGGACGTACGCAAGTTTTGTCCGCAAGTTTGAAAGAATTCCTTTTTTTGCGGACGTCCGCAAGTTTAAAAAACTTTTTGCGGACGTCCGCAAGTTTTGTCCGCAAATTTGAAAAATTTTTTTGCGGACGTCCGCAAGTTTAAAAACTTTTGCGGATGTCCGCAATTTTTGTCCGCAAGTTTCAAAAAAAATATTTTTTGCGGACAGTTTTTGCGGATGTCCGCAATTTTTGTCCGCAAGTCAAACAAAAACTAATTTCCATGAGAATAAATCTACAAAAAATTGTCCGCAAAAACTTGCGGATTTTTTGAGACAATAAAGAAAAACATTTTTTATTTCAGGGTGACCGGTTATTTATTTGGCAAAACAAGCAAAGTTGTTGCTGCATTTGTCGGTGGAGCTATTTTACTTGTTCAGGTTTTTTTTTCATTTATGTTTTATTTTACCCTTAGGGATTAGAATTAGTTTAATTTTAATAGGATTTGGGCTGGTCAATAGGGTTGTCCGCAAATTTTGTCCGCAGGTTGTGGTCTGTCCGCAAATGAATTTTTGTCCGCAAGTTTTTTGCGGACAAATTTTTATATTGCGGACATTTTTTGCAGACATTTGTCATTTATTTTTTCTCATTTTTAAAATAAGAAAAAATGATATTCCGTCCCCAAGTGTGGTCTGCCCGCAAGTTGGGGTCTGTCCGCAAATGAATTTTTGTCCGCAAGTTGTTGTTTATCCGCAACTGTCGGACAACTCCTTCATTTTCACTTCTAACCTAGGGAAGGTTTTAGGGTTTGTCCGCAAATTGAGGGTTGTCCGCAAAATTTGTCCGCAAGTTGTGACTATCCGCAAGTTGGGGTTTGTCCGCAAATGTCAGTCCGCAAGTTGGGGTCTGTCCGCAACTGTCGGGCAATCCCCCTCCTCCTCCTAGCCTCATGGACTACTTTTCCTTCTCCCACTTTCCAATAAATTAATCTCCCCATATTATTTAGTTGTTTGAATGTCAAGGCTATTTAACAATAAACAAAAAAAGATTGAGTCGAGACATTGGACAGGCAAAAGAACAACTTTCTGCTGTTCTGGGGACTGTTAATAATGGAGAAACAAAAAATTGGGTTGATAATTGTGTGGCGAAGGGAGAGGCTTTAATTTCGAGAAAATCGACGAATAATAATGGAATGGTATTTTTTGATTTTCTCGTTAGGGAAAGACCGCAAATTTTTCGAAAGTCCGCAGGTTTAGTCCGCAAATTTTTCAAGTCCACAAGCTTTTTAAAAGTCCGCAAATTTTTCGAATTGTCCGCAAGTTTTGTCCGCAAATCAGACTTTTTAATTTTATTAAATTTCCACTCCTTGAGCTTTTATGGTTGGACCTAATTATAATTACCCTTACCTCATTTTTTCAAAAAAGATTAGTTGATAGCTCTATGTATTTAAAATTAGAGTCCGGCAAAATCGCATTCCCGGGATCCCGGAACGGGATTTTTTTTTCAAAATTTTGTACGGGACGGGATCCCGCGGGATTAATCCCGTAAATCCCGTAATCCCGGTAATCCCGTTCTCAAATTTCCCGGGATCCCGCCGGGATTCCGGGATTTTCACAAAAAATTTTTAACTTAAAAATAACTTGAATATTGGCGGATTTTGTGTCAATATCGGTTGATTTCGATGGATTAAGGGAGGAATGAATAGATATAAGAGTATTAAGAGGGATATCAGTGGATTAAGAGGGATTAAGAGGATTTGAATGCTTATACATAGGTGGATTTAGGGTGATATCGGTATATTTGGAGTGGTAAAGGGTGATTTGAAGAACGGTGGGTTAGATCGAATATAGCGGATTTAAGGCTCAACTGGATTTGAATGGATATATGGGGATTATTCCTCTAATCCCTCAATATACTCTTAATCAACAGATCCTCGATATACCTCTTAATCCATAAATCCCTGATACCCCCTATTATCCTCCAAATCCCTCTTAATCTGGTGTTAATCCCAAATTCATGATATCCTTTTCCAATACCCCAACATCATATATCTCTTAATCCTCCGGAATTGAACTTAAGACGATTTAAACTTACAAACCAACGTACACCTCACAATCCCTCTATATCTCTGTTAATCTCAAAGATCCATTCTTATTACTCGTAATCCATCCACCACAGGCAAAACTTTTCGAATTTTTCTTTTTTTGGAAGGCGAAAATTTTGAGAATTTTTGAAGAGCAAGTCACCAAATTTCTTCCTTTTTCAGCGCCGCAGGCGAAAATTTTGAGAATTTTGGACGGCCAAGAAGCCAGATTTCTTCCTTTTTCAGCTCCGCAGGCAGTTTACTGGAGTAATTATAAATCCCGTAAATTTGAAAAAAATTCCCGGGATCCCGGAACGGGATTGGGTTTTCAAAATTCGACCGGGACGGGATCCCGCGGGATTAATCCCGTAAATCCCGGAATCCCGGTAATCCCGTTTTTCGCGAAAAACCCGGGATTCCGGGACGGGATCCCGTAAAATCCCGTACGGGGTCCCGTCCCGTGCCGGTCTCTATTTAAAATACACTTCAGTATAAGTTACAATTTATTTTGACCCCAAGGGTGTATCCACAAAGAAACTCATTTGATGTCCAAATGTATTTTTTTCAAAAAACCAAAAAAATTTTTGCGGACAAAACTTGCGGATTTTTGAGAGAGGATAAAGAAAAGAAACCTTTTTTAATAAAAAAATATTTATTAAAGGTAAGCAACTTTTTAATTCAAAATATTCGAACAATTGGTGGATTTCTGGGAGGGGTGCTTCTTGGATTTGGGTTGTCTTGAATTTATTTTTTAAAAGAGATGAGAGAGATTATATATATTTTTGATATAATATTTTTAAATTTTGAAATGTTTTTTTCTTCAAATTTTTCAGAAAATATAAAAATGAGTCTGAGAGACTAAAAAAATTTTTTTGACTGCTGCAGGGAAAAGTGCGAGAGCCAGTCTATGGCAGGGATGGTACGGAAATATAATTTATATAAAAATTTATAAAAATATAAATTTCTCGGACCGGGTTTTGTTGGGATCAGCCCAAGGTACCGCAGAACTATAACTTCGTTCAAAATTCACGAATCCGGGATGCCCTGGATTTGACAATTCTGACAAAGTTATAGCTCTGCTGTACCTTGAAATATACCCTGTCTCATTCGTGTAACCCGTCCCATTTCTGGTCCACAAAAAACACGTATCAAGAGCATAATGGAAGTGCGACAAAATTTTGGCGTCCCAAAGGACACGAGTGGTGACTCAAGCCATATCCTTGGCTTACGATCCAGAAACCCCTAAGGAAGCTAAAAATGTATGTTGGTACTCAAAAGTACTGGGAAACCGGTATAAGGAGGCTAAAAATGGAGGCTAAAAATGGTCGTGTCAGGCTAATCACGGACGGACAAAACACAGTTCAGAGAAACAATTCTTGTTTTGTCTGTTTCGTGTTTTGTCATTCCTCGTTTCGCCCCTCACCCAAAAATGGTTTGGGGTCAACTCATGACTAAAAAATTCAAAAAAAATTACTTTAAACCCCAAAACATCAAATATTTTAATTATCAAAAAATAATCCATTTTTAAAAACACACAAATTTTTTTTAGCAAAAATCCTCACAAAAATTTTTTTCCTTTTTTCAAGTCTCCATAGGCGTAACAAAATTTCCGCAAAGTTCCACATCTTTCTGAATTTCTTTTGTTTTGAGAACAGTACTGAAAAATTTTTTTTGTTAATTTTTAAGCTGAAGGCCAGTCAAAGGCTCGCTCCAAAGGGCTCACTCCAAAATTTTTGGTCGATTTATAAATCATTTGACTTTCTTATTGTGAGCTTTTTCGAATGAGTTATTATTTGCCTGCTTAATTCTTGACCCCAAAAATGAGCAAGGTCCCTCCTTCACCTTCATTACGGGCTTACAATTTAGGGTATCTGTGATTCGATAATTATCTCTTAATCTCTCTCAATCCCATCAGTCCTCTTAATCTCCTTATCTCTCCCTAATTCTCTGAAATTTCCCTTAATTCCACCATTCCACTTAATACCCATTATCCTTACTTAATCCACTTAATCTCCATTATACACTCCTAATCTCTCCAAATCCTCTTTTGTATCCCTCATCCCTCTTAATCCCCTTAACACTACTTAATCAACAAATCAACTTAATCCCCATTATCCCTACTTAATCCCTCAAATCCGTTTTGTATCAATTATACATCTATAAGCTCTCACAAATACTCTTGTATCCCTCATTCCTCTTAATCCCCTTAACACTACTTAATCAACAAATTCCCTAAAATCCACTCAATCCCCAGTATCCCTTGTTACTCCCTCAGGTCCTCCAGTATTCCTGTCCTCTTAATCCCCTTATCCATACCTAACCCCCTCAAATCTCCTTCAATCTATTCAAAACTTCAAGCCATTCCCTCACCTATGAGTTGTACCATTCGACAGCTCACTGTAAGCCGAATCGAATGATATATGACTCGACCCCTTTTGGAGCCGGCCCTTTAAAAAATAAAAAATTCAAACGTAGTTCCAGGTTCAAAAATATATTTTCCGTCCAATTCGCTACGCTTTGAAAATGCTGGAACAAATGGCCCTTCCGTCTTTTTACCATTTTTAGTGAAGATAGCAATGTTATAAGCATTTCTTTAAATAAAAAAATTTTTTAGTTTCTAATTAAAATTTAGAAAAAAAATTTTTTTTACCCAGACATGTCATCCCCATGCATTCCAGCTTCAACAGCCTTACAGACTAATTTACGGCATTCGTCTTCCTTAAAATTAAAATTTTCAAAAATATAAAAATTTTTATTCAGAAAATTTTTTTCCAACTTCTAAAAATTTTTCAAAAATTTTTTCGATAAAATTTTTGAAAAATTTTCAAAAAAAAAGTTTTCGTAGTCGGAGAGATTCGAACTCTCGCGGGAAAATCCCATTGGATAGCAGCTATTAAATTTAGCAGTCCAACGCCTTAACCACTCGGCCACGACTACGCTTACTCTTTCTTCCCATTTTTATGTTAAATGCAAAGGGGAAAAAAGAAAAAAAGACAAATTAACGCTGGGAAGCGCCCCTTTACTTTTTTAAAAATTTCTAAAAAACCGTCATGTCCGGCTTAAATCCATTTTCCAATTCAGCTATAGCACAAAGACAGCCTGAACCATCAGCGCTAAAAGGCTTTAAAAATCCACCGCCGGAGGCAGAAACTTCGAATAAATAGGCTCCGGTAGCATCAACGCCACAAACTAATAAATAAGCGGAGACATGGCCTTGATACTTGAAAAGAAAAATTTTTAAAAAATTTCTTATGAATATTCATATCATTCGGGTAAAGGATAAAACACCGTCTGACTAAATAGAATGCAAAATAGGCCAACTTTTTTCCTTTTCCCCATTGTGGAAGGAGAGCGGAGGAAGGGGAGAGGAGGGAGGGGAGGAGGAAAGTGGGGAGGGAGGAGGAAGAAGGGGGAAGGAAGAGGGGGAGGAAAGGGAGGGAGGAGGAGGAGGAAAGGAAGGGAGGAGAAGGAGGAAGGGGAGGATTTTGGGAGGAGAGGGAAGGGGGAGGAAGGGAAGGGAGGAGAAGGAGGAGGAGGAAGGGAGACGGAAGCTTGTTGTAGCAAAACAAGGGGAAAATGGAGGAGAAATGGAAAAAGAGGAGGCGAAAAAGTCCAAAATCGGGCTGGACCCTCACCCCGAAAGTCCCAAACTCCGAAAAACTTTGTTCATGAGGAGTTCAACCCCGAAACCTGACACCGATTCACAACCCGAGACGAGTTGGTCGAAATAATCCCAATCATTCCCACTCCTAATTCCGAACTTTCTCAACCTTAACGAGTCTGGGGCCAGCCCAATCGGGTGAGGGACAAACCACCGTCCCACAAAATGCAGTCTGGGAATTAAAGTGTGTAGACGGTGATGTGTTCGGACGATGACTTGTCCTGAGACATATACTAGACTATCGGGACTAATCACTCCATCCTAAAAATTTTTGGATTTTAGTGGATTATTGAGCAGGTTTCGAAACAATATTTAACACCCCAAAATTATTCGAAAAAAATAAAACCTGAAATAAATATTGGCGTAAACGACGCCCAGCCATCATAACCCGAGCTTTTTTCCCTTCATTATTCAACTCAAAAAGTTCCATTTCCGTTTCCATCATTGCTGTAACCTTTTCCAAGTCTGATTTACAACCTGCTCCAGCAGCATAAATTAAGTCAGTTATACGATGTAATTTTATGGCATTCTTGACAGAGACCAAATTTCCCATTGTAGAACGTGCATCTGCACCGACAATCACTCCATCCTAAAAATTTTGGATTTTGGGGAGTTTTGAAAGGTTTTCGAAGGGAAAGACTCGGGAAAAACCTTAGAGACGGATCCTTCGCTCTCACCTCTTGAAGACCTGATAAAGGCCCTTTGCCCCCTTCACCGTCTATCCAAAACAGAAGAGACAGGCCCATAGCCCTCCCTCAAAAACAAAGACAGACACTCAACAGACTCTAAGATTATGTTAGTAAAATGGACAAATTCTCATATGGAAACCCTATGTTTATAGCCCAACAGCCCAATCCTAGCTTATAGAGATCGGCCTAGGTTTGGACCAAGGCCTGGGGTTTTCCTGCAACCAGAGTCCAGGCATTTTTTTTAACTTTCTGGGTTTTTCCTGGGCCTGGGGTTTTCTTGGGTCTAAAAACAGAAGTTTTCCAGAGTCTAAAAACAGGCCCAGACTTTTCAAAAATACCTGCCTCTACCAGCCCATAAATAAATTCAAAAATTCGAAACCTTAAAAACAGAAGCCACAATAGTCGTTCCAGTACTTGTAATATTCGTTTTACACTCCTTGTCGCCATTTTTGAGGGCCAATTCATTAAAAGCCAAATTCCGTTCCATAGCGGAATTATCGAAACCATAGCCACCCAAAGGCGTGTTAAGAAGTTGTTGAGAAAGTTTAACTGTTGGATACATAATTTCTATAAAATTAAGTGTTTAACAAGGTAAAGAGACGTTAAAATTAGGAAATTGAATTGAAAAACAAAAAAATCTCAAGAAAAAACTGAAAAATGATTACATTTTTAAAGGATGCTTAAATTGGATTTTGAGTGAAAAGAGTGTGGAAAAATAAGAGAGCGGGAAAATGAAAAAGAGAAATTAATGAGAGAGTGCGATAAAGTTAAGCGAGACACTTAGGAAGTTAGGTAATTTGGTTTCTTCAAGCCTTTTTGGGATTTTTAAAGTTGATATTTTGATATTTTAATTTAGAAGAATTTCAATATGTCAACTTTTAATTGGTAACTTTATTTGTCAACTTTTACGTTTTTCGGTAGAGGACGGGTTAGAAATTCGACCATAACTTTCTTAATTTTCGACCGATTCGAATAATTTTCACTTCATTCGAAAGGTCTTGATTTAGGGATTATTTACATAATAGCCAGGCAATTTATCGACCTTTCTACAAAAAGTTATTGCCTAAAAACTGACGAAAAGTTGATTTTTTCTGCCTTTAACATCGTTTAATCACTCGTAACATTATGTGGAGAGTCCAAATCAGATGGGTCTAAACTTGAAAAAATGCCCCATTTCGAGACCTTTTGAATGCTTTTTAGAAAAATTTTTCTACTCTTCCTTCTTATTTTTCAGAATTTAATTTATTTCATTAAAAATGGAGACTTCTGAGCAACATGTTGAACAACAAGTTGGTTCACCTTTGAAGGATGTTCGTCCAAAACGCAAATCAAAACCAAAGAGACACCCAACTTTTTCTGGTACTGAAAGCCGACTTGACTTTTTGATTAATAAAAAAATGGTTTTTTTTAATTTTTTAAAATTTTTTTGCTTGTGAGTTGGGTTGTCGGTTCGTTTTGCCGGTTCCAAGTATTTTTCAGTTCGGTCTTCGGTTCGGTTTCGGATACCCAAAAAATTTCTAGGAACCGACAACCCTACTCATGAGTTATCGGTACTTGTGTAGTTTACCCCCCATGAGCCCCGGGCCTTTTTTCCCTCGTCCTTTTCTTCCCTCGTCCTTTTTATTGGAGAGGGGTATTTTGGCGTTCGGCGCGCCACTACACAAGTACCAATGCCCACAAAATTTTCCCCACAAAAAATTTCAGCAAGCAATGGAGAGGGGCTTATAGGGGGGGGGCAACTACACAAGTACTAAAAAATTTTACCCACAAAAAATTTCAGCAAGCAATCGAGAAAACCTACGAAATCGAGGACGATGAATATGATATAAACGATGAACAAGGAATTAAGCTGTTGGAATACCGAGATAAACTCCTTTCGAAAGCTTTTGATATGGAATGTGAACAAAGAAATTATGCGGAGTTTGAGGATGCTGAAGTTGCTTCAATGTAAGAAAAAATTTTTTTTTGATAAGATTTGACTTTGTTTTAAGATACCCCCAATTCTGCAGAAACCCCTTTATAAGATACGCACCCTGAGAAATCGTACTTTATAGGGAGGTGATACCCTCCCTCAAGTGATACCCTTTATTTAAGATAACCTCTATTTAAGCAACACCTCATTATAAGATGGAACCTTTGTAAAATGCACCCAATACTAAATACACCTCAATTTCGAGGGGAGGGGGCTGCTTAAGTGATGACCTCTATATAAGCGACACCTCGTGGGAGTACCCTCTGTTTATACGACACCTCGGGGGAGTACCCTCCATTTAAGCGACATTCTTTATAAGGCACAAATTCAGACCCAAAGGAGACTGTCTTAAAATGAGCTTTGACCACACCAATTTTAACCTATTGATTTTTATTTAAGAGTTGAATGTGTTTCAAGTTCACCCAATCCAATTTTTATTTATGACACCGATTTGGAACCTTTGGATCAAATGCTGACTACATTCATTAATACTCCTGGCGGTTTATTGTCAGATTATTTGTAGGTTTATTTTGACTGGAAATTTTTGTGTGGCGTTTGGATGGGTTTTGCGGGCGATTTTTGCGGATTTTTATATGAAAGCAGAAAAGTCCGCAAAATTTGTCCGCAAATAAAAAAAGTCCACAAATTGCAAAAGTCTGCAAGAGATATCCGCAAGTAAAAGAAGTCCGCAAGATATGTCCGAAAACCGAAAATAGGTAGTCCGCAAATTTGAAAGTCCGCAAATAAAGAAATCCGCAAGATATGTCCGCAAATAAAAAAAAGTCCGCAAAATATGTCCGCGACTTCAAAATCCGCAAATGGAAAAAGTCTGCAAGATATGTCCGCAAATAAAAGAAGTCTGGAGGATTTGTCCGCAAATAAGAAATCCGCAAGATATGTTCGCAAAATTTATCCGAAAATTAAAAAAAGTCCTCAATACCCATCCAAACGTCATAAATGTTCAAATTTTTTCAAAAAATTTTTTTTAGAATTCCCGAGTTTGAAGATGTTAGGGACTTTCTTGAACATATACGCAGTGAAGGTGATTGTCCATTATATGATCGTTTTGTTCCTAAGGTGGATACGGAAGAGTATTGTAAGTAAATTTATTTTTGGGGTGGAGGGAAATTTTAATTTTAGGTAAATTTGAAATTTGCCGTAAAATGTCCGCAAAAAACGCCCGCTAGTAAAAATATCCGCAAAAAAAGAGAATGTCCGCAAATAATAATGTCCGCAAAAAATAAAAAAAAGTCCGCAAAAAACGTCCGCAGATAAAAAAAAGTCCGCAAAAATAAAAAAAAAGTCCGCAAAAAGCGTCCGTAAATATAGAAGTCTGCATAAAGACATTTCACTTGCGGACCGCTTCTAAAGAATACCCTCAAGAAGGAAAGTCCGCAAATGGAATGTCCGCAAGTGAAATATCCACTATTAGAAAAGTCCGCAAAAATCGTCCGCATTAGAAGAAAGTCCGCAAATAAAAGTGTTCTCTAAAAATGAGAATGTCCGCAAATTAAAGAATGTCCGCATAAAGCGTCTGCAAAAAATGAAAATGTCCGCAAAAAGCATCCGCAAATTATAAAATATCCGCTATTAGAAAAGTCCGTTAATGAAAAAGTCCGCATTAAAAAAAGAGTCCGCAAATATAAAAATCCGCAAATAATTAAAAAAAGTCTACCGGCAAATTTTAAATCTTCCGGCAGATTTCAAATTTGCCTGAAATTAAAATTTCTACTCCTCCCTTAATTTTAAATTATTTTAAAAATTTTAGCTGATTATATTCTCAAAATACTTCGAAATGTTCGAGAAAAAATTCAGTTGCACAGATCAATTAATTTTCGTCAAATGTATGATAAACAAGAAGGACAACAAGTTGTTAATAGTCAATCAAAAGCAGATTCGCTTACACCTTTGGATAAATTTGCTGAAAAGGTTTAAATTTTTTAGAATATTTTGACCCTCAAGATACCCCCCAATCAGGTCTGTAACCTTTTTTTTCGGAGGGAGGAGGGCAAGGGGGAAAATTTTTCTGCGCAGAATTTTTGACGCAGAAAACGCTCAAAGGCTGTAGGCCAAAAAATGAATTTTTTGCTCAATCCTCTCCCCAAATTTTTCCCTTTTTCCAATTTTGAGGGGAGGGAGGGGGATTCGGCCTTGGTACGAGATACCCCCAATATTTTTAAGTTTAAAGTGGAGGTATTTACTAGGTGAGAAAAAAGTCGGATCGCGGGTTTCGGATAGGAAAAAAAGTCCGGGGGCTTCGGGTGACCCGTCCCAATCCTGGTATGTATTCTATTAGGCCTGGTGCATTTTCGGTCTTTTGGGTACGGTACTGGTATCAGGTGCAGATCTGTAACCAGGATTTTTTCGAGGGGGTGGGGGTAGGGGGGAAATAATTTTCACGTCAAAAATTTTCGAGAGGGGCCACTGGGGGGGGGGGGGGGTTTGAGAGGATTTTTTTGAGAGCTCCTCATTAATAAATATAATTGAAGACTTCCCAAATTTTAAAGTTGGCAACGATGAAATCCGAAGGGCAAATTGTCAAAGAAGAAGAACCATCTCAGGATGACGTTGATGACTTGGAAATTTTGGAGATTTTTACAAAAAGTGCATCGCCGAGTGAAGCGTCGCACTATAACGATGTTTTGCAGCCAACTACTTCAAAGGAGGCAACTGATATTGATTTGGAGATTATTGCGCTTGATAAAGAAAATGGTGAGAATGCGAATGTTGGAGGTGGTGCTTATGTTGGGGACAATAATATGGTAAAATACTGGATTTTTTTGAAGAAAAAAAATTTTTGCGGACAATCTGCAAAATTTTGAGCCCATTTCGCAAAAATCTTGCGGACAATCCGCAAATATCTTGCGGACAATCTGCAAAAATCTTGCGGACAATAAGTTGCGGACTTTTTATTGTCCGCAGAAAATTTTGCGGACAAAAAATTTTCATGTTTTTTATCTTGAAGGACCGTGTTTCTGATTCTGAAATCTTTCAAAATTCTGGTTTAAAAAATCCGCAAATTTTTTGCGGACAAAAATTTTTTGTCCGCAAAAATTATTTTGTCCGCAAAATTTTTGCGGACAAATTTTTTTCTAATTTTTTTCAAAAATTTTTTCTTTTTTGAAGGATTGTGTTTCTGACTCTGAAGCTTCAGCAGTTTCTTCAAAAAAATCTGATGACGGTATCGCCGTAGGGGAGAGTGCAATTAGCCCAATAGCTTCTCCAAAGAAGCAAGAAGAAAATGAGGTCAAAATGAAAGATTATGAGGAAGACGACGATATTATCTGCATTGATTGAGAATTTTAATTGGGAAGGAGGAAAAGGAGCTTTTATTTTTTAAATTATTTTTTTTTTCGTTTGTTGTGAACAGTCGGACCTCACTATAAAATACACCTAAATTAAAGCTCCTCTATAAGAGACTTTAAAAATATGACCCACCTCTATTTATTGTACACCTCATTATAAGGTATGATTATTACTTTGAAGACCTTCACCCTTAAGGCCCCTGAAGACCTATTGACGCTGAAGACCCATTGACCATGACAACCGAGACACCCAAGATGCCGTTTGACTTTGAAGAACTTTTCAAAGGGAATACCAAGGGGTTTAGAGGCGGATAAGTACCCAGCTATATTGAGATCTGTGTGTCTACTATGGGTCATTAGAAATCTCATCCCCTTCGATCACTCCGAATCCATCGACATCCTCTTAATCCCTCCAAATCTGTCGATATTCCCTTTTGACCTTCCCTTTCAAAAGTTGTAGGTCTTCAGGGCATTTAGGGTGTAGGTAGATCTTCAGGGGTGGACTCGATTATTTCTTCTTTATGGGGGTTTTATACGTGAGGTTTGACTATATCTCCTCAAGCATAATTGCGGATACCTTTTCTTATCTTCTCGCATCAATCAACATTTAAATTTTTTTGCCGTGTAAATTGACCATAAAGAAAGGAAAAAGTATCCGAAAATGTGCTTGAGGAGAAAGTACCCTATATTAGGCTGCTGAAAATTTTATTTATTTACGACCTCAATACAATCAATTTTAGGAGGAGGACCCCGTTCCAATAATTACGCTATTTTTTTTAACTTTCCAAGGAAACTAGGCTAAGCCGGAAACAATTCTTCAGTAAACAGAGAATTCTGGAACGTCGATGGAGGGAACGGGATCTCGAAAATGCAATTTTATCGGTCACTAAATATAAGGGAATCCCGGAGAATTGGGATTTCTTCGAAAAAAAAATTTTAAAAATAAGAAAAAGGATTTTTGTAGGTAACACGAATCTGAGCTCAGATTTTAAAAGTCTCCCGAACCCGAATTCGAACATTTGACATTTTGATTTTTCGCCTCGTGAATTATTACAAAATATCTAACGCAAAAATGTCAACCACTGAGAAATGGGACATTTCGTCTAATTCAACGGGGAGATTGTAAAGCTGAAGGGAAACACAAAGATAGCTAAGAAACCTGAGGATCTTGAACTTTACAAAAAGCAAGCAGGCTCGTGTGATGCTGAAATGGATAAGGACGGAAATACTTGCCTATTTAACAGAACAATCTGTTACCTAGAAAATCCTTACATATTTCCGTCCTTATCCATTTCAGCATCACACGAGCCTGCCTGCTTTTTGTAAAGTTCAAGATCCTCAGGTTTCTCAGCTATCTTTGTGTTTCCCTTCAGCTTTACAATCTTCCCGTTGAATTAGACGAAATGCCACATTTCTCAGTGGTCGACATTTTTGCTTTAGATATTTTGTAATAATTCACGAGGCGAAAAATCAAAATGTCAAATGTCCGAATTCGGGTTCGGGATTCGACTTCTTCAAAATCTGAGCTCAGATTCGTGTTACCCTACAAAAATCCTTTTTCTTATTTTGTAAATTTTTTTTTCGAAGAAACCCCCATTTCTCCGGGATTACCTAAAATACATAAAGATTATTGGCATTGTTATAAATTGAATTTTACCAAATATTTTTTAATTCGAAAATTTGCTTTTACGAGCGTATTTATATTTACCATTTTTATCTTTTAAATCAGTTGGTTTGGCGAAGCCTATAAAGGCGCGGCTGTTTTTGGCGCGCATTTAGGGTAAAGGCCTTTCTTTAGGCCGCGCCGAAACGTCTCGTCCACTGACGGTGTTTTGTCGGACGGTATTTTGTCCTAATTAAACACTAAAAAAGTTGCATTTACTATAAAAAGGAGTTTGTTTTGTTGGTTCTCTCCTTTATTTTTGTTTTTCTTTTTTGTTTTTCTTGTCATTTTTATAAGAGAATCAATTTTTGTTTTGTGTTGTTTTGTTAACCAATGGCCTTTTTTACCTTCAAAAATTATTTGCAAAGGCAAAATAAATACGTGTTTCTTAGGAGAGAACCTTCAAACTAAATTTTATTAAGCTTAACAAAAATTGTTTTTAGTGAACGTAAAAGTAATTGAAAGGCTTTTCGATGGCTTTAAAGGACCGGGGACCTCAAAATGGGATAAAATTTTCGGACTAATACTTCCTAGATTGAAGTGTCCGCAAATATTTGCGGACAATCTATTCCGAGATCAAGTTGTCCGTGTCCGCAACTTTTGTCCGCAAATATTTGCGGACAAGCTTTTCTGAGACTGAATTGTCCGCAACTTTTGTCCGCAAATACTTGCGGACATTCTTTTCCGAGACTGAATTGTCCGCAACTTTTGTCCGCAAATATTTGCGGACAATCTTTTCCGAGACTGAATTGTCCGCAACTTTTGTCCGCAAATACTTGCGGACAATCTTTTCTGAGATCAATTGTCCGCAACTTTTGTCCGCAAATATTTGCGGATAAGAGTTGCGGACAAATAATCTACAGAGGGTTTGTCCGCAACTTTTGTGCGGATGTCCGCAAATATTTGCGGACAACTTTTTTTCTGATTAAATTTGGTCCGCAAATATTTGCGGACAAAAGTTGCGGACAAATTCTACGAGATTAAATTGTCCGCAAGTTTTGTCCGCAAATTATTTTCTTTTATTTTTAGATTTTTTTGTCTACTTATAATAAATTTGCTTTAAAAATGACTACGACACCGTCCTGGAATGATCCAAGGATTCGAAGCAGAGAAAAATCTGATTTTGTGTTGAAATTCGACAACTTGAACAATCCACGGGCTATGAGCCAAAAGAAATATAATGAGGTTTTATTGTTTTTATCCGATTTTAGGGGGGAACGGAGGGACCTCAAAAGGGGACACCTAAAAATGGGTAGAGGCGGCTAATGGGAGTAGGATGGACAATTGCAGCCCCGTAGCCAGGGGGTTCCTATTGGCGGGTTTTTCCGGGTTTTCCTATCGAGGCTATTAAAAAGTCGTGTTTTAAATGTTTGGTGATTTAGTGGGGAAAGTGTTCGGGTATTGGATTTGCGTAATATGTCGCGTGAGTTTTGAGGATTTTTTGACGGGTTTTTGTGATAGAGCTGGTTCAGGGCCAAGGCCCTTGTTTTTCCTGTACCCAGGGTCCAGGCATTTTTTACCTTCCTGTTGTTTTCCTGGGCCAGGGTTTTCCTGGACTACAGGCCCAGGATCCTGCCCAGGTCAATACATCAAACCGGGAGTCCAGCCCAAGAACAGGTCCAGGCTTTTCAAAAATCTCGATCTCTACTAGGAAGGTCTTCCAAACTATTCTAACCTCAAAATTTATTTCCTAGACATTACAACAAATGGGGGAGTATGGCCCAACTTGTCATGTTCAGTCAGTCTACAATGTTTGCAATCAGAAAGATGCTAGTGGACGGGATGTGTTGCGTTTGGTTGAATTAAAATCTGGAAAACTTGTTATACCGTTGGAAGATGTTTTTGACGAAATTGAGAGGTTTCTTTCAGTTTTATTGTGGGTTTAAGTTTTGGGCTGATTAAAAATGGTTTAGTTAAGCGTGAGGGAGATTTGGAGCAAGACACAAAAGGGGCGGGTTTTGGTTGAAAATAGAGCTAGGAATTTTGAAAAACCGCGACCTGGTCAGGGTAACGGGTTCTGAAAAATGGACTGGTCTTGTTGCGGCAACCGGGAAAACCCGTTCCCGGTTTCAACCCGGTATATTTAAAAAACCCGGGAAAACGGACCCGGAAAACGGGTCCCGATCCCGTTCCTAGCTCTAGTTGAAAAACAAGTTTGGGGTCCGGGTTTGTTGTCCTCAAAACTTGTCCGCATTTTTTTTGCGGACTTTTTTGCCTAGGAAATTTGCAAACTTTTTTCTCTCACGGACTTTTTTCTTGCCAAGTAAATTTGCAAAGTTTGGCCGCTAAACTTGTCCAAAAATTTTTTCCGCTTATTTTAACTATTTTTGCGGACTTTTTCCAAAAATTGTCCGCATTTTTTGTTTGTCCGCAAATTTGTCCGATTATTTGATCTGTTTTTGTGGACTTTTCTTCCGGCCTTTTTTTGTGACAAAGAAATTCCGCAAAAAGTGTCCGCAATTTTTCCGCGGACTTTTCTTGCGGATTTTTTTTTTCTTGCCAACGAAGTTCGCAAAATATGTCCGCAAAATGTGTCCGCAATTTTTGCATTCATTTTAAACTCACTTTTGACCCCTTTTTTAAGAATTCACCTTCAACACAACCACTTGTGCAACATTGCAAAATTCTACCAAGCTATCAAAGAGTCAACAAACCTCGCTACGGGCAATATAAGCTTTGAAATGGCCAAAGATTTTATCAGTCGCTGCCAGACTTGCACAATAAAGTCGCAACAAAAATCGTCAAAAACTTCACAAAATACAGGACTTTTTGCCCCAAAGTTGTCACCTACCAAATTTCCAAAGAAGAACGCGAGGCCGGAAAGCTCTCCAATTTTGTTGTCTAATGGAGCTTTGAATTCTGGTGGAAGTGGAAAGAGTGATGGAGCAAAGAATGGTTCTAAATATGGTTTTTATTTTTAAGAATTTTGGGGAATTTTGGGGGGATTTTTTGACCTTCCCTCTATTGGGGGTATTTCAGGAATGGTCTGGGGAAAAGGTGTATCAGATTTTGAATAATCCTCCCTATTAATAGTTTTTGAAAGTAGGAGGTTCCGGAAAGGGAGGGAGAATAAATGGAGGTACTACAAGTCTCAAGGGCGTAAGGGGGTCGATTTCATGAAGGACTAAAATTGGGGTGATCGCCAAAATGTTGGCGTCCAGAACGTCAACATTTTACGTATATTTTTATATTTCAAGCTTCAAGGGGCGCCCCTAGACAAGCCTTTGGAATTTTAGGTATTTTCAGATTCCAACAACTCCTCTCCCAAGCCCCTTAACAAATTGACCTTTTTCGAATTCTCTTTAATGTTTTGTTTTCAGGCTCTACTAATAATGGTCAGAATTTAAAGCCTCCTAGTCAACCTTCTTTTGTTGCACCAAGTCCGATATATACAGCAGGTTTAAATTTTTTTTAAATTTTTTTTGTAATTCTGATGGATCTAAGAGACCATCAGAAACCTTTTAGGGAACCTAAAAATGAGGGGAGTATTTGCGGACTTTTTTAATGGATTTGCGGACTTTTACGACTTTTAAAAATGTTGCAAAACCGCAAAAGATTTTTTGGTCCACAGATTTTTTGTCCGCACAAGAATTTCCGAAAAATTTTTTGTCCGCAAATTTTGTCTGCAAAAAATTTTTTGTCCGCAAATTGTGTCCGCAAAAAATTTTTTGCCCACAGATTTTTTGTCCGCAAATTGTGTCCGCAAAATTTTTTGTCCGCAAATCCCCAAAAATTTTATTTTTTTTAGTTAATCGCCCATTCTTTCCAACAACACCGCTATCTAATCAACCATTTTCTTCTATGACTTCATCGTCTACTAAAGATTTTAACAAGTCTGGATGGATGCCGACGTTCACCTCTACACCTCTTGCCACAAAAGCTGCTCAACCAAGAATTGGTATTCTTTTTTTATAAATTTTACAATTAGATAGCCCCCGTCCTATAGTCACCAAAGTTATGTCACTAAAGTATATTTGTCCGCAAAAATTTATTTGTCCGCAAGTTGTGTCCGCAAAAATTTTGCGGACAAATTTTTTGTCCGCAAAAATTTATTTGTCCGCAAATTGTGTCCGCAAAAATTTTACGGACAAATTTTTTATCCGCTAAAATTTATTTGTCCGCAAGTTGTGTCCGCAAAATTTTTGCGGACAAATTTTTTGTCCGCAAAAATTTATTTGTCCGCAAATTGTGTCCGCAAAAATTTTACGGACAAATTTTTTGTCCGCAAATTGTGTCCGCAAAAATTTTTCAATTTATTTTTTCCCTTCAGATATCTCGTCAACTTCATTCTTGATTCCACAATTTACACCGCATCAAAATAGTAATACAAATCAACTGGCTAATAATTGTCTGGTCAATAATCGAAGCGTAATTACTACTTGTGGACCGGCTTTACAAACTTCAAACGCTTTCACGCAAAATACAACAGTAATTATTAGCGATCATCCTGAAGTACCTCCAATTAGAGAGGTTGTGCAGAATGCTGTGGGGAATGCTTCAAGTAGAGAGCCGGTGATTAAACAGGTTTTTTTATTTGAATTTTTAAGCTAGTTTTGGGGTTGTAGGTCTGTCCCTACTTTTAGGTATACCTCTTTATAGGAGCGTAGCCAGGGAGGGTTGGGGGTTGGGAAGAGCTGCACGAAGTGGGAAGAGCTGCCCAACTGATACCCTTTATGTAAGATACCCCTATTTAAGATAACCTCTAGGGTTGGACGATACCGTTTAGAAACCTCGATTATTGTTCCCTGTGGCTGGTCAAAAAGAGAAGAGAGAAGGGAAAAGTCAGCCACAGGGAAAAATAAATCTCGAATTAAACGATCCCGTCTAACCCTAATAACCTCTATTTAAGCGACACCTCATTATAAGGCAAGGGCGTAGCCAGGGGCTTCAATAGCGTAGACAAGTAGTGGCGTAGTAAAGCCCCCTCCCCCTCCAAAATGAGGGAAAAGGTGAAAAAATTAGGAGAAGGATTATCGAAAAAGTGAAATTTTTCACCTATAACCGTTCAAATTCTCAAAATTATTTTCGCCTGTGGTGCTGAAAAAAGAAAAAAATTCGAAGAAACCTATTTTTAGTGGACAAGCCCAAGTAGGCGCAAAGCCATAACTACCTGAAAAATTTATGGACCTTAACAATTTTGGTACCATTCTCTTTAGCTCGATGAGAGGAATCGTTTGATGCTAAATTTTGAAAGATTCGGAAATTTTGAAGCAAGTTATGGCTCGGCGCCTACTTGGCCGTGCGCCTACTTGGGCCGGGTACGGCTTAGTGGGGTTGGTTAGTGGGACGTTATATTATAGCGTGGTCGACAAAATTTGTCCGCAAAATTTTTTGTCCGCAAAATTTTTTTTCGACTTAAATAAAATTTTTAAATTTAGGAAGTCCATCCAATCGATGAAATGCTTCAAAAATACATTGATGTTGGAGAATGGAAGAATGACTTTATTTTTACCGACACCGAATGTCGTCAAATTCTTGGAGAGCTGGCTAGAACACATTTTGGAATGTGGGAATTGAAAGAATCTAGAACAAATCCGGGAGAATTTTATTTTTTTAATAAGAAGGATGGAACTTGTCAATGGAATGAACCCGATGCTTGGGTGGAGGAAATTAAGAAGAGAGTGTCTATTGAGAAAGTTTTGAGAATTGAACAGGATGATGAGGTTTGGGGTTTTTATTTTTTTTTAATAAAAAATTTTGCGTGTTGGGGAAAGGGGCTTTGACTGCTTTTTAGAGTCCGCTAATTTTTGTGGACTTGCTTGTTGACTTCTTTTTTGGGGGATTGTTTTTGTGGACTCTTTTCTTGCTAGCTTTCTCTTGCCGACTTTTTGCTTGCGGATTGTTCCTCGAGGACCTTTTTCTTGCTGACTTTCTTTGCCTACGTCTTGGCTAAATAACTTTTAGTCCTTTTTTTGGAGGACTGTTTTGCGACTTTTGCTTGCGAACGCTTTTCTCGAATGCTTTTTTAGAATCTTTATTTGCGAATTTTATTTCCGGACATTTTTTCGAGCTTTTTTGGACCTTTTTACTTTTTGTTTGCGAGCTTTTGCTTGTAACTTTTCCTCAAAGACTTGATTGTGGACGTCTTGCTTACGGACTTTTTGCTTGCGGACTTTTTCTTGCGGATTGTTTTTGCGGACTTATTTTTTGCGAGCTTTTTCTTGCGAACGTCATTGCTGACTTTTCTAGACCATTTTTGCAGGCTGTTTTTAGCTTGCGGACTTCTTTCTTTCAGACTTTTTAGAAAATTTTACTTGCGTATTTTATTTCCAGACTATTTTTTGGGAATTTTTTTGGGAACTTTTTATGTTTTCCGGACCATTTTTTAAAAGTTTATGTAAAACCCAAATAAAAGAAAACTTGAAAATTAATTCAAAATTTTTAGAATAATCAACTTGAGGACGAAATTCTTGGCGAGGGTGATATAATTGAACAACCTGTTGAAGAAGACAATTTTGTTGTTGAAGATCCAATACAACGAAGGGATGAGAATGTTGTTCAGTCTTTAGGTTTGAAAAAAATTTTAGAATTTTTTAAAGAAATTTTTGGAATTATTTTATTTTTGGGGTTGAAAGGGTTTTTTGCGGATAAATTTTGCGGACAAATTTTGCGGACTCTGAAATTGTCCGCAAAATTTTTTTTGTCCGTAAGACATATAAAAAATAATTCCTTGGGTATCTTTAGGGAGGAGCACAGCTGTTTTAAAAGCCTTTTTTACGGATTAGATTTATGCAAAGTTGTCCGCAAAATTTTTTTTGTCCGCAAAAAAATTTTTTTTATCCGCAAAATTTTTTTTGTCCGCAAAATTTTTATTGTCCGCAAAAATTTTTTTTGTCTGCAAAAATATTTTTTGTCCGCAAAATTTAAAATATTTTTTGTCCGCAAAATTTTTTTTTGTCTGCAAAAAATTTTTGTCTGAAAAAAACTTTTTTTGTCCGCAAAATTTTTTTTGTCTGCAAAAATTTTTTGTCCGCAAAAATTCTCTTGAGTATTTTTCAATGAAAAATCCTCAATTAAATTCCATTTTATTAATTAACAGAGCCAGCCAAAGACCAACAACCAGTCGTTGAGAACAATGTTGAAGAACTTATTGCTTCACCAACACAGCAGGATTTGCCCCAGCAAGATATGGAGGAAATTGTTCAATCTTTAGGTTTTGATTTTTTCTTATTTTTCTTAAATTTGGTTTTAATTTCCGAGGAAAAAAAAAAGGGGGGGGGGGTTAGGCTGTTTTATGTTATTATTCTTTAATGGGAAAATTGTCCGCAAAAATTTTTTTCTGTCCGCAAAAATTTTTTTTGTCCGCAAAATTTTTTTGTGTCCGCAAAATTTTTTTGCTGTCCGCAAAAAATTTTTTAGTGTCCGCAAAAATTTTTTTCCGTCCGCAAAAAAGTTTTTTTTGTCTGCAAAAATTTTTTTTTGTTCGCAAATTTTTTTTGTCCGCAAAAAATTTTCTGTCCACAAAAAAATTTTTTGTGTCCGCAAAAAATTTTTTTCTGCTGCAAAATTTTTTTAATTTTTCAATCAAATTTAAGTTGACGACTTGATTACTGAACGTGAAAATCAAATACTTAAACAACCACAATCTGCTGTTGTTTCTGAAGAGGAGGGAAAGAAGAATATTTGTGAGGAAAACTTGGAAGGTTTGGAGAATCCTTTGGAGACGGCTCTGGAAGTTCCTGTGGAAACTTTTGTGGAGACGGGTTTGGAGGGAGCTGTGGAGGAGGCTTCGGAGGCGGCTCTGGAAGTTCCTGTGGAGGGGGCTTTGGAGACTCCTTTGGAGGGGGCTGGGGAGACGGCTGTGGAAGGAGCTGTGGAGAGGGCTTTGGAGACGGCTCTGGAAGTTCCTGTGGAGGGGGCTTTGGAGGGAGCTGTGGAGACGGGTTTGGAAATTCCTGTGGAAACTCCTTTGGAAACTCCTCTATCAGCACCAGCAGCGCCACCAGCATTAGAAGAACCTCCTTTAAATATTCAACCACCAAACTGCTCTGTTGCTCCAATTGAAAAATTAATTGAGGAAGAAAACAACAAAATTTGTGAGGAAAAGGTTGTAGAGAATTCTCCAATACAGCACCAACAACAAGAAGAGCAACCTGTTGTAATGAATAATGGTGGTGATGAAAGTACAAATTTTCTTAGGCCGTTCAATACGACTGATTCGTTTATGGCTGCTGCTTTGGGGGGAGGTTTGTGATAATTTTTAATTTTTAAATAGGGGAAATTGTATAATCGGAAAATTGTCCGCAAAAATTTTTCTGTCCGCAAAATTTTTTTCTGTCCGCAAATTTTTTGCGGTCAAATAAATTTTGTCCGCAACTTTTTTTTGTCCGCAAAATTTTTTTTTGATTCCCTATCATCTCATAAGGGTAGCTGTCATAGTTTGGACGTTCTTCAAACTTCTTCCAATTTTCCCACTTTACCCCATTTCAGAGGGTGGCTTCAGCCTCATGGCTTCACCCTTGGCATTTGTTGACATTTTTGGCATTTATTGACATTCCTTGACAGAGTTGGCATTTTTTCGAATTGTTTATCCATGAGAGCCTCCTCACCTTCCCATAGACCTAAAACCCCCGAATTAATTTGGAGGTCCGGTCATTATGTCCGCTTTTCTGACATCTTTGTCATTTATTGACATTTCAAGTCATTCTGGGTATTTGTTGACATTTTTGGCTTTTTATGACATTTCTTGGAATTTATTGACATTCCTCGATAGTGTTGACATTTTTTTGAATCATTTACCCATTGGAGCCTCCCTCACCTTCCCATAGGCCTAAAAAACCCAAATTAAAAGGTCTTACCCTGATAGAGATTTTGTCCGCAAATTTTTTTATTAAAAAATTTTTTTCAGGACTTAACGATGATACTATGGACATTGCCAATTTTATCGAGCAATTTGACGAGCAATTAAATTCTCCTCCGCCAAATAATCGGGAAAATGTTCAACAAGTATTAAGCAATGAAATTGTAATTGAGGTTTATTTTTGAGTTTTTAAAGAATTAAAATTTTGTCCGCAAAAATTTGTCCGCAAAAATTTGTCCGCAAAAATTTTTTTTAGTTTGCGGACAAAAATTTTTTTAAAAATTTTTTAAGAAAATTTTTTAAAATTTTTCTGGAAATTTTTTGGATATAGTGTAGTGTACCGGTGGTAAAAGTTCGGGATGTGACATATGTCATTCGATTCGTCTCGACGAGCTGAGTCGAATGGTACCACTCCCCACTTTAGGAAATGATTTTGGACCGAGTTATAGTTCCCGAAAAATCGAAAAACCAAAGGGGGGACCAAGCACTTTTTTGGTGTGAAAAATTCGAAAATACAAATTATACCTCATTCGAAAGAGCTCGTCGAGCTGAGTCGAATGACACCAAAATCAGCTTGATTGAACAAGATTAGACAAAGTTACGATGCAAAAAACAAAAAACCTAACCCTATGGAGCGTCAGCGAGGCGCTTGTGCAAAACCCCGCGCTTCGCGCGGGGTTTTGCGGCACGCGCCTCGCGGGGAGTCTACGGGCGCTGGGTCTGGGCTCGTAACATAAACCTATTCCTATCTCCCTTGCTCTGGACGTATTTGGGGCCTCCGCAGCAGCAAAAGTCTCCACAGATGCCATAGGTAAGGAGCTAAAACAAACTGTCATAACTTTGTCAAATCAAGTCGGATTTCGTTGATTTTGGTGTCATTCGACTCAGCTCGACGAGCTCTTTCGAATGAGGTATAATTTGCATTTTCGAATTTTTCACCCCAAAAAAGTGCTTGGTCCCCCCTTTGGTTTTTCGATTTTTCGGGGCCTATAACTCGGTCCAGAATTATTTCCTAAAGTAGGGAGTGGTACCGTTCTACTCAGCTCGTCGAGACGAATCGAATGACATATGTCACGTCCCGAACTTTTACCACCGGTACACTACACTACAGCCAATTTTTTTTCAAAATAAAAAAATTTTTGTCCGCAAATTTTGTCCGCAAGTTATTTTTTAATTTGCGGACAAAAAATTTTTGGAATTTTTTTGAGATTTTTTTTCAAATTTTTCTGAAAAAATTTTCAAAAAAAATTTTGTTTGAAATTTGCGGACAATTTTTTTTTCTAAATTAAAAAAATTTATTTTTTTAAGAAAGTCTCAGCAGAAGAGGTCAACAACAACAACAAAAATAATAATATTCCTCCTCCACGTCCAATTAAATATACTAATCAGACGGCGAAAAAGACGATTGGTGGTGGAGGTGGTCTTTCATTTTGTCAATTTTCGGTGACTGGACGGAAGGTTTTTTTTTCTTTTAAAATTTTTCAGAAAAAATTTTTGGAAATTTTTCTGAAAGCCAGACTGATTTTTTTGAAAAAATTTTTTCGTCTCCTAGGTCTATGGTTGGGTTTTTTTGAGTCGGGCCGACGTTCGAGCATTTTTATCGGGCCGGCCGACCGAGCCTCTTTCGAGGTTAAAATCCAATACCCGTACGGTCTTTCGGACCTCTTTATCGGGCCCTCAACCCTACATAGGTCACAAGGTGCTGCCGACATTTATATACATACATATGTACATGGGATAAAAAAATCTCATAAACTTTATAAAGGTTCAGAAAAATTAAAAAAAAATTTTCAGTCTTCCGTTTGAAAATTTTTTTCGGCCTCAAAAATTTTGAATGTAGGGAATTGGTGGCTAGTGGGGCTATCTAAAATTTAGTGGGGCTGTCCAAGATTTCCAAGACTTGAGAGACCAAGACCTAGGTTTCGACCTTGGACATAGGTGTCGAAAAAAATTTTTCCAAGACTCAACCCCAAGACTCAAGACCAGGAGTCTTGGACATTTTTAGTGGCTAACCTATTTTTTTTAAAAACCCAAGTAAATCTATTTTTAATTTTTTTTATTTAGCGTGTAAACGAAGCATTAAAATTTAAACCAAAAGAAGAAGCAAAGCCTCCTCTTCGTCCTCATTCTTCTCCCAAAAAACGTCCACCAATGTTTAAACATGCAGCTTTACAACGTGTTCGTATTTCTTTGCCAGATGTTGAAAAATTGTTTAAAGAACCGGAAATGGATTGTAATCAATTGAAGAAGGCTATTTTGGAATTGGAACAAAAAATTTTGGTATAAAATTTTTTAATTAATTTTTTTGAGGGAATAAAGGGAGGGGGAATAGTGAGGGAGAGGAATAAGATGGGATTTTTTATTTAAAAAATTTGTGGGATGGATTTTAAAAATGTATTTTTTGAGGGGAGAAGGGGTGATTATTTACTTTAAAAAAACTTGTGGGAGTGATTAACATCAGAAAAAGTCCCCAAAATTATGGAACCTAAAATGGATATGCTCTACTTCCCAAAGTGGAAGAATATGTCTCAATGGTGAGGGAGGGGGAGAGGTGGATCGGAATTCCGATTTCCGACACCTTTGACTGTTCCGATCCACCTCTCCGAGAGGGGACGAGGGCCGAAGGCCCAACGTTATCCAAAGTAGAAGGATGAGCCCAATTGTGGGGACACAAATTCTACCGACATTTTTATTAGGTCCTTTCATTTTTTGGGGGTCAAAAGGGAGGGGTGTTGGGATCTTTGCGGATTTTCTTGCGATATTTTTTTGCGATTAAAAAAAAAATTTTTTTTAAAGGCTTCAAACAAAAAAGAACAAAAATTTACTCCTCCTTCTACTTCTTCTTTTACACATCAACAATCAACCTCAACTTCTTCAACTTCATTTAAAGCAAAAATTACAATTAAGCGTCCTATGGCTAAAAGATATGGAAAAAATATTGACCAAATTTGTTCAACAAGTACAGGAAATAGACGCTCATCAAGTTCAAGCAGTAATAATAATGGTGGTCTTAAAAAGTTGAGGATGAAGAAGAAGAAGAAGAATGTTGTGAAGAAGGCTAAAAAGGTTTCTTTTTTGAAAAAATTTTTTTTGAATATTGTAAGGAGGGGAATAAGGGTTCTTAACTTTTTTGGGTTTAGGGGGTCAACTGTTTTTCATTTATTTATGGGGAAGGTGGGGAAATTTCTTCATTTTTTGAGAATTTTTTTATAAGTTTTTTTTAATTAGGAGAAAGGTTTATCTTAAAAATTATTAAGGGGGATACTTTAAAAGGAGAGGGTATAGCTTGTTAGGCTGTTTGAATAAAAAGGAGGGAGTGTACCCCTAAAGTGGATTTTGGGAGAGAGGGGGGGGGGAGGAAGCGAGAAAGGACGTCTAACTTAAAACCCACCCAATGCCCTACTTTATTAAGTAAAATATATTAAATTTTGCGGAGACAATAAAATTAAATTTGCGGACTTTTTTCATTTTCTAAAAAATTTTTTTTTTCAGAATGATTCTTCTTTTATGTCTGACACTTCATTTTTCCATTCATTTGGTGGTCGACGTTCATCAACTCCTTTTCTTGGAAAAGATGTTCAATTATTTATTTGTTAGTTTAAAATTTTTTTTTGTTTGGTGCTTGTTAGACTAAGTGGAGGGGGGGGATTTTTACGGATATTTTTTTTCTGCGGACAAATTTACGGATTTCATTTTTTGCGGTCTTATTTTTGCACTCATTTTTCGTGGATTTTTTCTTTTAGGATTTTTTGCGGATTTCTCTTGCGGATATTTTTTTTTGGTGAAAATTTTTTTGCACTCATTTTTGCAGTCTTTTTTTTGGATTTTTTTTTGCAGATTTTTTTGCGGATTATATTATATAAAATATAATCTCTTTTTTGCGGACACATTTTGCGGATTTTTTGCTAACACTTTTACGGACTTTTCTTGCGAAAAAATTTTGCGGATTTTTTTCTTGCTGACATTTTTTGCAGAATTTTTTTGCGGACATATATTTTTTACGGATTTCTGAAAATTTTTTTTGAGATTTTTTTCTTGCGGACATTTTTTGCGGACAATTATATTTTTCTTGCGGACTTTTTTTTGAGTAAAAATTTTTGCGGACTTTTTAAAAAAGCTACTACTTGTCAGCCCTTTTTTTATTTTTAATTAATTTTTTTCTTCAATTAAAGGTATTCATTGTCCTGCCGGTTCACATTTAAAATATACAAACGAAAATGATTACAGGCTTCATGTTTTGGCAAGACATCGAATTGTTACAAATGATTGTGAAGCTATTCATGAATATATTAAAAAGCAAAGATTTATTTACATTGGGAATCTGAATTTTTAGTTAGTTTTTTTTTGAAAATTTTAAAAATCCGCAAAAAAATTTTTTGTCTGCAAAAATTTGCGGACAAAAATAATTTTTTTGCGGACAAAAAATTTTTTTGCGGACAAACTTGCGGACAAAAAAATTTTTGCGGACTTCAATTTTTAAAAATCCGCAAAAATTATTAAAAAATCCGCAAAAAAATTTTTTTGTCCGCAAGTTTTGTCGCAAAATTCTTGCGGACAAAAAATTTTTTGCGGACTTTTTTTTTAGTCTAATTCATTAATAACTTTATATCCGCAAGGCAGACCTCATTTTTATAGATACCCTCAATATTATACACACCCTTTATTTAATATTTGTGCCCCATGGACACCCTTGGCGGAAAATGAAGCGTGCCTTATAACGAGGTGTATTTAAAAGAGAGGGGTTTATAGCATTAGGGATATCTATAAAAATGAGGTCTGCCTTGGGATATAAATTTATTATTGAATTGAAGTGAAAAAAATGTCCGCAAAATTTTTGCGGACAAAAAAAATTTTTGCGGACAAAACTTGCGGACAGTCCGCAATTTTTTTGCGGACAAAAAAATTTTTTTGCAGATTTTTTGTTTTTTATGTATTAGTTAGATTTGCGGACAGTGCGCAAAATTTTTTTTCCATTTTTCAAAAATTTTTTTTTGCAATTTAGTTGTGAAGATTGTGATACGTTCTTCGACAATCAACAACAGAATGCGTTAGAACGTGCTACTGAATGGGTTGTACATCGTTTGGAAGTTCATGGGACGGAATTTAAAGAGAATTGTGCTACTATTATTGAAAAAATTTTTGCTTCTCCAACTCATGTAAGGGAAAAATTAAAAAAATTTTTTTGCGGACAAAAAATTGTCCGCAAAAATTTTGCGGATAAAATTTGCGGACAAAATTTGTCCGCAAAATATTTGCGGACAAAAATTTGCGGACAAATTTTTGTCCGCAAAAATTTTTGCGGACGAAACTTGCGGACATAACTTGTGGACAAAAAATCGTCCGCAAAAAATTTGCGGACAAAACTTGCGGACAAAAATTTTCGCGGACTTTTTCTTTTAGAAATAAATTTAAAAAATTTTTTTCTTTTTTCAGCATCCATATTTGACCACAATTAAGCGTGAAAAACAAGAAATTTTGTCGGACAATGAAGATAATACTGAAGAAGACGATGTTGAGTGGAAGGTCTATAAGAAGAGGAAGGATGAGGACGATTCGTTTAACCCTTCACCTAAGAAAAATGGCAAAAAGAGAAAGAAGATGATGGTTAAGAAGAGTAATAGTTGTGCTGGGGGAAGTGGTGGGGGAAGTTCTGTTAAAGTTAAAAAAGAAATTTGAAAATTTGGAAGAGGAAAAAAAATTTTTTTTTAGTTAAGAAGAGTAGAGAGATGATAGAATATTTTATTTATTTTCCCCCTTTAAAAAAATACAAAAATACTCATATATGAGAAAAATGCCAATATATACTTATTTCTTCCGTAAATTTGTTTCCTTAAAAAATTTCACTTATAATTGAATTTATTTTTCTTCAAAATTTTTTTTTTAATTTTATTTTATGCATTTTTGCTAGGGTTGTTCCGGCGCTAGACATAAACGGGGTTGTTATTTCCGGAAAACTTATAATTTTCCTGAAAAAGTTTAAAATTAAAATTATTTTTCCGGAAAACTTATAATTTTGTTTTCCGGAAAGCGAAGAATTATTTTCCGGAAAATGTTTAAGTCTCCAGCATGTTTTCCGGAATGTGTTTTATAATCAACTATAAAATGTGTTTTCCGGAAATTTTAATTATACCAAAACTTGTTTTCCGGAAAACTTTAATTATACCAAAACTTGTTTTCCGGAAAACTTTAATTATTTCCAAAACTTGTTTTCCGGAAAACTTTAATTATTTTCAAAACTTGTTTTCCGGAAACTTTAATTATACCAAAACTTATTTTCCGGAAACTTTAATTATACCAAAACTTGTTTTCCGGAAACTTAAATTAAACTAGTTTTCCGGAAAAAGTTTAATTATTTCCAAAACTTGTTTTCCGGAAAACTTTTATTAAACTAGTCTTTCCGGAAAATGTTTATCTTTTTAAACATTTTCCGGAAACTTTTTAATATTGTTTTCCGGTTGCAAAATTTTTGCGGACAATTTTTGCGGATTTTATACAACCCTACAATTTGTTGCTTTATTATTTATTTATTTATTTACTGAAAATCTCTTATAAGAACATTCTACTTTTGACTTTCTTTTTTTGTTTGTTTTAAGATTTGTTTTCAAAATTATATTATAAAATTATTGTTTATTCTTCTTTGTTATAAGATTTTATAGTTTCTATAGAGTACAGATGCAGGCAACGCAAGATTATATTTTCCGGAAAACATTTCCGAAAAAGTTTATTCTCGTTTTCCGGAAGAAGTTTAATCCTGTTTTCCGGAAAAAGTTTATTTTCGTTTTCCGGAAAAAGTTTATTTTCGTTTTCCGGAAAAAGTTTATTCTTGTTTACCGGAAAACTTTTAATTCTGTTTTTCCTGAATGAACAAATTATTTTCCGGAAGACTTATAATCTTGTTTAGAAAAATATATTTTCCGGAAAAAGTTTATTCTTTTTGTCTTTATCCTCTTGTTCGTTTCAACACAAAGGTTTCCGGAAAACGCGTATAATATTTGTTTTCCGGAAAACCTTTATAATTAACATGTTCCCGTTTAGGCTGTTTTTAGGATTAAATTTCTGGGGGTGTTTTAAGAGTTGTTTAAAAAACTAGACTCTAAGGGCAACTTGCCCTTTTATTAATTTCTTAATGTTTGCCACGTTAATCACAAGGCGCAACATGCGCATGTTAAAGTGCTTGATTGACTGATTTAATTTTTTTGCCTTGTATAGCTAAAGAAGCTTGAAAAAAAAATAGTGTAAAAAATTGAGAGAGACTTGAAAAATTTTTTTTTTTAATTTTTAAAATTTATACACGTCTTATTAGCCCTTAATTTTTGCCTTTCATTATTCCCCTTCATTTCCCCCTCTTCATTTTCCTTCTTCATTTCTCCCTTCATTTTCCCTCAAAATTCTAACTAGCATCTTTATTTAATAGATAGACGACATTTGTGAACAGGCGACATTTGCGAACATTGGCTGATTTCTAGATTATAGGGGACACGGTAACACCAGAATACAGTATAACCTCGTTTATAAATACACCCCCTTGGGGTCTGAAAAAATCGTGCCTTATAATGAGCGTATACTAAATAGAGGATATAGATTAGACAGCCTTCCCTATCCATTGGCTAACTAAATTTTTAAAGACCGTATTTTAAATAGAGTCCATATTGTTGAGTGTATTTTATAAAGAGATCCTTACGAACTATGTGGCTATAGACCGTGCCTCTGGACAAGACCCAACATCCCCAACAGCCCAAACAGCCCCTCCCCCCCCTTCTCTATAGGTTTAGGTCCATGTTCCCAAATGTCGGATGTTCGCAATTGTCGTAATTAGAGGGCTTTTGTGTCCCCTGGTTGTTGTGCCCTCTGGGCAAGACCCAGCGGCCCCTTGTCCCCACCTCTATAGGTTTAGGTCCACGTTCCCAAATGTCGTATGTTCGCAAATGTCGGATGTTCGCAAATGTCGGGTGTTCCCAAATGTCAGATGTTCGCAAATGTCGGATGTTCGCAATTGTCGTATCCTCAATTTTTATTTTTCTTTAAAGGAGTAAAATTTACAAGAGACAAACTGTAAAAATTTGATAGAAAAACAGGTGTTTCAACAAAAAAAAAATTTAGAAAAAATAGAAGAAAGCAACAGTGCGTGTTTCTTCAAAAATAACAAGAAAAAAAAATTATGGCTCCTCCCCGTCCAACAACTCCACGGTCAGAAGATGGAGAAGGAAAACCTCCTAGAGCTTGTAAGGAGAAAATGAGTAAATAAATAAACTTAATAGCGGAATATAATTTTTTCTTGAGAACACAAAAAATTTTTTTTTGGAATTAAAAAATCCGCAAGTATTGTCCGCAAGTTTATTTTATTTTTTAATGAGGTTATTTAAATAGAGTCACTGGAAGGGGGACTTCCCCCTCTCTAAAGGGAGGAGGTAGGGGGGGGACTTCCCTTCCTCTCTTAGTAAGTCCCCCATCCAGTGGCTAATCTAATACCTCGTTTTAAAATAACCCTGAGAGGTTGTAAAGGTCGGGTCTTATAATGAGGGGTATGTTAAATAGAGGTGTACCTATTACCGAATTTTCCGGATAAATTCGGTCCGGTTTTAATCCGGAAATTGAAAAAAACCAGGATTTGGGCCCCGGGCTCCGAAAAAATCTGGCCGGATCCGGTCCGGTCACTAGTCTATATAAGAAATAAACTTGCGGACAATATTTGCGGACTTTTCAGATTAAAAAATTAATTTTTTTATTCACCCACAGAATTTAATTCTCCCTATTCTCCCTATTTTTTCCCCATTAAAAAATGTTTTCCCTAACCGGTGACGAATTTAATATGAATCCCAAATTTTGTGCAGTTGTTCGTCAATGTGTTTTTTATGAAAAATATGGAGGGTGTAAATTTGGAAAGGACTGTTTTTATGCTCACAATGATGAAATGACGTTGGGGGTTAGGGTAAGGGTTTATTTTGAATTTTTTAAAAAAATATTAGGCCTGATTTACAAGCAAACGAGGGTTGAAAATGGCGGAGCCGTTCATTTCACACCCGTCTCAGTCCAGTCCAGGACCCTATAACTCGTGAAGGGATGGTCACTTTTTCGTGTTCTTGGTACCATTCGATAGAGAATCAAAAGCACTACAACATTTCAAAAAATCAGAATTTTCGACAAATTGATAAAAAAGTTGTGATCGAAAAACAAACATTTTCCAAAAAAAACGTGATTTTTGGCACTTTTTCGATCATAACTTTTTTTTCAGTTAGTCAAGAATTTTGATTTTCTAGTATATTGTAGCTTATTTAATGCTCTACACAATGCTACCAAGAACATTAAAGATTATCAACCCGTTGATAAGTTATAGGGCTCGGGACTGAACTGAGTCGGGACTGAGACGAGGGTTAGAGGAGATTCAGTCTTGGGGACATATTTTTGGCCATAACTTTTTTAATTCTTAACCGATTTAAATAATTTTTATAGCAATCGAAAGCTCTGAATGTGGGGATCATTTTAGCTATCAGGATTAATCTGATCAGATCATTCTGCCTAAAGTTATAGCCGAATAAATAACAAAAATCACGATTGCGCGGGTTTATTTGACTATAACTTAAGGTAGGATGAATTGATCAACATAATCCTGTCAGCTAAAATAATCCTCACATCCAGAGCTTTCGATTGGTATAAAACTTATTTAAATCGGTTAAGAATCAAAAAAGTTATAGCTCAAAATATAGCCTCGAAACTGACTGAAAAGTTTATTTTTTAAAGAACGCAATGCAAATGGCACAGGCTATGGGACGTGGAGGTATTGGAGGTGGAGTAGAAATACGGTTTGATGAACGGTTAGTTAAATGCCTCGAAGGTTTTCTGGGTAAATAAGTAAAAATAACTAAGAGAAATGGGGCAAAATACCGTCCGAGCAAATCACCGTCTGGACAATAGAGACAAATACCGTCCACTTTTACAGACAATAAATTCGCCTTAAGTCGATATTATGTTACCTTAACATCTTCAGACCCTAGGGCTAATAGGTCTAGGTTAGTACAGTACTGCTAAGCCAAAAAATTTTATTTTAAAATTTTTTACTCTACAATACATCTTCTTGTCGGACGGTGTGTTGTCCTGACACGGAAATAAAGGAAGGGGATGGGTAGCCTAGAGCTTTGCCTGAACCTCTAATTTGGCCAGAACCGGAACTGAAATTTTGACTGGATTGGAAACGGATCTGATTTTATGGATCCGGACCGGAACCGGAACTAAAAAGTCCCGGAATTTCCGGCGCATCACTAGGGTGGAGCCTCTTCAAGGAACAGCTCATTTTTATTAAAAAAATTTTTTTTCAGTGAAAACGAAGTAAAAATGGTTCGAATTTCCGAAAGCGAAAAACACAGAGGGGAGAAACACAGCCACAAAAATGATGACGATTCCGCCTCAAACGAAAATAGTGGTTATGGAAAATTTGATCGTTATGGGCATCATGGAGGCTATGCTGGAGGGCGGTTTATGGGAAGAGGAGGACGGACATTTGGAGGTGGAATTGGGGGAAGAGGAGGATATATTGGAGGAATGGGAAGAGGACGATTTGGAGGAAGTAGAGGAGCGTATAGAGGAACAATGTGAGGAAATTCGTTAAATACCCCAAGGGAGGAGAAAATAAGAAGAAAAATAGACGAAAAAATCCTTAAAAGTATCAAAAAATCCTTAAAAACCCCTTAAAATATTTTTAGAAAAAAAGAAAAAAATTTTAAAAATTAATTTGAAGAGGAAAACTGGCTAACGCCAAAAATGGCGCACATAAGAGGAAATAAATGGAAAAAGTTGTAAAGGAAAACTTTAATGTTGTAAAACACGAAATAGTACAGGGAAAACATAGGCTAATAGGGTTAAACGAACTAATGGATAAATCTGAACAAACAGACAGAAAAAAATAAACCTAAAACATAAGTAAATTAGACAGAAAATAATAGCAGACTGTACAAATAGTACAGAGAAAAACAAAGTTGTAGAAAAAGTTGAAACGAACAAACAACTTTGTTGTAAAAACAGATAAAAACAAGTTGGAAAAAACCAACTTGTTGTAAAGTTGGAAAAAACCAACTTGTTGTAAAAACAAGTTTAAATATGTTGTAAAACAAGTTGGAAAACAAACTTAAACAAAACATGTTCAGAAAAAGTTTAATAAAACTTAGAACAAACAAAGTTGTAAAAAATAAAAACAAACTTGTTGTAAAAACAAGAAAAACATTGTAAAAACAAGTTGTAAAAACAAACCTAAACAAACATGTTTATGTATAAACATGTTTGGGCAGAAACATAAAAACAAAAATTTAAACAAACAAAGTTGTAAAAACATAAACAGAGTAAAACAGGGAACAAAACATTAGATAAACACACATAAAAACAAAGTTGTAAAAACAACCCTAAACAGTTTAAAACAGAGTAAAACAAACCTATTATGTTAGACAGTAAAGATGGAAACTTAAAGATGGAAGAACTTAAGAAAAATAATTTATAGGAGGTTTAAATCTTATGGGTAAAAAATTCGGGGAAATTTTCTAAAAATATAGAAGATGGAATTAACAGTGTAAACTTAATTTTTTCTTGGAATAAAATTAAAAAAATAAAAAATAATTTTTAGGACTGGGCGTGGCATTGGGCGTGGCCGCTTCATTTCCCCTGTTCGAAGTTCTGGCAATATTTTCGCGGAGGAGAGAGAGCACCGTAAACGAAAATCCAAAAAGGACAGGCATCATCGGTCTTCGAGGTCTAGCACTCCACACAAGCGGTATAGACGTGAATCAACTCTGTCTAGGTCTTCGAACGAGAAGGGAAGCAATTATGGGAACAGCAAACATAGCTGTTCGAGAAGCAGCAGTCGAAACAGTCGGTCGAAATCGAAGTTGGTTTTAATGAATTTTGGGAATTGGAATGAGGTTAGGATTGGAAGATCTCTGCCTTTCCCCCATAAAAAGCCTATAAAGGAAGAACGCCAAAAATGGCGCACATTTGGGGAAATTAAAGGTAGATTTAATCGATCATAGCTTTTTGATCGACCTTAACTTTTTTGTGCTTCATCCAATCTGTATAAATTTTATATCATTCGAAAGCCCTTGACTAGCTCTATCTTTTTTCTTGTTGGATGGATAAAGTCTGATCACTCATTAGAAAGTTATAGCTTGATAAACGTGAAAAACGGCAAAAAGGTGTAATTATCGGCCTATAACTTTTTGATGAGTGATCAGACCTGATCCACCCAATTGGATTAAAGATAGCGCTAATCAAGGGCTTTCGAATGGTATAAGACTTGTTCAGATTGGATCAATCATTTAAAAGTTATGGTCAATCAAAGTTGTCTGTCTCTCAGTTCCCCACTAACCTATCCAACTTATTTGGCTATAACTTTTAAGTGAGTAATTTGACCTTATCCATCCAATTAGAAAAAAGATAGTACTAATCAAGGGCTTTCGAATGATATAAGACTTGATAGGATTGGATAAATCATAAAAAAGTTATGGTCAAGACGGTGTGGCGCTCACTCGCTATACTCCAGGGATGTGCGCCATCCGATTTTGGCGTTCTGACGATGAGTTGTCCCTCACCGTGAGTTGTCCCCTACCCTCCCTCTGACCGAACGGTATTTTGGTCAGATGGTGAATTATCCCTCCGCACTAGCTACTCTCAATCTCTATAATTTATTTTTCAAGGTCTCGTTCCCGTTCCTCCTCTTGGCGTTCGAATTCACCCCACAAAAACAAAAAGAGTAAAAAGCAACGAAGTTTAAGCGGTTCCCCTTTGGACACTGGCCGAATGGAATTACGCTCCTTCTCAAAAAATTTGGCCAGGGAAAAATATTTGAAAGCTAAAAATGAGGAAAGACAACAGATTTATTACCGTAACCACCATCACCACCACTACAGTAGTCATCAAAACATTCACAAAATTAAATACATAAAGGACTCAAAGGAAGGGAAAAGAAGCTCGAAAAGCAGCAAGAAATGTTGGTTTGATTGTCTTTGGGGGGGGGGGGGGGTTAAGGTTGGGGGAGAAACTTGGGGCAAGAACGACAAGGGTAAAGTGGAATCTGGCCGGAAAATCTCCCAAACCGGAACCAAAAAATCCCAATCAGAACCAGGCAAACTGAAAATTGGAAATAGAAATAAGTTTGGGCGCCATGACGTTTTGGCGTTATTTTTGGCAGAATATGGCATTCTGTATTTGGCGTGTTTTTCCTTGTGGCAGCAAAAACGCCAGGAAAAGGAGATCCCTCTCCGCAAGTTTTGTCCGCAAGAAATTTGCGGATTTTTGGGTGCCCAAATGTTTGTCCGCAAAAATTTGCGGATTTTTAGGGTGCCCCAAATGTTTGTCCGCAAGAAACTTGCGGATTTTTGGGTGCCCCAAATGTTTGTCCGCAAGAAACTTGCGGATTTTTGGGTGCCCAAGAATTTCTCCTTCTTAAAAATCTCCTTTTTTCAGCCTCCAGCAAAAAGAAGCGTCATCGTCGCAGTTCAAGCTCTTCCACCTTTTCATCCGCCTTTAGCCACAAATCCTCCATTAACGACGATTCCCCCAAATCACCTTCCCCAACAATTATAATGAATGAGGAGTTAAAGGAAGAAGAAAAATTGAAAGAGAAGGACGAAAAGGAAGAAGAATTTGATGAAAATATAGAATTAATATATGAAGATTATAATGTTAGGGAGGAGGAGGAGGAAAAGAAAAATGAGGAGGAAGAACGTACACGTTTAAAGTTGATGGAGAAATTTGAATTGAAGAGGAAGGAGAGTGAAAATGTAAAGAAAATTTGAATTATAGGCAGGGTTGGGATAGGCTGGGGTGAGAAGGGGGTACACCCTAGAGCTGTCCGAGACTCTTGGTCTTGGTCTTGGAACCAAGACTTTTCTTGGTTTTTTTTTCGGTCTTGGTCTTGGGGTGTTTGTCTTGGTTTTATTTTTTGGTCTTGGTTTTTTGGCCTTTTTTGGACCTAGTGCTTGGTCATCCAAAATCCTCAAAATTTTCGCCTGCAGTGCTGGATGAGAATTTACCCTTTGATATCACTAATATCCCCTTAATCCACCTAAATCCTCTGAAATAATATATCTCATTGATGTGGGACCTAAAAATAAACCAAAAATTTGACCTATGGGACCTAAAAATTGTCTCGAGTCTTGTATTATTTTTGGTCTTGAGTCTTGGAGTTTTGGTCTTGGTCTTGAGTCTTGGAAGAATCTCGGTCTCGGACAGCTCTAGTACACCCCAACGTACCTCAAGCCCAACGTACCGCAGAGCTATAACTTCGTTCAAAACTGTCGAATCCGAGACGCCCTAATATCGTTCGATTCAGCTCTTCGAGATGCATCGATCCATACCAAGCGACATGGATTCGACCATTTTGAGCGAAGTTATAGTTCTGCGGTACGTTGGGCTCGCGGTACGTTGGGCTCGCGGTACATTGGCCTGCTCCCGGAATTAGTGCTTCGCCGGAAGCGCAAATTTGGCCGGAACCTGAACTAAAATTTTGACCGGATCCGGTACCGGAACCAAAAGATTTTGATCATTTCTTCCGGCCTATCGGAACTAGAACTTCCGGCGAATCTCTATCAGGGATGGGTTGGGTTCGGGTAATTTCAGGCCCATCCCTGCTTCATACCAGGGATGGGTCAGATTATCGAATACGGATAGTCGAACCATAAACCCGGACTCAAAACCTGACCAAAAAATTAAATTAAAATTTAAACAGGATAATTCAAGCATCACCTCCCCTCAAGAAACTAATTTGAAGGCAATAAAATCGTGTTCTAAACGACCTTGTTCACGTTAAAAAATATTTTAGAAAAAAATTTTTGGATTGTAAAGTGATATTAAAAATTGAGTGATTTTCGGGTTCTTTAAATTAATTTAATGAGCATTTATTTATTTTTAATTTTATTTCTTTTTTTACTTTATTTATTTTTGATTAGTTGTGAATTTAGCTGATATTTTTTAAATATTTTAAAATTTTATTTTTGTGGATTAAATTTATTTGAAGACTGATACATGCAACGGGAAATGGGTTCCGGAAGAATGTTCAAAAAAACTGTACAAGAAAATCGATCCGGAAAAGGTTCCGGAAACAAATCCGGAAACTGTTCCGGAAAAGGTTCCGGAAACAAATCCGGAAACTGTTCCGGAAAAGGTTCCGGAAACAAATCCGGAAACTGTTCCGGAAAAGGTTCCGGAAACAAATCCGGAAACTGTTCCGGAAAAGGTTCCGGAAATTGTTCCGGAAACAAATCTGGAAATTGTTTCCAAAAAAGGTTCCGGAAACAAATCCGGAAATTGTTCAGGAAACAGTTCCGGAAAACTGTTCCGGAACTATTTTTCCGGAAGACTGTTCTTGATAGTATTAAACACTTTCCGAAAAGGTTAATCCGGAAATATTATTAATTTATAATTCCGGAAATATACTTAACCTAAAAACCCTTAATATTATAAAAGAGAGATGTCCGTAAATGTCGTTTCCTCAAATGTCGCATCGAAACAAAAAATTTAAATTTTATTTTATTAACTAAGAAAGCTAGGTGAAAAAAGTAAAATTGTAGCGAATAATTTGCTTTCAATAATTGGAGAAAGTGCATAAGGAGATAAAACCAAGGCAAAAAGTGCTTGAGGTGAGAGAACCAACGGTGAAAGGACGAAAGGTGACAGTACTAGAGGAGAACCAACCTTAAATAAAGGAATCAGAAATTCTGATAAAAATCAGAATAAAAATCAGAATTCTGTTAAATTAAAAATCAAAAATTCTGAAATTAAATCAGAATTAAAATCAGAAATCTGTTAAATTAAAAATCAGAAATTCTGATAAAAATAAAAAAATCAGAAATTCTAATTTTACTAAAAAGAAAAATCAGAATTCTGATCCTACTAAAATAAGAAACAGACCATTGGATTCAGAATTAAAGGATTAAGAACCATCGGCGACAGAATCAACTAAAAATAAATATGTATTTTTTGTATTTTCCGTGAAATACAAATTTTATTCCGGAAAAAGTTTTAGAATTAATTCAGAATCTGTTTTCCGGAAAAATATTTAGAATAAATTCGAAACCTAGTTTCCGGAAAAAGTTTATATTTAATTATTTTGTGTTTTCCGGAAAAAGTTTATTTATTTTTTTCCGGAAAAGTTTATAATTATTTATTTGTGTTTTCCGGAAAAAGTTTATTTATTTTTTTCCGGAAAAGTTTATAATTATTTATTTGTGTTTTCCGGAAAAAGTTTATAATTATTTATTTGTGTTTTCCGGAAAAGTTTATATAATTATTTTGTGTTTTCCGGAAAAGTTTATAATTATTTATTTGTGTTTTCCGGAAAAAGTTTATTTATTTGTGTTTTCCGGAAAAAGTTTATATTTATTATTTGTGTTTTCCGGAAAAAGCTTATAATTAATTATTTTGTGTTTTCCGGAAAAAGTTTATAATTAATTCTAAACGATTTTTTCCGGAAAAAGTTTAATTAATTAATTTAAAAAATTACCGGTGTAAAAACTTGTGGAGAAAGTATAAACGGAGACAAGACAAGAGGGCTGAGTACAAAAGGATTAAAAACTCCAGGGGATAGAACAAAAGGGTGCAATACAAGAGGTGAAAGAACCACTGGAGAAAAGATGAGAGGATTCAGAATAAGTGGAGATAAAACACGCGGGGACTGAAAAAAATTATTTTTCAATCGAGAAAAAATTTTCTTACCAATATGACGGGAATAAAAACCCATGGAGAAAGAATAAAAGGTCCAAGCACGGCTGGTGTTAAAATGACCTTAAAATAAAAATTAAATATTGTTTTAGTGTTATTCGTTGGTTTTTCCGGAAATAAAAAAATTCCGGAAATAGAAGTATAGAAATTCCGGAAAATGTTCTATTTTCCTTAGACAATAAATTAATAATATTTCCGGATTACATTTCCGGAAATTATTTATTTGTGTTTTCCGGATTTATGTATTTTGTGTGTGTTTTTTTCTGTCTCCGGAATTTGTGTTTTCCGGAAAGCAAAAATAATAAGATTTCCGGAAAAGGCAATCAGAATTAATTTTATAGTCAGAATTTTTCCGGAAAGAGGAAATAAAATTTCCGGAATAATATATAAACATTCCGGAAAATGTTATATTTTCCTTAGACTCCAATATTTCCGGATTAACAATTCCGGAAAATATTTATTTGTGTTTTACGGATTTTGTATTTTGTGTGTGTGTGTTTTCTGTTCTCCGGAAATTGTGTTTTCCGGAAAGCAAAAATAATAAGATTTCCGGAAAATGTTATATTTTCTTAAAACATTTTTTTTACATTTCCGGAATAATATTTCAGTGATATATAGTAAATTAATATTTCCGGAAAATATATATTTGTGTTTTCCGGATGTATGTATTTTGTTTGTGTGTTTTTCTGTTTCCGGAAATTGTGTTTTCCGGAAACCACAGAATAATAATATTTCCGGAAAAGGCAATCAGAATTAATTTTATGGTCAGAATTTTTCCGGAAGGGGGAAATAAAATTTCCGGAACAATATTTCAGCGATATATTCCAATCAGAATTATTTTTAGAATTATAATTGTTTTCCGGAAGGAAGATATTTCCGGAATGTATATTTCCTTGGAATATTATATTTCCGGAAATTAATATTCATTATATTCCTACCGGTGAAAGAACTACAGGGGAGAGTACAACTGCTTGGCTAAGTATTGGTGCTGCCAGAACAAAAGGAGCACTGACAATAGGCGATAATACAACATCCCTTCTTCGTTTAAGTTCCCATGAACGTAGTTCAGAAATTAGGTGTATCTATAGAAAATTTGAAATAAGAGGGTAAAATTGTATACAGTCGGACCTCCCTTATAAATACCCCCTTGGGGTTAGGAATCGTATCTTATAATGAAGGGCACATTAAAAAAGGTGTCGCTTATAATGAGGTGTCTCTTAAAATGGGGGTATCTCTTATAACGGGATGTCGCTTTTAACTAGGTGTCGCTTATAATGAGAAGTCTATTATAAAGAGGTGTCTCTAAAATAAGTTGTCTCTTATACTGAGGTGTCTCCTATAACGAGGTGTCTCTTGTACTGAGGTACTCCTCATAATTTTTTACTCACATCCCTTTCCATTCCTTCCAACATTGAAGATTCATTTAATTTTGAAAGCCTTTTTAACGCTTCAGTATTATTAAAAGGAGAGCGTTTCCCATAAACAATCTCCAACTGTTTTGAATCCATAGCTGCAAATCCAGTTTTGTTTAATTGGTCTTTCTTTAAAAAATAGAAGTTAATAAAATAATGAATTATTAGAATTTAAATGAATTATTCCGGAAAGAATATTTTTCCGGAAAATATTGTTTATAAATTTTTTCCGGAAAAAATAATCTCCGGAAATAAAAAATATAATTTCCGGAAAATACTTCATGAACTTTTTCCGGAAATAAAATATTTTTCCGGAAATTATAATTTCCGGAAAAATATTTCTCCTACAAATATTAAATATAAACTTTTTCCGGAAATTAAGAATATCTTTCCGGGAAGAATAATTTCCGGAAAAAATATTAAATACAAATTTTTTCCGGAAAAAATCATCTCCGGAAATAAAATAATGTTTTCCGGAAAATTTATAAACTTTCAGGAAAAAATAATCTCCGGAAATAGAAAAAATATTTTTCCGGAAAAAATGTAGTTAGTTGTTATCTATGTTGATAGATATGTTTACAAAAATTTTTGTGGATTTTTTCCACTATTAAAAACCTATAAAACAAAAGTGGGCATATACTTTTGGAACACTTAATATTTGATTTTGATTTCTATACAAAAAACAAAAACACATATTTTTGAATTTTTTTTGTATTTTGTTTCTAAATGTCATGGTATTTAATCATAAAAAATTTAAGAAAAATCTATTGTGATATCACATAGATAAAGCTAAAAATATAGGTGGGCATATACTTTTGGAATAGAGTGTATGTGAGTGTAGTTAGGTATATATGTGTGTGTAAAATAATTAATTTTTTATTTTCTATTTTTAAATTATACTTGTTTTTGAGAGAAATTAGCCATAAATTGCTCCCATGTATCTATCTTTCTGCGTTCATAATCTCCAAAACGTTCAGTCACATTCTCCTTTGTAAAATATAAAGGTTGGCCATCCTCTCCTCTGATCTGGTGAAATTAATTAAAATGTGTTTTAGTTAATAGAAATACAAAAATTAAAATACATTTTCCGGAAATGTTATATTTCCCGGATTTAGTATAATAATGAATTTATTCCGGAAATAAATAATATATTTCCGGAAAACATGATTTATAAACATCTTCCGGAAAAATATTGTATTTTTCCGGAAAATATTATTTCCGGTTTTAGTACAAGCTATAATTTAAATGAGTTATTCCGGAAATAATATTTTTCCGGAAAATATTTTTCTATTCCGGAAAATTAATAATATTATCCGGAATAAAATAGTATTCGTACTTATAAATGTTTTCCGGAAAAATATTGTATTTTCCGGAAAATTCTTAAGGAAAATATTATCTATGAAATTTTAGATGTTTTCCGGAAATAATATTTTTCCGGAAAATTAATAATATTAATAATATTTTTCCGGAAAATTAATAATATTAATAATATTTTTCCGGAAAATATGGAATAAATATTATCCGGAATTTCCGGAAAAGTTGTATTTCCGGAAAATACTTTCTTCCGGAAAATATTACTATGAAATTTATGATTTCCGGAATGTTATATTTGCTTTGATTTTGTATTAATTTTCCGGAAAACCATTTTAATAATGCCTATCCGGAAAATAAATCCTATCCGGAGAATACAGCTATATTATTTTCCGGATATTATCTATCGCGGAAAATTAATAATATTAGCCGGGCATCCTTTTCTGAAAGTAAATCCTATCCGGAAAATATTTTCCGGATAGCTCATAGAAGGGAACGATGCTAATAATCACTACAAATTAGCATACATCTTTTTCGTAGAGTGAACGAGCTTTTTTAAAAAGCAATCCCCTTTCAGAAGGTAAAATATTTTGTTGTTTAAGTCCATCTTTTTTATTCCCAAAAAATTTATTATTATTTTCTTCCTCATCAAATTTTCCATTTTCAATTTTTTCAACTTGCTCATTAATACCAGCTGCTTCCATTATTAAATTCATCCAATGCTGTTGATCTTCACTAGAAAAATTGCTGAGTAAGGAAGGCAACTTAAATTGTTTTAATTTATTTTAAATTTAAAAATGAATAATACCGAAGCAGCCTTCTCTAGGTCACGGCCACGGTCGTGCATGGAGAGAAGAGACGGAGACAGGAGACTCAACTATTTTTTAAAAATAATTAGTGTTTTTAAGAGAGTAAATTCCGGAAAAATATAGGTAATTCACTGGTAATACATATATTTCCGGAATATGTATAACAAAAATTTCCGGAATATAACGGAGAATATTATTTCCGGAAAATAAATAAAATAATGTTTCCGGAATTATTATAGTCTCCGGAATATTATATATTTTCCGGAAAATAAATATTTTCCGGAATCAATGATAATATAATATTTTCCGGAAAACATACTTTATGTCTTTGAAATAGTATATTTTCCGGAAAATAAAAATATAATTTCCGGAAACCATGGTAATATTTACCGGAGAACATCCTTTCCGGAAAATGAATAAAACAATGTTTCCGGAATTATTATATTTTTCCGGAATTAATATATTTTCCGGAAAATAAATAAAAATATAATTTCCGGAAAAAATATAACATCCTTTCCGGAAAAAATAAAATAAAGTTTCCGGAATTATTATATTTTCCGGAACTTATATATTTACCGGAAAATAAATAAAAATATAATTTCCGGATCCATAATAATATATAAATTAATATTTTCCGGAAATTCCCTCTTATTCACCGTTTCATTCTCTGCAGCAATCTCATCCTCAGCAACAATGCTCATAAATCTAGGCGAAATTAATCGCATATTTTTATCCTCCCAACCAGTTGTATTTTCCCCAGCAAGGGTAAATCCAAGTTTTACTCCTTGCTTAACTAAATTAATGAATTTATCAACATGTTGTGCTTCTGCTGATTTTTTGTGTTTTTGGCGTTTAATGATTTGTTTAAGTTTGTCACGACGATTGTCTTGAGTTAATAATTGCCCTAACTAGAAAAATATTTTTTTAATTTTAAAAGTAAATTGGACCTCCTTATAAGGCCTCCTTATAAGATACCCCAGGATATTAAATACACCCTCAATCTAAGGTACACATTAGTGTTTCGCCGAAGTTACGGTTCAGTTAGGCCGGAGGTTCAGGGATTTTCTGGTTCGTTCTTCAGTTCCGGTCCCTCAATTCCGGTTCATACCAAATTTGTGGTTCCGATCCTACACTAGTACACATGTAAAATACACTCTCTATAATTTGGCTGACGCCTCTGGGTAACGGGTGCTTCCTAAGCGATACCCTCTATTTAAGATACCCCGCCCCGATAAGGTACAACATCAATATAAGATACCTCAATGGGTAGGAGAGTTTCCTAAGAAATACTCTATATCTAACATACCCTCCATTCTAAGATACCCCTTTGCATAAGATATACCCCCTTTGCTAAGATTGATACCTAAGGTCGGTCTGAAACGACGAAGGTGTCGGAAATCGGAACTGTCGGAAATCGGAAATGGCTCAAAATTCGGAACTCGGAAATCAGCATAATTCCGGAAATCGGAATTCCGACAACCTCTGCTATTGGATGGATGAGCTTCCTAAGCGATACCTTCTACTACCCTCTATTTAAGGTAACCTCATTATAAGGTACTATCTTTTTAACCCTAAGTGGGTATCTTTAAGTGAGGTCTAAGCATATTTTTAAAATAATTTTTTAACATTTTCAAGTTCATCAGAATCGTCAATTATTTCTTTGGGTGAATCAAACGATCGCCTTTCCTGCTCTGAGGAGAGTTGTCTCTTAAGTTTTCTTTTATTATTCCTCTCCGCCTTTTTTGTATTTCTTTGTTCTGCTGCAATTTTTAATCGTTGGATAGTTGTTTGCCAGCTATAAAAATCAGAATTAATTTTATAATCAGAATTGTGTTTTCCGGAAAATATAAAATAATATTTCCGGAATAAACATTTCCCCTGTAATATTATAGTTTCCGGAATCTGGTATATCCGGAAATATCATTTACGAAATTAATAAACTTTTTCCGTAAAATTGTGTTTTCCGGAAAATGTTTTAAAGGAAAATAGCTTTCCGGAATCTATAAATATGTAAATCAGAATTATTTTTCTAATCAGAATTGTGTTTTCCGGAAAACAGAAAATACAATTTTCCTGAATGTATGTAAATCAGAATTAATTTTGAAGTCAGAGTCGTATTTTCCGGAAAATAGAAATATTATTTTTCCGGAAACAATATTTCTCTAAATATTCAAACCAGAATTATTTTTAAAACCAGAATTGTGTTTTCCGGAAAAAATAATGTTTCCGGAATAGTTGTTAAATCATAATTATAATTTTATAATTGTGTTTTCCGGAAAGTTTTTATCTAATTAATTAAACGTGTTTTCCGGAAAGAAAAATAGTAGTGCTGAAAATAATATTTCCGGAATGTATTTTCCGAGAATATTTTATTTTCCGGAAAATTATGAAATTTTCGGAACTATTATAAAAACAAATATTTATTTTCCGGAAAATACAAAAATAATTGTGTATTTTCCGGAACAAATAAAAAATAATTTTGTATTTTCCGGAACAAATAAAAAATAATTTTGTATTTTCCGGAACAAATAAAAAATAATTTTGTATTTTCCGGAACAAATAAAAAATAATTTTGTATTTTCCGGAAAATACAAAAATAATTTTGTATTTTCCGGAACAAATAAAAAATAATTTTGTATTTTCCGGAACAAATAAAAAATAATTTTGTATTTTCCGGAACAAATAAAAAATAATTTTGTATTTTCCGGAACAAATAAAAAATAATTTTGTATTTTCCGGAACAAATAAAAAATAATTTTGTATTTTCCGGAACAAATAAAAAATAATTTTGTATTTTCCGGAACAAATAAAAAATAATTTTGTATTTTCCGGAACAAATAAAAAATAATTTTGTATTTTCCGGAACAAATAAAAAATAATTTTGTATTTTCCGGAACAAATAAAAAATAATTTTGTATTTTCCGGAACAAATAAAAAATAATTTTGTATTTTCCGGAACAAATAAAAAATAATTTTGTATTTTCCGGAACAAATAAAAAATAATTTTGTATTTTCCGGAACAAATAAAAAATAATTTTGTATTTTCCGGAACAAATAAAAAATAATTTTGTATTTTCCGGAACAAATAAAAAATAATTTTGTATTTTCCGGAACAAATAAAAAATAATTTTGTATTTTCCGGAACAAATAAAAAATAATTTTGTATTTTCCGGAACAAATAAAAAATAATTTTGTATTTTCCGGAAATCCATTTATAATTATTCCCAACTTACTCTACAACCGTAGGAGGTTTATTCTTCATTCTAAGCAATTCTCTAGTGAGAAACTTAGCAACAGCTCCAAGCGGTGTTGCATTCGGTCTCTTTTCCCTCAACGAGTAATTCTTTCCCGAAGAAATAATAAAAGGAGGTGGAGGTTTATTTAATTTTGATTCTTTTGTAATTACAGGATGATGAATAATTTTATTTTTATTTTTCAGAATATTTCCCCTCTTTTTAGCCAAATTTTGTATTCTATTGGATTTTTGATTTTTTAGGGTTGAAATTAATATATTTTTCCTAAATTCCTCTTTGAACGTGTTATTAGTTGTTCTATCTTCTTCTTGAATAAATAATTTTTCTGTTATTTTTTCCGGTTTTTTTTCTGTTATTTTTTCGGGCTTTTTCTTTGATACGCCTACTGTTCTTTTTTCTCTTTGTTTTGTGGTAGAAATTTGATTCATTGTATTTTTTTGTTTTTCCGGAATGGTTTTTAATGCCTTTTCCGGAAACGTTGTTATTCTTCGTTTTTCCGGAATGTCTGTTGTTCTAATTTCCGTCTGCCCCTTTTCCGGAACTGTTGATGCTTCTCTTTCCGGAATATTTTCTATTTCTTTTTCCGGAATGGACGATACATCATTTTCCGGAATAGTCGATACTTCATTTTCCGGAATATTCTCTATTTCGTTTTCCGGAATGGTCGATACTCCCTTTTCCGGAAATGTTATATTATTTATTTTTCCGGAATGTCCCTTTTCCAGAATGATCGCTTTTTCCGAAATGGTCGATACTTCCTTTTCCGGAAATTTTGATATTTTTCTTTCCGGAATATTCTCTATTTTGTTTTCCGGAAATGTTGTTAGTCCTTTTTCCAGAAATATTGTCTGCTCATTTTCCGTAACTTTTAATACATCTTTTTCCGGAATATTCCTCTCTTTCTCCTCTTTAACATTTTCATAAGAATTAAATTGTCCTCTTAACAATTTAGATAAACACTTGGCATGTGAAATAATGTTCGAGGCCTTTAAAAAATTATTTTTTCAATTTTTATTTACAAAAATACCTTTTTCGAACACCTTTCTAAATTATCCTTTGTTTCACTTGTTTCTGTAGAAATTCTAAAAATTGTAAAAATTTTATAGTTAATAAGGATTTATTAGCCTGTCATTGGCTACAGCAGCAAAGAAGCCACTAAAAGCTTGGTCTATCTATAAAAAAAAATAAATTTTTAAACTACTTGGAATAAAATGCAGGATTTTAAATTAAATTATTTCCCGGTAAGCATCTCTTTGTTTTTTTTTCCGGAATTTTTCTTAAAAATAAATACAAAATCCGGAAGCTTTAACTTATTCCGGAAAGCATTTACTTTTATATAAATAATATTTTCCGGAAGTATTTTATTTTCCTGAAAATATAACACCTTCCGGTAAATATTTTTTATTCCCGGAAAAATAATTTATAAGGTCCTATGAGGTTTTCCGGAAAATACAACATCTTCAGGAAAGTAGAATTTATAAGGTCCTATGAGGTTTTCCGGAAAATACAACATCTTCAGGAAAGTAGAATTTATAAGGTCCTATGAGGTTTTCCGGAAAATACAACATCTTCAGGAAAGTAGAATTTATAAGGTCCTATGAGGTTTTCCGGAAAATACAACATCTTCAGGAAAGTAGAATTTATAAGGTCCTATGAGGTTTTCCGGAAAATACAACATCTTCAGGAAAGTAGAATTTATAAGGTCCTATGAGGTTTTCCGGAAAATACAACATCTTCAGGAAAGTAGAATTTATAAGGTCCTATGAGGTTTTCCGGAAAATACAACATCTTCAGGAAAGTAGAATTTATAAGGTCCTATGAGGTTTTCCGGAAAATACAACATCTTCAGGAAAGTAGAATTTATAAGGTCCTATGAGGTTTTCCGGAAAATACAACATCTTCAGGAAAGTAGAATTTATAAGGTCCTATGAGGTTTTCCGGAAAATACAACATCTTCAGGAAAGTAGAATTTATAAGGTCCTATGAGGTTTTCCGGAAAATACAACATCTTCAGGAAAGTAGAATTTATAAGGTCCTATGAGGTTTTCCGGAAAATACAACATCTTCAGGAAAGTAGAATTTATAAGGTCCTATGAGGTTTTCCGGAAAATACAACATCTTCAGGAAAGTAGAATTTATAAGGTCCTATGAGGTTTTCCGGAAAATACAACATCTTCAGGAAAGTAGAATTTATAAGGTCCTATGAGGTTTTCCGGAAAATACAACATCTTCAGGAAAGTAGAATTTATAAGGTCCTATGAGGTTTTCCGGAAAATACAACATCTTCAGGAAAGTAGAATTTATAAGGTCCTATGAGGTTTTCCGGAAAATACAACATCTTCAGGAAAGTAGAATTTATAAGGTCCTATGAGGTTTTCCGGAAAATACAACATCTTCAGGAAAGTAGAATTTATAAGGTCCTATGAGGTTTTCCGGAAAATACAACATCTTCAGGAAAGTAGAATTTATAAGGTCCTATGAGGTTTTCCGGAAAATACAACATCTTCAGGAAAGTAGAAATCTTCCGGAAAAATATTATCTTTCCGGAAAAAGTTTATAAATAATATTTTCCGAAAATATATTATTTCCGGAATTAGTTCTAATGATACAAAAATTAATCCAGAAAATATAATACTTTCCGGAAATCTATTTATGAGATTAATTTTTGACTAATATAGATAAAAACAAAAATTTTTTTTAAATTAGTTACCCAATGTTGGAGTAATTCCAAGCCGGCATCTTCATTCAAGGGCACATTCAATGCCTTTCCATCATATAAAGGGTTTGTTTTGACAGAATGAATGGTGTCTGATATTTCTCCGGTTACGACTAAATTTAATTGAGAAAATATTTTTACTGTATGTTTAGGAATAAATAAAATTTTCGTAAAATATTTATTCCAATTATGGGGCTAATTTTGCGTATGCGGGACAAATGGAATTAATTTTTGATCCGCCACAGGCAAAAATTAACCGGTCGTGAACAACCCTATTTGTATAATTCCGGAACTATTTTTTATGCAGTAAATAATAGTAAATGTATCCGGAAAATACCAAATTAAAAATTATTTGAATCAGAATTAAAATTTCTCAAAATTTTAAAATAAAATAATATTTCCGAGATAAAAATATTCTGATAACACATTTTCAGAGAAGTATATACAAATATATTATTTCCGGAAATAGATACTGCATTTCCGGAATACATTAAAATTATTTCCCTAGTATAACTTCTTGCTAATATTATATTTTCCGGAAATGTTATTCCAATAATAATTTATTCCGGAAATGAATATTGTGTTTTCCGGAAAAAAGTATTTTATTTTCCGGAAAATATAACACCTTCCGGTTTTTTATTTTATAAAATATAAAAAATACATATATTGTGTTTTCCGGAAAACATTAAAATAATATTTCCGGAATATAACTTCTCTGTGTATTTTCCGGAAATATACTACCAAAAATAATAAACTTAATAATAAACACTTCCGTAAAATAATATTGTGTTTTCCGGAAACATTATAAAATAAATATTGCTTTCCGGAAAATTATTATAATATTTTTCCGGAAATCCTATAAAAAATATATTTTGTGTTTTCCGGAGTACATTAAAATAATATATTGTGTTTTCCGGAATATTGTGTTTTCCGGAATACATTAAAATAAACTTTCCGGAATATACCGTATTTCCTCAAATAGTACGGCCCCCTCAATTAGTACGGCCCCTCAAATAGTACGGCCCCCATTTAAAAATATAAAAAATATTACAAAATTTGCTTTTCGAATTATAGTAACAATCCTCATCTTTACAATTAAATATTTGACCATTTAATCCTCTCATATCCCTCCATTTGTCAATAAAATACTCTTAATCTCTCATAATCTCCACAAATCCTTGGGTTAATAAGCATTGACCCTTGCCTAAAAATAGACCCAAAAAAGAAATCCATCTGATTTAAATCTACTGAGTACAGTGGCCATCTCTGGGTCCTAACTGGGTCAACCTATTGTATACGTGTTCATGCTGTGGAAAAATTGTTTGGATGGGAGATGGAATAGAACCATCAAGGAATGAGCCCAAACCGAAAGCACAACCGACTGTGCCACCATCCAACCCAATGCTGGGTTATTTATTTTCATTTATGTTCTTTCTGCAAGTGCGGACACAACACAACCATACAAAAAAGTGACTCTATTGGAGTTTTCTATAATCCGGTCATGTTTTGACCTTTTTAAGATTTATTTATACTTTCCCACTAGAAATCCCCCATAATCAGCATATATCCCTCATAATTCCTATAAATATCGAATACCCCAGATATCCCTAATATTTGTCCAAATCCTTGGATATTTCAAATATCCAATCAAATCTTCGGATATCCATTCAAATCACTCTTGATTCACCTAAATTTCTCTTAATCCATATCAGTGTTTTGGAAGGATATCTAGAGAATTTGATGGATTAAGCAGGATTAGAAGAAATATCCGAGGATTTGGATGGATCTCAGGGAAATTCCGCGATATCTTTCCTAAATCTCATCAAATCCATTGATAACATATAACAAATAAGTGCATGAGCCTGGATTTTTGGGATATTTTGGTATAGAAATAGAGAACGGAAGAAGATAAAAGAGGGTTAAATTTAACCGAATTGCAAAGATTACAAATAAAAAACTGAGATAAGGCTTGCTGGAGATCTTAGATAATTTCGAAGGATGGTTGAAATATAGTACGGCCCCCTCAATTAGTACGGCCCCCTCAAATAGTACGGCCCTTTGAAAGAGGGTTGAAAAATAGTACGGCCGGCCGTACTATTTGAGGAAATACGGTAACTTCTTTGTGTATTTTCCGGAAATATTCCAAAAATAATAAACTTAATAGTAAACATTTCCGGAAAATATAATTGTGTTTTCCGGAAACAAGTGTATTTTTGTATTTTTTTTTGTATTTTTCCAATAATAATAAAAATAAATACAAACCTGAAACAAACACAAAATATACAACAAAATACCGCAGCATAATTAAATATAAAAAGTGAGGGTTATTTTTTATAAAAAAAGAATTTTATGATTAAAAATAAAAATTAAGGTCATTAAATTAATTTAAAAAATATTTAATTTAATTAAAATACAAAAAATACAAGAAAAAAATTTTTTGTACTTTAACTAATTTAATGCAACATTTCAACACTTACGGATATAAAATCACAAATAAAATTTACCAAAAAATAATTTTAAGATTAATGGGGGAAGGAATATTAAGGGGAGACTATAAAGACATTTTAAATTAAAAAGATAAAAGGTGAGAAACATCCCAAACATTTTTTTATTCGTTGAAGTGAAGGAAGGAAAGGCAAGGGAAAAAAGACAAAAAAGGTGAAAAATCAACTCTTGTTAATCTGATTTGTCTTTAAAAGCGAGTTAATTCACTTCTCCCGTTCGGTCATCCATTCAATCGGATAACAGGTTCAGAGGGTTGTAGAGATTTGCGGACAATATTTGCGGGCAACAATTGCGGATAGAAAATATAATTTTCTGAGACATTATTTACTATGTAAATATTTCCGGAAAATACAAATTTATTTCCGGAAAACATTACTTCTTAATTTCCGGAAAATATTTACTATTTTTTTCCGGAAATAATTACTTCTTATATTTCAGGAAAATACAAATTTTTTTCCGGAAAAAATATACTATGTTTCCGGAAAAATTACTTGTACATTTATTTCCGGAAAATACAAATGGAAAATACAAATTTTTTTCCGGAAAATATACTATGTTTCCGGAAAAATTACTTGTACATTTATTTCCGGAAAATACAAATGGAAAATACAAATTTTTTTCCGGAAAATATACTATGTTTCCGGAAAAATTACTTGTATGTATTTTCCGGAAAATACAAATTAATTTACGGAAAGTGCACTATTTTTCCGGAAAATACTATTAGTATATTTCCGGAAAATAGGCATAATGTTACCAGAATATTTATTATTTTCTCTTAGTCTTCCGGAAAATACAATTAAAATTAATTATATTTTCCTATTCCGGAAGTATGTATATTTTCCGGAAACGCATCCAAACGTATGATAGTATCATCAGTGAGGTCTGACTATTTTGGTGGCATACTACAATTAAGTGATCCTGTTATAAATAAAAGCGTTAATCCGCAAATATTATTCCCTTTCCAGGCAAAAAACTTGGATGGGAAAATTACTGGAAGGAGACAAGGAAGATAATTTTGTTTTGTTTTTTCTACTTCTTCCCCCCAATTTCCCACAAATTCTCTTTTATTTTTTCAAAATTATTTATTTAATGTAATTAGTGTGTCAAGCACTTTTTAAGCTTCTTTTTTAATTATTCCCGATTAGAGTAAAATTTAACCCAAAATAATTGTGTTGTATCGATTTAAAAGACGATTATTTCCAGGCAATCTGAAAAGAAAATTTATTTCCGGAAAAAATTCTTATTATATGTATTCCGGAAAATATTTTATTTATTCCCAGAAAAAATTATTTGTATATTTCCGGATGGAGGTGTGACTCTTTTCTATGGAGGTGGGATGTATTTTTCCGGAAATAGATGAAAATATATGTATTTTTCGGGAATAGGTGAAAATAGATGTATTTTCCGGAAATAGATGAAAATAGATGTATTTTCCGGAAATAGATGAAAATAGATGTATTTTCCGGAAATAGATGAAAATAGATGTATTTTCCGGAAATAGATGAAAATAGATGTATTTTCCGGAAATAGATGAAAATAGATGTATTTTCCGGAAATAGATGAAAATATATGTATTTTTCGGGAATAGGTGAAAATAGATGTATTTTCCGGAAATAGATGAAAATAGATGTATTTTCCGGAAATAGATGAAAATAGATGTATTTTCCGGAAATAGATGAAAATAGATGTATTTTCCGGAAATAGATGAAAATAGATGTATTTTCCGGAAATAGATGAAAATAGATGTATTTTCCGGAAATAGATGAAAATAGATGTATTTTCCGGAAATAGATGAAAATAGATGTATTTTCCGGAAATAGATGAAAATAGATGTATTTTCCGGAAATAGATGAAAATAGATGTATTTTCCGGAAATAGATGAAAATATATGTATTTTTCGGGAATAGGTGAAAATAGATGTATTTTCCGGAAATAGATGAAAATAGATGTATTTTCCGGAAATAGATGAAAATAGATGTATTTTCCGGAAATAGATGAAAATAGATGTATTTTCCGGAAATAGATGAAAATAGATGTATTTTCCGGAAATAGATGAAAATAGATGTATTTTCCGGAAATAGATGAAAATAGATGTATTTTCCGGAAATAGATGAAAATAGATGTATTTTCTGGAAATAATTGTATATTCCGGAAATAATTACCATAAAATAATATTTCCGGAAAATACTTTCCTGAGACATTTATTTACCTATATAAAGTTTCCGGAAAATACAATGCATTTGAATATATTCCGGAAATATGAGAAATATTAAACATTTTCCGGAAATAATTACCATAAAATAATATTTCCGGAAAATACTTTCCTGAGACATTTATTTACCTATATAAAGTTTCCGGAAAATACAAAGAATTTGAATATATTCCGGAAACATTATTTAATGTTTCACTATTATCCGGAAAGAAATATTAGAAAAATTCTTATTATATGTATTCCGGAAAATAATTATATTTCCGGATGGAAGTGGGACTATTTTCCGGAAATGGATGAAAATAGATGTATATTCCGGAAATAATTACCATAAAATAAATTTCCGGAAAATACTCCTGAGACATTTATTTACCTATATAAAGTTTCCGGAAAATACCATAGAATTTGAATATATTCTGTGAACATTATTTTATGTTCTATCCCGAAAGAAATATTAAATATTTTCCGGAAATTTTAATAATAACAGTAAATATTTATATTCCGGAACTATTATGTTCTGAAGGGTTTCCGGAAAATATATTATTATTCCGGAAAAAATTACTGGGATATTTCCGTATGGAAGTGGGACTCTTTTCCGGAATAGTTGTATATTCCGGAAATAATTACCATAAAATAATATTTCCGGAAAATACTCCTGAGACATTTATTTACCTATATAAAGTTTCCGGGAAATACCAAGTAAACATATTCCGGAAATATTATTTTATGTTGACTATTATCCGGAAAAATCTATTAAATATTTTCCGGAAATCTTAATAATAACAGAAGATATTTATTTATATTCCGGAACTATTATTATGTTGTGAAGAGCTTCCGGAAATATATTAATACTTTCCGGAAAATTATACACCCTCTTATTTCCGACATTTAGCCATTCCGACAAATGGCCTAAACTGGGCTGTTCTTCCCACCTCTTCTATAAATTTACTCAGAATGCTGGGAAGTTAAAATACAGAAATTGTACTTGTTTTTAGCTCACATTTGTGATATGATTGATCCGTTGAAGGGTTTTATATACACATATTAACGTGCCCGACTTGCACTTATCAAATATTTTTTTCCTTTCTGTCCATCAAATCTGGGTGCAGACGGATAAATTTTTTATTCTCTCTTAATTTTGACAGTTTTTGATTTAAAAATGGAGGAAAAAAGAAATAAAAATTTATTAAATTGTCACACTTTTTTGTTAATTATTAGTGCAAAATTAAAAAAAATTCTTTAATAAATTAATTGTTCATTCTAGGTAGCACCCTGTCCCCCGAAACCCCGTCCTCCGAAATTTCTCGGCAAAGGACCTCGAAGGTTCTACTCCGACAAAACCCGCTCCCGTCGCAAACCATCGCGGAGGCAAATCCCCCGACTCCCGAAATCGGCTATTTCTTTGGTAAAAACCCGACCCGAACTACCCGGCAAACCCCGATCCCCGACGATCCCGCCCCCGAAGGCTAGGGTGGCCATCCTAGTTCATTCTAAGGTAATAAAGTCGAAACTGACTTTAGGATATTGGAAAAAAATCCGGAAAGAAGCGAATAAATCCGGAAATACCTCTAATTATAAACGACTCTCGTTAAAAGCGACCCCTCTTTATAAGCGACATCTCTTCTAGTTCAAGTAGCCTAATAAAGCCTAATAAAGGCGCAGTTCAGGTTTCAGAAACAACGAATAGCCATAATTTAAACATTTAAATATTCGCTGCTTTAAAACCCGAACAACCCTTTTTATTGGCTAAAAATTAAATTTGGAAAATGT